TTTTCTATTCTTTAGAAAATTGTTTATTATCTCATTTCTCTTCCTAGGATCATAGTTTTCGATTGTGGAAGGCATTTTTTTGAAAAAAAGTAATTTATTTAAATTCGAAGAATCCGGAGATTTACAATCTTTATTAAAAAAATTATTGTATTTATAAATGGAAGAAATTACTCAAGAAGTAAGTTTCCAAAATATTTCTTCACACGAAGAAGATTTAAAGAAAATGAAAAGAGATGAAGTTCGTAGAAAAGTTGCAATGATTGGAAGTGAATTGAGAAAATACATTCTCAAATCCAAAGAAATCCAAACTATGAGAAAACAAGAAATGATTGACTTTATTATGAAGTTTAGAGACATTACTTTCGCTGAGTGTGAAATTTAGATTTTTCTTTAAAAAAAAAATTTCTATATAAAAGGAAGTCCTACATCCTCTTCCAAGATTTGAAAAAGTAATTATTTTTGAGAAATAATGGATCATTTCGAAAAAAATGTCAAGAGATGATCTTCGTAAAAGAAGTCATTAAACTTCTTGATATAATGTCCGGAGGTGTAAAAAGTAAAAAGAATTCTTAAATCTCAACAATTAAGATCTATGAGTACCTCAGAACTTCTGGCATTTATTAGAGAACATTTACAAATAAACCAAGCTGAAGTTAGAGATGCTCCACTTACGCTTAAGGAAGTATTTCCCTTCGAAGATCTTATTTTTTTAGTGATTACAAAAGAAACTAGAAAAAGGAATTGTAAGAACAACAACCTATAGAGACAAAAGCAAAGATATAAATTTTGATAAATACTTTGATCTTTTTGAGAAAAGAGGAATCGAATATTATATAAGAATCATTACAAAAATAATGAATTCTTTCTTCGAAAAGAACAAAAATTTTGTAATTAATGACATCAGAAGTGATACTTCAGTCAAAATATATTTGAAACTAGAGTTCAGACAAATGAAGGACTCTCAAAAAGAAGAAAACTTTGCTGTAAGATCTGAAACTAAGGAATTGTGCGTTGGTGAAGATCGGGAAGAATGGTATCAACATGCTTGTCAAGAATTAATGATGAACATGGAGAATTTGCAATCAAGAAGTTCTGGTTGGACAATATCGGGAATAAATTACCTTGAGATGAATCAAACTATGTGTAATTCACGTAGTGGTTCTGCCTATATTGATCTTCCAAAATGTATTAAAGATAAGCATTGTGTCATTAATCCTAAAAATAAGGATGACAAGTGTTTTATGTGGTCTATATTAGCTCATTTACATCCTGCTGATCGGGATGCAGAAAGAGTTATTAAGTATATTCCTTTTGAAAACGAATTAAAATTTGGAGATCTACCTTTTCCAATGAAAATTAAAGATATAAATAAGTTTGAGGAGATGAATGATCTTGTTGTAAATGTGTTAGAATGCACTGAAAAAGGAGAAATAAATCCATTACGTCCTTCAAGAAGAATTACTGCTGATAATAATAAAGTTATCAACTTATTATATCATGTTAATGATGAAGGAAAATCACATTATTCCCTAATCAAAAATCTTGATAAACTCATGAATAAACGAGGAGAACATCAAAAAACATTCTGTGTTAGATGTCATTGCTCTTATAATGTAAATATGAATGATAAAACTAGATCAAATTATCACAGGCATTTAGAGGACTGTGGTAAAAACAAACCTATTGGACATAATTTATCTAAGAAAAAAATCACAAAATTCGAAAACATTAGCAACGCTCAGAAGCATCGTTATGTCATATATGCAGATTTTGAGAGTATTATCAAAAAATATCACACACAGTTTAATAATCCAAAAGAATCATGGACTACAGATGTTGGAAAACACATTCCAGCTGGATTTTGTGTTGTTGTAGTTGATTCTTTCACCAAAAAAATGTATAGTATCAAATCTTATATTGGACATAATGCTGCTCTAGAGTTCAACAAATACATCATTAAAATATCTCAGGAAATTATGCAATTAGGTAATGTGGTAATTAGAAAATTAACTCAAAAAGAATGGACTGAATACAATGGAAACAATGAGTGTCCTAATTGTAAGATTGAATACAACTCTAAAGATATGAAAACTATCAAAGTTAGAGATCATGATCATTGGACTGGAGAATATCGTGGACCTCTTTGTGGAGCATGTAATCTATTAAAAAGAAAAAATACCTTCATTCCAGTTTTCTTTCACAATCTTAAAGGATATGATTCTCATCTCATTATTGGTTGTCCAGAAAGTACTGAATTCTTGAAAGATTATGGAATTGATATCAAAAACATTTCTAGCAACACTGAAAAGTTTATTAGCTTCAGTTATCATCTTCCCTCTGAAAGTAGAAATTTTTACGACAGATGCGAAATTAGATTTCTCGATTCTTTCTCTTTCATGTCTTCATCGCTAGATAAACTTGTTCAAAACATGTGTAGTGATGACATGTATATTACTAAAGATTATTATTTTTATCATAATGAAAGACCTGGTGATAGTGAAGAACTAGAAAAATTTGAATTAATGCAAAGAAAAGGTGTATATCCCTATGAATACATGGATTCTTTTTAAGAGATTCCAAGAAACAAAAACTACCCAATATTTCTTCATTTTTTTGATATGTTAAACGGAAAATCTTGCAGTACAAAAGGATTATCTATATGCTAAGTTAGTTTGGAATAAAATGAATTGCAAAAAAATTTAGAAGATTATACTAGAATTTATATGATTAATGATGTCCTTCTCTTGGCAGATGTTTTTTTGAGAATTTTAGAAACTTAAGTCTCAGGGTATATGAGCTTGATCCTTGTTGGTATTTCACAAGTCCGGGATTAGCTTGGGATGCTATGTTAAGAAAAAAAACTAAAAGTAGAATTAGAAGTACTTCAAGATGTTGAGAAATACCTGATGATTGAGAAGGGAATAAGGGGTGGTATTGTTAATGCTGTCAAAAGATACTCTAAGGTTAATAATAAATACACTCCAAACTTTAATGCATCGATACCTTCAAACTTCCTTTTGTATTTAGATGCTAATAATTTGTATGGATGGGCAATGTGTCAAAAGTTACCAACTGGTGATTTTTCACTTTGTGGATCAATCATTAATTGATGTTCTCAATGGTGAGAGAGAAGATACATGTTTAAAAAAATAGAGGACTATATTGATTATTTAAAAAAATTTAGGTAAAGGATGTATTTTTCGAAGTAGATTTGGAATATCCTAAGGAATTACACTCAAAAGCACAATGATTTTTCCTCTGTGTCCAGAAAATGTGAAAATTGATAAACAAACCGTAAAAAAAGTTGTGTAATACATTATTTGATAAAGAGAAATATATTATTCATTATGAAAACTTGTTGCAATGTCTGCAATTAGGACTAAAAAAATTAAAAAAAGATACATCAGATTCTTAATTTTTAAAAGAGAGTAATTGGTTAGCTCCTTACATTGAAATGAATACTAATCTTCGAAAAACAGCTAAAAATGATTTTGAGAAAGATTTTTTCAAACTTATGAATAACTCAGTTTTCGGTAAAACAATGGAAAATGTTAGAGAAAGAGTTGATGTCCGTTTAGTTACAGATGAAGATAAAATAATTAAATTAGCCTCAAAACCTAACTACAAAAGACGTGTTCAGTATAACAATGTATTAGTTGCTGTAGAAATGGAGAAAACTAATATCGTTCTTGATAAACCAATTTATGTAGGTTTTGCTATTCTAGATCTGAGTAAGTGGTTGATGTACGACTTTCATTACAATGTTATGCAGAAGAAATATCGAAATGTAGAGTTATGTTACCAAGATACTGATAGTCTCATATATGACATCAAGACTGAAGATTTCTACAAAGATGTGGAAAAAAAGATATCTATTTTTCGAAGACATTTCGATTTCAGTGATTATCCGGAAGATCATGTACTTCATAGCAAAGAGAATAAGAAAGTTGTCGGAAAAATTTAAAGATGAATTGAATGGAAATATTATAACGGAAATAGTTGCTCTAAAGCCTAAAACAATATGCTTTTTAAGACTCTAGATGGTGATGAAACTAAGAAAAGTAAAAGGTGTTAAAAAGAATGTTGTCAAGAATGAGTTGACTGTCGATGATTATAAGCACAGCCTTTTTTTAATAAGACTGTTGTAAGAAAGACTCAATATACTATTAGGAGTGTTAAACACACTATTTTTACACAATGTCAGAATAAAGTAGCTCTCAATAATGATGAAGTTTCTACAGAACATAAACGTTATATTATTAAAGATAGTCGGAATCTTGAAATCCCTTTAGGAGCCACTTCAGAAGAAGAAAAACCCCTACGGCACTCCCCATAGAGCCCTCTAAATCTTGAAATCCCTTTAGGAGCCACTTCAGAAGAAGAAAAACCCCTACGGCACTCCCTATAGATTCTCTAAATCTTAAAATCTCTTTAGGAGCCACTTCAGCTTTTTCCAGTCTTTAAAAATGAGCCCATAACTTCAGGAAACTCCCGAGCAGCCCCGTAAAATTCAAATCCGCGAGCCAAGCCACCAATACTACTACAATCGGTTCGTATCTTTTTCAATTCAAAAATAGTTTTCAAAATCTTCAGGAGAAGGCCATTTGACGCACCATCGATGAAAAAGTTAAAAAGACGAAAAGGCAAATTTTTCGCCTTGAACTGGAATAATGTGAATTTTTATTTTGTTGATTCAAAAAATGGGTAAAATTTAGCAAAAGCCCAAAGCGAAAAGCCCACCGAAGAAGAAGGAGAAATCGAAATGAAGGCGAGGAAAAGAACACGAACAAAGCAAATATTCAGAGTATTAACGATGATGATTTTTTTTTTGGTAATTGAAGTAAACTTTCTGCGCATTTTTCGGTGAGCGCTTGCGACAGAGAAAAAAAGATGTAATTTAGAAATTCTTTTTATTTTTCTTCAGGCAGTATGACAACGAGGTTAAGTGATTTGGGGTATATATATATTTTTTAATATCTATCAAAATGGTAAAGGGGCAGTTAATCCGAAGAGTTCTGACGTTCAACTTTGGGGGTCTTGCGGAGGTTTTCTCGAGATTCCGTTGGTGTGACCGAGCCGCGTTCGAATCGTGCACGAAGATCCGTCATCTGAAGGCGGATTGCGATTTTTGCTACTATTTGACGATTTTTTGTTTGTAAAGAAAGGCAAGAAGCTTTTTGAAGCCTTGAAGAAGTCTGACTGATCTTAAAAACCTTTGAAGCTTCTCTCAAACCTTACAGTTTCGATTATTTTTGTTGAAACTAATACAGGAAGGTATCAAGGTTCCTAAATCCTGAAACGAAAGGAAGAAGCTCGAAAAACCCTATTGACTTCTGATGCTTGAGAAAAAATCATTTTGAACATTTTGAAGCTCAAAAAATTCGAAAATATGCTCTTTTTGGCTTTTCCAGCCGACTTTTTCGACTTCTAACTCTGAATTGTGCATCTCAGGTTTGATCCAGGGATCCAATTTTCCGAAAAAAAAAGAACGAACAGCCTGGGAACGCTCCGTGCTCCGTTCAACCTCTCTGGATATCTTTTTCTTCAACGACGACTGTCTCGACGGGTTCTTGGAGGCGAACGGACTGCCCCTCTCATCGACCGACTCGGCCATCGACATTACCGATCCGGTTCGCGCCAGGGATTCGTCGCTTCTGAATGGATATTTTTCAAAAAAAGAGGCAGAAATCGGAATTTTTTTATGAGAAAATTGTTTTTTTGACATTTTCAAAGTATAATATTAATCCCTTAAGAGACCTTTGTACTTCTAAAAATCAGTCACTTAAGTGATCATGATCTCTGACAACAATTATAGCATGAAGACTGTTCATCCCTCATCCCTTAAATGACCTCTTTCTGATTGATATTTCAAACTTTCGAGAGAGAAAGTTTGTCACTGAAGTGATCTCTAAAATATATGACAGATATAAATTGAATCCACCCTAGTGACCTCTTCCCAGCTTATCTCTAAAAAAAAAACCAAGAAACTGCCCCTTTTTCCACCACTTAAGTGACCTCTTTCCAATTGATTTAACAATGGAGTTTCTCCCTTAAGTGACCTCTTATCTCTAACAAAGTAATATCCTAGAGACTGCCCTTTTTCCACCACTTGAGTGACCTCTTTCCAATTGACTTATCAAGAGAGTTTTTCCCTTAAGTGACCCCTTATATCCAGCAAAGTAATATTTCAGAAACTGCACTTTTCCACCACTTGAATGACCCCTTACCATTTAATTTACCGAGAGAGAATTTCACTTTAGTGACCCCTTATCTCTCACAAAGTAATCATCTCGAAACGGCCTCTTTTCCATCAATTTAGTGACCTCTTTTTAATCGATGGAGTTCTTCCCTATAGTGACCTCTTATCTCTAACAAAGTTTCATTCTGGAGTCTTCTCTTTTCCCACCACTTAAGTTACCTCTTTCCAATTGACTTATCACGAGAGTTTTTCCCTTAAGTGACCCCTTATATCCAGCAAAGTAATATTCCAGAAACTGCAGTTTTCCATCCCTTAAGTGACCCCTTATCTCTAACAAAGTAACATCCTAGAAACTGCCCTTTTCCACCACTTGAGTGACCTCTTTCTAATTAATTTATTGATTGCGTTCTTCCTTTAAGTGGCATCTTTCTAGTCGTCATTTTTACCATAATTTCCACTTAAGTGACCCCTTTTCCGACCTGTTATGCGACCGCGACGACGTCAAAAATTCTGAAGACTCTGACGACTTCCTCAGCATGACTGGGGCCGGCGATGTTGGTCCCTAAAAATCGACTTTCTTTCCTGTAAAATGGAAAAAAATACCGCTTCATCTGAATCTTCTGGCCTTCTGGTGTACAAATGTTGTACACGAGCAAGAACGCCAGTCTGAAAATTGATTTTGAAGCGATTTTCATGGTTTTGACAAGCTCAAAAACCTGTATTCCAATGTCGAGCATGCGTAACCGGCGCTCATGGTCCAGCTCTTGTACATAAACCTGAAAAATCCAAGTTTCTTGTCTTTTTTTGATATTGAAACGTGCTGAAATTGAGCAGTGCTTTTGAAAAACCTTGAGATGGTCAAAATTTTCTGGAAGATATATCCATGCTGAAGAAGCTTATAGGAAACTTCGCAAAGTCTGTAGAAGCTTGAGGATTCCGTTACAACTGTTTATTTTCATTTTGGAACATTCCAGCTTGAAAAAAGGCGCTTTATTCAGAAATTTTGGAGATTTTTTGAAAATCTCAGTGTTTGAGCCATGCAAAATAGTGTAGATAGTTCAAATTCTTGCTCAGAAACCTTAGAAAAGCCGAAAAAGTTGAAATTTGAAGAGATTTTGATTTTTTTTTGTGCAGTAAGCATGCCGAATATGGATGTGTTCTGTGAAAAAGAAAATAAAGTGATTTTCCTCAAAAAAGCAAAAATCTAATCACTGAAGACATGCTCCCTTAGCTCATACCAACGAGAAAAGCGTGATTCATTATAAAATCAAAAGCTCAAATCCTAGAAGTGCATATGCAATCCAAGAAGCCATGCCCCCGTGAAGCCATACCGCCAGAAGAGTGCCTTTAGGTGCAGTGCAGAAATCATGCGGAGCACTGCTAACCTGGAGCCAGTCGTCGTGGTCTTCCCGCTCGAATCCGACGCTCTCGTCGCATACTTCGGGTACCGCTTGGACCGTCATATTGGTGGTTTCAGGTCGGGCTTGCACGTTGTGATCGGTTTGTTCAGCACCAGCTTGGACATCGCAATCCGCCTTCATCACTTCGATCTTCTTCTTTTTGAGCTTGACGGTTTGAGAGGCGCCTTCTGCAGTTGAAGGCTCAGCTTGCATCGAAGAGTCGGTTTGATCCACCGCTGAAGTGGTATTGACTTGAACGTCTTGGTCAGTTGTTTCAGGCTTCTTTTTCTCCTTCTTAACGGTTTGAGAAGTGCTCTCCGTCGTAGACGGCTGTGCTTGCATCTTGACGTCAATTTGTACTGGAACATCCAAAGTACGTTCCTTCTTTTTCCGAAGATCCTGCTGATCTTCATCATTCTCCAGCTCCACTTGCACTTCAGAATCAGCCGTTTCGACCAACTCTAACCCTTCTGAAGTCTTCTTCAACTTGACCGTCTGCGTTTCAAAATCAGCCATTTGAGGTCGGATCTGAACCGAAAAGTCGGCCGTCTCGATATCCGGCTCGTTGAGACCCAGCTCGCCGATGTAGTCAAAGTCGCTCCACAGTTGCACGCCGAGATCATCCTCTCGTCGATCTTCCTCGTCGTCTTCCGTCGGCACGGCCGTGTGAGTCACACTGTAGGCGACGCCGCAGGAGAAGTCCGATGTCTCGACAACGACGGCGTCCGACGCGGTGTCCCTCATTTCAGGACACTCGGCTTGCGTCGCGCTCTCGACGCTGTCCACGTTGAACGCGTCGGACGCCGTCGTCACGGAATCAATCGATTCTTGAACGGCGACCTCGACGCCGAGATATTCTGGGTCGACGGCGGAATCGACAGTTTCTGTGGGTATTGGAGACAGTGCCGCATCGACAGCTTCCGTAACGAATAAAACGGGGGATAGTCCGATGTCCTGGGTGTTCTTCTCCCACTGAACGGAAGAATCTCTCATGGAAATGACCTCGGCATCCGAAGCCATATCATTGAGCTCAATATTAGGTTGAACGGCTGAGTTTACCGTTTGTAACGGTTGATCGGCGTCAACAGCCGTGCTGGACGTTGGATTGGCTTGTTGCGTGTTGACAGCCTTGTTGGTGCTTTCTACTTCTTTCTGAAGTGCGAAATCGGAACTAGATGGCTTTACTTCCGCCAAAGTTCCAATGCTTCTCAGGTCGACATTTTCTTGGATAGCTACGTCAGAGCTGAGCGGCTTCATCTCCGCAGTCACGCTGATGTCCCTTTGATCAGCTCGTTCTTGAATAGCTACTTCAGAATTAGGAAGCTTGATCTCCGCAGTGACGCTCATATCTCTAACTTCTGCTGTTTCTTGGATAGCCACTTCAAAGCTTTCTGGCTTGACTTCCGCAGTCACGCCGAAATCCCTCAGATCTGCCTTTTCTTGGATAGCAGCGTCCGATGTCAAAATGAAGATCTGGGCAGACATTTCCCGAAGTTCAACGTTATGTTGAATAGAAACTTCAGAAGAGGGCGGCTTGATTTCCGCAGTCACGCCGATGTCTCGGAGGTCCGAAATTCCTTGAACAGCCGTACTGGATCTCGGCACGACTACTTCTGCGTCGACAGCCGTGTTAGATGTTTCGATTCTACCCTGAACAGCCGCATCTGACATGGGAGGTTTGATCTCCACAGCGACGCCGATGTCCCGAAGGTCGATCATTTCTTGGGTAGCCACGTTGGCAGTGTCTACTTTTCCCTGAACGGCGACTTCAGAGCTGTCCGGCTTGACCTTCGCAGTCACGCCAAAGTCTCTCAGAATGGCTTTTTCTTGAATCGCAGCGTCAGAAGTCTGGATGAAGACCTGCCCTCCAACGGACATTTCCCTGAGCTGGACCACCTTCTGAACGGCTGCATCGGATGTCGTGACTTCGATGCCGACTCCGACTTCGTGGAACTTGATGAGGATCGGACTGCCGGACCTGTCCACCAGCTCGACTTGCTCATTCTGAGTTCCCTGGCTGACAAGGAAGTTGGGCATGGGGTCGACGCCACTCTCCATGAACTCGATCTCCTCCTGTTGGACAGCCATGTGGGCTAGCTCAGCTTCGGCCTGCGCATCCGAACTCTTCATTTCGGAGACAGAACTAGAGGCGGCGTCCGACGTCGGTTGGGTCGCGCTGACGCCCTGTGAAGTCAACAATGGCTTGAAAAAAGGATGAAGATTAACTAGAGACTATTAAAAAACGAGGGAAAGTTTGAAAAGCTGATGAATGACTAACCTGGCTAGCCCTGCTGCGAACCGACACAATTTCAGTCTGGCTGAGCTGCTCGACCGTGTTTCCGTCGTTGGTGTACTGCGTATGAGATGTGGTGGTGCTTGGCGTGACTTGAACCATGGCTGACTCGACTTCGAGCAGTTCGGACTGAAATTTGACCGGTTCGAAAAGACTGCAATCTTCAGAGCTGGACGCAACGCGACCGCGACGCTCCTAGCCATTCCAAACTATTTCGAATTCCTTCATTTACCCCCTTATCTCCAAATTATCTTGGTCTAGCTACGTGAAATTCGGTTTGGCTTTAAACAGGTTGAAATCTTCAGAAAAAAAAACGCAACGCGACCGCGACGCTCCTAACCATTCCAAATGCTGCCACGTAATTTTGAGCCCTCGAATCTCGAAACCACTTATAAATCCCTATCCCAGAAAGCAGAAAAGGCGAAAGATGCATAGTTTTTGGTATAGCTGTGTCTTCAAAAAACGCAACGCGACCGCGACGCTTATAGCCATTCCAAATGCGACCATGTCCTTTTGAGCCCTCAAACCTCAAAACTGCTTATGAATCCTGTTTCTAGAAAGCAGAAAAAGCGAAAAACTGCATAGTTTTTGGTGCAGCTTTATCTTCGAAAAACGCAACGCGATTGCGACGCTTCTAGCCATTCCATATGCGGCCATGTCATTTTGAGCCCTTGAATCTCGAAGCCGCTTGTGAATCCCACTTCAAAAAGGCACGAAACACATATTGCTTTCAAAAAACGCAACGCGACGCTTCTAGCCATTCCAAACGCGGCCTTGTAATCTTGAGCCTTTGAACTTCAAAGCTGCTTATGAACCGCTTTTCAAGAAAGCAAACAACGCAAAAAACACAGCTTCTAGTCATTCCAAATGCGGCCAATGTTTACCTGAGTGCAGGAGCTGGCTATCGCCGCGGCGTCATACTGCGTGGAGCTGTCGACGTTGAACCTGACGTCGTGGACGACTTCCATTCTGGTGCGATCCTTCAAGAAAAGCATCTTCGGATTAGGCTACTGCCCACCATCTCATCGACGACGAACATCGAGACTTCCGACTGAATCTGAGTAGACCTCGACGACGACGTCGCGTCGACGCCAGCCTCCACGACCTCGCTCAGAGCTTGAACTTCCTGGGAATCGCTTGAAACTTGAGCAACACCGACGTCAAGCTCACAGCGTCCAGGAGATGGTCCCTGAGGTCTTCCGTCTGCACTTCTCGGATGGAAATCTCCTTCAGATCTTCCGTCTGGCTCGGCTTCTCCCATTTCCTCACGCCGGTAGTTTGGATCTCGACCTTTTTTCAAGCTATTCTTGTTGTAGTTGATCATTTTCAAATCTACTTCTTTGCCGCGCTTCTCCTCGGTCTGATTCTCGCTGTCTTTGGCGTCTTTCGCCGTCTGCGTCCCTCGCATCACGCGCTCTTGCGTGTCCGTCTGCGTGTCTGTCTCTCGGCCAGCTTAATCTAATCAATCTGAATTTTTCAGAACTTCTCCTACCAGATCCGACTTGAACATTCGTGCTGGTCGATCCTAGGCCTTCCGTTTCGATCTTCGTAGTTTTATACTCCACGTTGGTCTGTTCATAGCTCTCTATTCGTGATCATTGCTCATTCTAGCTCACCTGAGTGGTGCCATCAACCAAAAATAGCAAGTTTTCATCTACAGAGCTTGAAGTCGCCTGGGGATCGTCCTCAGTGCTTTGTGATGGGATTTTGGCCTAAATTGGTTATTTTTCTGGAACTCTAAAAGCTTGGGGCAATAAGGGGGCGTGGCCTGTCTGTGCCCTCCACCAGCTAGGCACTATTTCTTTTCTTTTCGTGTCAGGACCATTTTTTGTTCAAACTGACATGAAAAAAGGAACTTTTGAACTTCTTCATCGAAAATTTTTATGAAAGACATGTTGTTCGGAAATTCTTATGAAGCATTTCCATGGGAAAAAAAGTAAATAAATAAGCGGTTTTTAATAAATTTGTAAGACCCCTATAGGGTCCGCTGAAGATGCTAAGGGGGTCCTATAGGGACCACCTTGATTTTACCCCTCTAGGGGCCACTTTTTCGACCCCTACAAAGGCTGTTTTTCCCTCTAAACTCTTATAGGGACCACCTTGATTTTACCCCTACAGGGACCACTTTTTCGACCCCTACAGAGGCTGTTTTCCCCCCTATAGGGAATTCTTAAGAAATTCGTATATTTTCCAAGGCTTCTTCCAATCTCACCGTTTTAAGCCTCTTTTTCAGAATTTCATAGTCCCTTTTTTGCGACTTCAAAGAGCGGGACTTCTCTGCGCCCTCTCATTTTGACATGCTGTTTCCATTTTTCTCTAACCTCGGCGGTCAAGGACGGAATTTCAAAAAAAAACCTCATAAAACGAGGTATTTATCGTCTGGGCCCCGCTCTCCTTCATGAAAGATATCTTTTCATCGGCCGCTTTTTCCAGATTTTCTGTCGGTTTTTCCACATCCACTCCTTCTTTTTGAGTAACTTCTGGCTTCCGAAACGTACTGAAAACACAATTTTTGAATAAAATACAGATTCTAATACCTAATAGAGGTTTGAGTGAGGCAATCAGCCAGCAAGTTCAACGTAGACGGTGTCGCTTCTTGCTGAAATTCGAAGGTTTCCTTGATCTTCATTTTCCGAAAAACCCATTGATCCTGGAACTTTTTGACGTCGGTCTGTGCCGAAGATTCCACGGCGAACGACTCCAGCTCGTCGTCGGAGATCTGAATTTTTTGAATATTTTTTCTCTACAGATGAATAAAGACCTCAGGTTCTGACAGCTCCTCAGCCGTTTTTGAAAGTCTCACTGGACGCCCTTGTTCATCTACAGCCTTTGAAACCACCGACAAGTTCAGGCTGACCTGGAAATCGTCATTGGAGCAACTTTTCTGATCAAACTTTTCTGAAACTCTTACAGATTGACAGTAAAATTGAAACGTTTTTTTCCATCAAAAAGTGACAGTGAAAAAATTTTTTCTGAGTTCCATGACCAAGAAAAAAACGAATCAAAGTTGGCCGTCATTTCATGAAAATATTGTAGGATGAGATTGTTTTTGAAGATTCTAGAACGAGGGGGACTTTTTCTAGAATGTGGGGAAATTCTTGAAGTTTGCCAGACTTTTTCGAAATCGCCCCCCTTCTACTTTGCAATGTGCGTGGCGGTTCTAGAATGAGGAATAGCCTCCTCCAACCCACAAAAAGTTCTTTGATCGCCCTCCCCCTTTCACCAGTCAAAATTTGGCTTGGCGGGGGGGGATGAGAGCTGGCTAGATGACGATCCTTTTCTGGATTTCTGGAACGTGGGGGAGAGGCAATTCTAAAATATTGGCAGGAATTCTGAAATAGCCCCCCTACTTTGAACTAGAATATGGAATTGCCTCAACCAACGAGAACTGTTTGATTTCACCCCCAACCCCCGCACTCAAAAATTTGGCTGGGGGCAGCTGTTCAGACTAGGGGGAGATTCTTGATTTTACTCTCACCTCCTCCGAGATCGATTCCTGCCGTTCGAAATCCGTATCAGGACCACTTTCGCCGGTTTCCACTGATTCAGTGGGCCTTCTCCGCAGATGACGTCTTCTTCTCTTCTCCTGAGCATCGCCCAGCTGAGCCTTGCTCGCCCTGGAAAAGCAACATTTTCCCGTTTTAAAAGGGACAAAGATACCCAGAGAGCTTGGTTTGTGACCGCATACCACGGGTTTCGATGCGATCATACTGAGAGCTGGTCTAAAACATGCCAGAAGTTCAAATTTCACTTTGAAGCTGGAAAAATGACCTCCGCTGTGAATACTTCGTATTGAACGGCAGTTTCTGACGTAGAAGTCTCGTACTGCGAGCCAGCCTCGGCCATTTCGAAGTTTGTCTGTAAAATAAGATTTACTGAGGTTTTTTGATTTTAGAGAAAACAGGATGGGTCAAAGGGGTAAATTACCATAATCTTCATTTTATACGGCAAAAAGTACCATAATCCCTACCATATACGGTTGAAAGTACTATTGTCTCCATCTTACACAGTTGAAAGCACCATAATCTCTACCTTATACGGTTGAAAGTACCTTAATCCCTACCATATACGGGTAAAAGTACCGTTACGCTTCTATTACGGTAAAGTACCATAATCCCTATCTTGTACTGTTGAAAGTACCGTAATCCTCATGTTATACGGTAAAAAGTACCCTAATCCCTACCATATACGGTAAAAAGTACCATAATCCCTACCATAAACGGTTGAAAGTACCGTAATGCCTATCTTATACGGTTGAAAGTACCATAATATATTTCTTATACGGTTGAAAGTACCATAACCCTTATCTAATACGGTCAGAAGTACCATAATCCCTATCTTGTAATGTTAAAAGTACCATAATCCTCATGTTATACGGTTAAAAGTACCGTAACCCTAATCTAATACGGCTAAAAGTACCGTAACCCTTATCTAATACGATATAATACCGTAATCCCTATCTTCAACGGTCAGAAGTACCATAATCCCTATCTTGTACTGTTGAAAGCACCATAATCCTCATGTTATACGGTTAAAAGTACCGTAATCTCTAAATTCCGTGGTTAGAAGTACCTTTACCCCTATAATATAAGGTTAAAAGTACCATAATCTTTAATTTAAGCGGTTAAAAAAACCATAATCTTCATCTTAAAGTGTTAGAAGTACCGTAATCCTCATGTTATACGGTAAAAAGTACCATAATCCTACCATATACGGTTGAAAGTACCGTAATGCCTATCTTTTACGGTTGAAAGTATTATAATCTCTTTATTATACTGTTAAAAGTACCATAACCATTATCTAATACGGTCAGAAGTATTATAATCCCTATATTGTCCTGTTGAAAGTACCATAATCCTCATGTTATACGGTTAAAAGCACCGTAATCTCTAACTTTAGCGGTTAGAAGTACCATATACCCAAACTTATACGGTCAAAAGTACCATAAACCCTTATTTTATACGGTTAAAAGTACCATGATCCCTATCTTATACGGTGAAGTAACGACCTAAAATGACTAGCTTAAAAAAAAAACCATTGCCAGGATTAAAAATGAAGGTGTTTGCATGCTTAAATCGCGCTTCCTAGATTCTGATGATACATAAAATTCAGGGTTCGAATAAACTGCTGAAAATTCAAGCTACGGAAAAGTCGAATCGAGAGCTTTCCATTAAAAATGACTTCATGAAGGAGCCGTTCTCTGAAGTTTCGAAATAATTTCAATTTTCAAGGGCCCCTAGTAAAAATTTCCTTCAGCTTCCAATCCAGACTGTTTCCCATGGCTGTCAAAAAAAGGATTATAGAAAAGCTTTCATGAGGACCTAAAATCAATCAGCTTGGGTCTCGCCGTAGCGCAACAGGTTGTGGGCCTGTCTACGGTCCACAGGGTCACAAGTTCGATCCCCGCCTCGACCCAACCAAGGTAGTGGGAAACCAGGACTTCAAAAATCCCCAGCCGTCCCACAAGGTCGGATATGACAGTTCACTGATCAGGACTATAGGGAGCCGAAGCCGCTCAAGCGGTACAGAAGGCATAGGAAGAATCAATCAGCTCGGGTCTCACCGTAGCGCAACGGGTTGTGTGCCTGTCTACGGTCCAAAGGGTCACAAGTTTGATCCCCGCCTCGACCCAACTAAGAGGTTCAAGGAATTTTGGTAGTGGGAAAATGCCTGTTTTTTTTTTTCCAGCCCAAACCCTACCTGATCCCCACTGTTCTTCATGAACCGAAGCCCTCTCGCCATTCTGCGGGCCTCTCTTCTGGCTTCTCGATCCGCCCGTCGCTTCTCCCTCTCTTCGCGCTTCTTCTCCTTCTCCGCCGGCGTCAACTTTCTCTTCTTCCTCGCCGGAACGTTGATGACCGTCTCCTGGGACTCCACGGACACCGACTTGACGAGTGGGTTCCGTGCCGACAGGAGATGTTCCGAGTCAGGTGGCAGGTCATCGGGAAGGCCAGAAGACGTCGTTCTTTGCAGTTCGGCGTCAGATTCGGGCGTTATTTCGATGGGCGGCATTTTTCCAAGGGGAATGGCTTCTTGACGTTGGACGGCTTCTGGCAGCGAGGCGAGTTGGACTTCGGGGGTCTGAAAAATACGAAAATTATAAGAATCATCATTGCAGCGATTTTCGGACAGCTTTTTCCGCTACAGTATATTTTTTTCAAAGATTGTCAATGGAGCGCACTTAGGAGAAAGATGAGAGCCTCAAAATTTTTTTAAAATTTTGTTTGGACCTTATGATAATAGTCAAAAAGTTGAATTTGGACTTTTTTAAAAATTGTTTGTCAATGGAGCGCACTTAGGAGAAAAATTAGAGCCTCGAATATTTTTTACTTATTCAGAGTCTTATTTTTTTAGTCGTCATGAGAACATTCAAAAATGCCAGACTTTGACCATTTTTTAACTTTTTTTTCTTAAAGTCATGATGATTTCATAGATTGTCAATGGAGCGCAATTACCTCAAATATTTTTTTTTACTTTTTCAAACTTCTACTTTTTTTAATGAAAAAGTCGGAGAAGAGTTAAAATTCGCCTTTATTTTTATTTCTTGAATTAGGCAGTATTGATTGCAGAGATTATCAATGGAGCGCGATTAGCAAAAAAGTTGAGCCTCAGGCCCATGAAAATTCCATCAATCGATTTTTTTTCACAAGCTGTACCTCTTCTTCTTCCTCTTCGATGTCCAAGAAATCTTCGCTCTCTTCGCTTTCTTCCGAAATCAGGCTGTCAGTTTCAATGTCGTCAGCAAAGTAGATCGAAGAGACTTCCGGCTGGATGCCAGCCGTCTTTTGCCTTAAAAATCAGATCCTCCAGGAAAGTTCGCTCCAACGTACACATAGGTGCACTGGACGGCCTGGGATAACGTCTCTTTGGGGACTTCCGGAACGTCTGGGGTGTCGAATTGGATTGAAATGTCCGAGCCGAGGAATCGAACCTGCAAAATTGAATTGGAATCGTTTCTAGAGGCTTATTATTGGAATGAAACTGATTATTGAGCCTTGATATTTTCAAAAAATCCGTTAGAGCTGAAAAAACTATCATTACGGTTAGGACTGGAAAAAAAACCCCAAAAGGCTGATTTTTAAGCACTATCAAACTCTAAAATCCTTATTTCAAAAACCTTCCAAATCTTAATCATTTTTTCTCCTTTGAAAACGCTGCTAAAAAAAATTCAAGTGGCTACTTAAGAGATTCTCCAAAAACTACTTGGAAAGGACCCTAAAATGACCACTAGAACCACCTCTACAGAAGCCACCATTTCGCGTCTTAGTGACCACTATAGTAGTTTTTAGGGGTCTGTTAGTACCGCTTCGACTCCTAAAGAGGCCACTGAACTATTACCACTTAAGTGTCCACTAGTTCGACCACTGTAGTGGCCACTTTAATTTTTCCAAGTTAACAAGGAGAAAAAATTTGAGAGTCTCAATAAAATACCGTTATTCCAATGAAAATAATACAACAGAGGTTGAATCGATCAAAATAATCTTTTTTAAAAAATTAAAAGGGCCCAATAGGGACGAATTTTTGACCCCTTTGGGACCTGTTTTCCTTTTAAGCCCTAGAGGGACCACTCGAGCTTTAGGGGATGAGGACTCAGACCCTAAACCCCTATAGGGACCACTTTTTTATCTCCTATAGGAGCTGTTATTCCCCCCTTAACCCTATAGGGGCCCCTTGAGCTTGAGGGGCTAAGGCGTCAGACCCTAAACACCTATAGGGACCACTTTTTCGTCCCCTATAAGAGCTGTTTTTCCCCGAAACCCTATAGGGGCCACTCTGGATCCCCAAGTGGATCTTACTTTTGAAAAATGTGAAATATAACTGTCATAGTAGCCAAATTCGTTCTCAGAAACAGGTAAAATAATTTTTTCCCGCCTAAAAGGCTATTTTTCTCAGTAAAGTGTGCCCTACCGCTAATAACCCTACCTGAACGCCCTCATCACTGATTTTCCTTCTCAAGGATCAGTTGAAATAATTTTTCCAACTTAAAGGCCATTTCTCCCAGTAAAAAGTGCTCTACCGCTAAAAACCCTACCTGAACGCCCTCATCACTGCTCTCAGCCACATCAGTCTGGATTCCTTCGTCGGAACTTTCCGAGCCGTCCGTTTGGAAACCGGAGTCGGAAAACTCGGCCGTGTCCGTCTGCATCGCTTGCTGCGAGTTTGGAGGCGTGGCTTGCGTCGAGAAGGAGAACATCGCCACGATTTCGTGCGGGGTTACGGTCTGGGAGATAGAAAAAAATTGAACAGTTAGAACTGAAAACAATTTTTTTGCAGGAAAAAAAAAAAAAAATTATCCAAGTCATTTGAAAAGGTACTCTGACTGGGAAACGTTTTTTTACCCCCTCCCCCTCTTTTTGAAAAATTGTTACCCCCATTTTGAAATTTGTAACCCCCGCCCCCCATTTTGAAAAATTGTAACCCCCTTTCCCGATTTTTGAAATTTGTTACCCCCCTCTTTTGAAATTTGGAACCCCCCATTTTTAAATTCCCCCTCCCCCACCTCATTTTCAAAACTTCTTTTATAACTTGCCTAAACTACACTTCAGCAAAGTTTTCATCAAAAAAATTCAAGCGGGGAAAGTCAAAAAGTTTCCTAGCGAGATTTTTTAAAAATTCCTGAAAATTTGCGACTCATAACGTAAAAACATGTGCATTTGGAGATCATAAAGATCAAATTTTTGAGAATTTTTCAAACTTATATAATTTTTTGGGGGGTTAGTAAGATTGAAAAAGCAAATTCTGAAAATTTGCGACTCATAACTGTAAAAATGTACATTTGAAGATCATAAAGATCAAAAATTTTAAGAATTTTTCGAATCTCTATAATTTTTTTATATTTCCCCGGGGCTTCAAAATTATCTCCCGAGGAATAAAATCGGTAGAGCCGCGGTAAACCCCCCTTCAAAGAATCTTATTTCTCACCTGTGTTTCTCCAATCGACACGGAAGGCTTCCTGGGTGACGGCGGGGGTTCCTTGAAACATGTAAAATTTCAGGAATAACCACCTCGAAAAACCTCGAAATCGGTCAAAGTGGTTTTGGTGATCATGACCGGCCGTTTCACCGGTTCCGGGGTCACACTCCGTCTCTCATTCTTCTCATCGGCCTTCATCGGATATTCGAACAGCTATTACGTTAGTCATAGTCTGTTGATATACGTTTCAAAAATAATAATAATAAAATCTTGACCAAGGAACATAAGTGCAGAGAGGGAAACAAATTAATTTCAATAAAAATTGGGACTTAGAAGCTACCAAAAACTACAATCAAGCTAGTTAAAAATTTTGAATAAAAATCTTTGTTTTAAACTTTACCTTGCTAGGGATGAAAAAATCCTCGCAAATTTTTGCATTTCTCCTTAAATCGCCTAAAGTGATGGCTCCCTCAGAAATTCAAGAGCGGTCCCTATAGGGGCAACCTTATGAATATTTGAAGGTTTCCCTCTTGGGACCTCCTCCTATAGAGCCCACATAAGCTTGCAAAAGTGGCCCCAATTTGGGTAAACTTAGGGGTCCTTAAAAGGTTCCACTGTAGGGACCACTTCACCTTCCTCTAGGGACCACTTGAGCTTTAGGAGCTTCCGGATCGGACCCTAAGCCTCTCTAGAGAGCCTATGATTTCACCCCTATGGGGACCATTCAAGCTTCAAGGGCTAAGTAGTCAGATCCTAAACCTATAGAGACCATCTTGATTTCACCCCTATATGGACCACTTTTCGGCCCCTCTAGAAACTGTTTTTTCCCCTAAACCCTGTAGGGACCACTCAAGCTTCAGGGGCTAAGTAGTCAGATCCTAAACCTTTCGAGAGAGCCCTTGACTTCACCCCCTATAGGGACCACTTTTTCGGCCCCTCTAGAGGCCGTTTTTTTCCCTTAAATCCCTGTAGGGACCATTCAAGCTTCAAGGGCTAAGTAGTCAGATCCTAAACCTTTAGAGACCATCTTGATTTTCACCCCTATATGGACCACTTTTCGGCCCCTCTAGAAACTGTTTTTTCCCCTAAACCCTGTAGGGACCACTCAAGCTTCAGGGGCTAAGTAGTCAGATCCTAAACCTTTCGAGAGAGCCCTTGACTTCACCCCTATAGGGACCACTTTTCGGCCCCTCTAGAGGCCGTTTTTCCCTTAAATCCCTGTAGGGACCATTCAAGCTTCAAGGGCTAAGTAGTCAGATCCTAAACCTATAGAGACCATCTTGATTTCACCCCTATATGGACCACTTTTCGGCCCCTCTAGAAACTGTTTTTTCCCCTAAACCCTGTAGGGACCACTCAAGCTTCAGGGGCTAAGTAGTCAGATCCTAAACCTTTCGAGAGAGCCCTTGACTTCACCCCTATAGGGACCACTTTTCGGCCCCTCTAGAAACTGTTTTTTCCCCTAAACCCTGTAGGGACCACTCAAGCTTCAGGGGCTAAGTAGTCAGATCCTAAACCTTTCGAGAGAGCCCTTGACTTCACCCCTATAGGGACCACTTTTTCGGCCCCTCTAGAGGCCGTTTTTTTCCCTTAAATCCCTGTAGGGACCATTCAAGCTTCAAGGGCTAAGTAGTCAGATCCTAAACCTATAGAGACCATCTTGATTTTCACCCCTATATGGACCACTTTTTCGGCCCCTCTAGAAACTGTTTTTCCCCTAAACCCTGTAGGGACCACTCAAGCTTCAGGGGCTAAGTAGTCAGATCCTAAACCTTTCGAGAGAGCCCTTGACTTCACCCCTATAGGGACTCACTTTTTCGGCCCCTCTAGAGGCCGTTTTTCCCTTAAAATCCCTGTAGGGACCATTCAAGCTTCAAGGGTCTAAGTAGTCAGATCCTAAACCTATAGAGACCATCTTGATTTCACCCCTATATGGACCACTTTTCGGCCCCTCTAGAAACTGTTTTTTCCCCTAAACCCTGTAGGGACCATTCAAGCTTCAAGGGCTAAGTAGTCAGATCCTAAACCTATAGAGACCATCTTGATTTCACCCCCATATGGACCACTTTTTTCGGCCCCTCTAGAAACTGTTTTTTTCCCCTAAACCCTGTAGGGACCACTCAAGCTTCAGGGGCTAAGTAGTCAGATCCTAAACCTTTCGAGAGAGCCCTTGACTTCACCCCCTATAGGGACCACTTTTCGGCCCCTCTAGAGGCCGTTTTTCCCTTAAATCCTGTAGGGACCATTCAAGCTTCAAGGGCTAAGTAGTCAGATCCTAAACCTATAGAGACCACCTTGATTTTTACCCCTATAGGGACCACTTTTCGGCCCCCTCTAGAGGCCGTTTTTCCCTTAAATCCCTGTAGGGACCATTCAAGCTTCCAAGGGCTATGTAGTCAGATCCCTAAACCTATAGAGACCATCTTGATTTCACCCCTATATGGGACCACTTTTCGGCCCCTCTAGAGGCTGTTTTTCCCTTAAATCCCTGTAGGGACCATTCAAGCTTCAAGGGGCTAAGTAGTCAGATCCCTAAACCTATAGAGACCACCTTGATTTTTACCCCTATAGGGACCACTTTTTCGGCCCCTCTAGAGGCCGTTTTTCCCTTAAATCCCTGTAGGGACCATTCAAGCTTCAAGGTCTAAGTAGTCAGATCCTAAACCTATAGAGACCACCTTGATTTTACCCCTATAGGGACCACTTTTCGGCCCCTCTAGAGGCCGTTTTTCCCTTAAATCCCTGTAGGGACCATTCAAGCTTCAAGGGCTAAGTAGTCAGATCCTAAACCTATAGAGACCACCTTGATTTTACCCCTATAGGGGACTCACTTTTCGGCCCCTCTAGAGGCCGTTTTTCCCTAAATCCCTGTAGGGACCATCTCAAGCTTCAAGGTCTAAGTAGTCAGATCCTAAACCTAGAGACCATCTTGATTTCACCCCTATATGGACCACTTTTCGGCCCCTCTAGAAACTGTTTTTCCCCTAAACCTGTAGGGACCATTCAAGCTTCAGGGCTAAGTAGTCAGATCCTAAACCTATAGAGACCACCTTGATTTTACCCCTATAGGGACCACTTTTCGGCCCCTCTAGAGGCCGTTTTTCCCTTAAATCCCTGTAGGGACCATTCAAGCTTCAAGGGTCTAAGTAGTCAGATCCTAAACCTATAGAGACCATCTTGATTTCACCCCTATATGGACCACTTTTCGGCCCCTCTAGAAACTGTTTTTTCCCCTAAACCCTGTAGGGACCATTCAAGCTTCAAGGGCTAAGTAGTCAGATCCTAAACCTTTAGAGACCATCTTGATTTCACCCCTATATGGACCACTTTTTCGGCCCCTCTAGAAACTGTTTTTCCCCTAAACCCTGTAGGGACCACTCAAGCTTCAGGGGCTAAGTAGTCAGATCCTAAAACCTTTCGAGAGAGCCCTTGACTTCACCCCTATAGGGACCACTTTTCGGCCCCTCTAGAGGCCGTTTTTTTCCCTTAAATCCCTGTAGGGACCATTCAAGCTTCAAGGGCTAAGTAGTCAGATCCTAAACCTTTCAGAGAGCCACCTTGACTTTCACCCCTATAGGGACCACTTTTCGGCCCCTCTAGAGGCCGTTTTTCCCTTAAATCCCTGTAGGGACCATTCAAGCTTCAAGGGCTAAGTAGTCAGATCCTAAACCTATAGAGACCATCTTGATTTCACCCCTATATGGACCACTTTTCGGCCCCTCTAGAAACTGTTTTTTCCCCTAAACCCTGTAGGGACCACTCAAGCTTCAGGGGCTAAGTAGTCAGATCCTAAACCTTTCGAGAGAGCCCTTGACTTCACCCCTATAGGGACCACTTTTCGGCCCCTCTAGAGGCCGTTTTTCCCTTAAATCCCTGTAGGGACCATTCAAGCTTCAAGGGCTAAGTAGTCAGATCCTAAACCTTTCGAGAGACCACCTTGATTTTCACCCCTATAGGGACCACTTTTCGGCCCCTCTAGAGGCCGTTTTTCCCTTAAATCCCTGTAGGGACCATTCAAGCTTCAAGGGCTAAGTAGTCAGATCCTAAACCTTTCGAGAGAGCCCTTGACTTCACCCCTATAGGGACCACTTTTCGGCCCCTCTAGAGGCCGTTTTTCCCTTAAATCCCTGTAGGGACCATTCAAGCTTCAAGGGCTAAGTAGTCAGATCCTAAACCTTTAGAGACCATCTTGATTTCACCCCTATATGGACCACTTTTCGGCCCCTCTAGAAACTGTTTTTTCCCCTAAACCCTGTAGGGACCACTCAAGCTTCAGGGGCTAAGTAGTCAGATCCTAAACCTTTCGAGAGAGCCCTTGACTTCACCCCTATAGGGACCACTTTTCGGCCCCTCTAGAGGCCGTTTTTCCCTTAAATCCCTGTAGGGACCATTCAAGCTTCAAGGGCTAAGTAGTCAGATCCTAAACCTATAGAGACCACCTTGATTTTACCCCTATAGGGACCACTTTTGGGCCCCTATAGGGACCACTCTGGGGTTCCTAAGCACACCAAAACGAACCACTTCGATGTAATCCCTGAATTCGTCTTTTTCGGCGGTCGCAAAGGCCGGCATCCCGGTTTCTGGGTTGATATTGGTGAGGACAGGGGGAGGGTCGATTCCCTGGAAAATATCCCTTTATTGATCACTTCGAAAAATCTAGAAAAATTGACCTTTTTCGTGCAGTCTTCCTTGAACTTGTTCATGACTTTGGCCCCTTGCTCCTTGCTGAAAATTGGATCAATATTGATCGAAAGATGTGGGGAAATGGGGACCTAATGAGGGGCATGAGAAACTTGGCCTTGTCCTGGAATCCGGACATCATTTCCGACGTCGCATTAGGGTCTCCAGAACTGACGGCTTCCATGTAATCCTGGAAAATGACAGAAAATACTGAGAAAAAGCTCGATTATCAAAAAATTCTGCTCTTTTTCTCACTTTTGAAATGAAACTTCCTCACTTGGAAATTGATAAATTGCTTCAAAAAATCGTTTTTTTTTTTCAAACCAGTGGTACTATATTCATGGTTAAAAATCAAATTAAACCTTTCAAACATGAAAAACACAAGATTTGAAGAAAAAAAGCATATTTTTAATTTGAAGAGAAATTTGAAAAGGAAAAAAATCAGGAATTCATGAAATTTTTCGCTACAAAATGCAATGAGAAATGGGCGGAGCTAAATTTTTTTAAATTGCAAAATTTGAAAAATCTTATTTTGTGCGGAACACTAACTCAGTAAAAATAATATATCCATTTTTAAATTTTTAAAAGATGCCAGTTATGTATTTTTTTCTGTTCAGGTGTTATTTTTTTCCACTGTTTAGGGGGGCAGACGATTGGACTGTGAAAAATAAATGATATATCAAGGAAAATTTCTAATAAGTCATATCGAAAAAAGCCTCCCACCTCTGCTTCCAATCAAACTTTACTTTAGAATAGGAAAAAAAATTTTTCAAGAAAAAATCCCGTAGAAAACGAACATTGAGGAGCTTCTCCAGAAGGGCCATGTACATCAAGGCGAGCTTCTCCTTGACGACGTCGATACAGACGGTCAACATGGACAATCCGACGATCACCACGCCAAATGTGGCGATCATGTATTGAGGGTTATCCGGGGTCACATCGCCGAGGCCTAAAAGTTCGACCAATATCAGTTTTGGGGCCAAAAATGAGGGTCATTTCCTTATTTTCTCAAAAATTATTCAGAAGACTTCTGAGAGTCTAAATCCGTGAAAATTCCTATTTCTTGAAAAAGGACACCTCAGGGTCAAAGAAAACCCCAAAATTCCTTAAAATGGGTTCTATTCAGTTTTTGAGCCATTATTCGTGGCTAAAAAAGAGATTTTGAGCCATTATTCAAGGCCAGAAAAGGTTCTTTTGAAACCTTGAGCCATTATTCAAGGATAAAAAGGGTTATATTGAGGCTTTGGGCCCTTATTCGAGGCTATACTGAGACCTTGAGCCATTATTCGAGGCTAAAAAGAATATATTTAGAAATTGAGCCATTATTCGAGGCTAAAAACGGTAATATTGAGACCTTGAGCCCTTATTCGGGGCCAAAAAGGTTATATTGAGAGCTTGAGCCCTTATTCGTTGCTAAAAGAGGCTATTTTGAGACTTTGAGCCCTTATTCGAGGCTAAAAAAAGATATATTGAAAATTTGAACCCTTATTCGGGGCCAAAAAGGTTATATTGAGAGCTTGAGCCCTTATTCGTTGCTAAAAGAGGCTATTTTGAGACTTTGAGCCCTTATTCGAGGCTAAAAAAGGATATATTGAAAATTTGAACCCTTATTCGGGGCCAAAAAGGTTATATTGAGAGCTTGAGCCCTTATTCGTTGCTAAAAGAGGCTATTTTGAGACTTTGAGCCCTTATTCGAGGCTAAAAAAAGATATATTGAAAATTTGAACCCTTATTCGGGGCCAAAAAGGTTATATTGAGAGCTTGAGCCCTTATTCGTTGCTAAAAGAGGCTATTTTGAGACTTTGAGCCCTTATTCGAGGCTAAAAAAGGATATATTGAAAATTTGAACCCTTATTCGAGGCTAAAAAGGGTTATATTGAGACTTTTGAGCCCTTATTCGAGACTAAAAAAAAGTTAATTTGAGACTTTGAGCCCTTTTACAAGGCTAAAAAGGTTATATTGAAAATTTGAGCCATTATTCGAGGCTAAAAAGGGTTTATAGAGACTTTGAGCCATTATTCGAGGCTAGAATGGGTTATTTTGAGACTTTGAGCCCTTAATCGAGGCTAAAAACAGTTATATTGAGACTTTGAGCCCTTTTCAAGAATCGTCTAGAATTTTTTTCTGGCCGTGTTCCAGGAACTTCCCAACCACAAAGTGACTTTGAAAATCACAATTTTTCAAGGTCTAAATCTCAAAAAAAAGCCCCAAAAATCAATCAGAAGCCCACCGATAGTACTCAAAGAGATGAAGCAAAAATAAAAGCTAGTGAAATAATCCCAGCTTTCGAAGAGGCAAAACACCGCCGCCGACAGCATTATCCAGCCGACAGTGACTGGAAAAAATCGATGGTCATTAAATTGAATTTTTTAAAAACTGAAAAGGGTTGATAAGATCGGAGGATCCGGCGGTGGCTCAGCTTCATGGGGCTCTTCAAAATTAGGCGATTTCTTGTCGTCTATCGGAGTCTGGAAAAATTGAACTTCAATAATTAATTTCTAGTCTTTTCTCGGAGTTTTCAAACTATCAGAAGTAGTGAGTTTCTGGGAAAAGCTTGAGTGGGGCCTGTGGGCCTTTACAGATGTCTAAGTGGGCCCTGGAGGGAAAATAACCCCTTTACAGAGGCATAAGTGGGCCCAAAAAGGAATAAGAACGAACCCACGGAAGCGTAGTGGGTCTTGTAGGGGAATAAACCCGCCTACAGAGGTATCAGTTGTTCTTGTAGGGAAAAGAACCCCTAAGTGGGTACTGTAGAAAAAAGAACCCCCTAAGGAGGTATGGGTGGGTCCTGTTGGGAAAAGAACCCCCTACGGAGGTATAGATGGGTCCTGTAGGAAGAGGAGCCACTCTAAAGAGGTACAATTGGGTCCTGTAGGGAATACAATCCTTGTACAAAGGTATAAATGGGTCCTGTGGAGGGGGGTAAGAACCACCTTACGGAGGTCTAAGTGGGCCCTATAGAGAAAAGAAACTCCTAAAGAGGTATCAGTTGTTCTTGTAGAGAAAAGAACTCCTAAGTGGGTAATGTAGAAAAAAGAACCACCCTACGGAGGTCTAAGTGGGCCCTATAGGGAAAAGAACCACCCTACGGAGGTCTAAGTGGGCCCTATAGGGAAAAGAACATTCTACGGGGTATAAGTGGGCCCTGTAGGGAAAAGAACCACCCTACGGAGGTGCCAGTGGGTCCTGCCCTTCTGCGCCCCCTAAAGGTCCCCCAAAACCTCTAAAATCCCTTCAGGACCCACTTCAGCTTTTCCCAGTACACCCAATCCCTTACCAAGGCACTGATCGAGAAGCTCTTGATGAGCCCCGCCCGGTGTAACTTCCGGCAAATAATCTGGTAGCGTAACCTCTCTTTGGACCCTTGCTGTAGAGTTACGAAACCGCTTTTAACACCTGAAAACGTACATTTGAAAAGTCAAGAGTCATGAAAATATAATATATGGATATGAAAACAACTATATTCAAGATAGAGATCGCAAATTCCGTGGAAAAAATCAATTATTTGTTTATTCAGATTTTGAATGCCAAGTAAAATGTCGTCATTGGAGAAGGCTCTTTGGATGGCTCGCTCTCTAATTGGTTCATCGCGTCATTAGGGGCGGAGCTTAAGCTTGAGAACCATAAAAGTTCAATATTGAACCTGAATTTCTTGGGAACAGCAGAGTGGCCCCTATAGGGTTTAGGAGAGACAAAAAGTGCTTCTTATAGGCGTGAAATTTAAGTGGCCTCTATAGGGATTCAGGATTTGACCCCTCACATTCTAAAACCCAAGTGAACCCTACAGGGTCTTTTAAAAATTAATCAATATGGGGGCCACCATTGCAAGCTTCATTGGTCCCTAGAGGGGAGCCTAGAACCGCTAAGATGGCCCCTAAAGGAACCACTTTGGACTCCCTAAAGTATTCATTATTTTAAACCCCTAGAGGGAGCCTTCAAAAAAATCGCTGAGATGTCCCTAAAGGGACCCCTTTGGACTCCCTAAAGTATTCATTATTTTAAACCCCTAGAGGGAGCCTTCAAAAATCGCTGAGATGTACCCTAAAGGGACCACTCTGGTCTCCCTAGGATTTTCATTATTTTGGACCCCTAGAGGGGAGACTAGAACCGCTAACGTCGCCCCAAAAGGGACCCCTCTGGACTCCCTAGTATTTTTCTTATTTTACCCTAAATGTAGCTGTACCTTCGATTAGACTCATTTCAAAATGACTTCTCAAAAAAATCATCAAACTGAAAACGAAAGGCCTAATATTCACCAATGTACAGAACCAGATCGCTGGTGAAATTGGAGATGATCCGGATCCATTTCAGGAGGAAATTGTTCAACGACGTCAACATGACGAGCATTATCGGGATACCCACGAACGCGTAGATCATCGTCGCGATTCGTCCGCCCAGAGTTTTGCAAGCGATGTTTCCATAGCCTATGAAAAATATACTGAAGTGGTATCGATATTATTGATTTAAATGATTCGGATATTCAATAAAACACAAAAAAACTAGGCTTCAGCGAATATATATTTTTCGATCTAAACATTTTGAAAATCTCTTGAAACAGTAAAATGAAGGTGAAACAGTGAAATGAGGTTTTTCGAAATCTTCTAAAAATTCCATGAAACAGTAAAAATAAGATTCAGAAAATCAATATTCTCAATTATAACCTTCTCGAGAAATCCATGAAACACATAAAAATAAGGTTCAGGAAAATCGATATTTTTAATCTAAACTTTGCGAAAATTCCATGAAACACATTGAAATAAGGTTCATGAAAATCGATATTTTTTGATAATAAACCACCTAAAAATTCCATATAACACGTTAAAAATAGGGTTACGGAAATCGATATTATTGATCTAAATTTTTAAAAATTCAATGAAACACATAAAAACTCAGCTTCAGCAAATCGATATTTTTGATCTAAATATTCTGAACATTCCGTGAAACAGTAAAATAAGGCTCAGGAAATCGACATTTTTAATCCGAAATCTCCTAAAATTCACTAAAAGACGTTCAAACAAGATTCGAAAAGTCGATATTTTCGTTCTAACCTTCCCGAAAATTCCATGAAACAGTAAAATAATGTTCTTTAAATCAATTTTTTCAATGCAAAATTTCCGAAAATTCCATGAAAAACTTTTAAATAAAGGCCAGGAAATTGATAATATTGATCAATATCTCACAAAATTTCATGAAACACATAAAAATGAGGTCCATAAATGAACGATTTTAAGAAACTTCGTGATTTTTGGCTTTTTCTCAAGAATCAGAAAATTGTGGTGGTTAATCCTTTCAGGAATATTTTCTGATGAATCAAGGAGTATTCTGACCAATTTTCAGGAAAATTCCAATCAAAAAGTAAAATGACCTCTTTTATTAGAACTGAATCTACAATAACTGTTTTAAAGCTTAAAATTCAGTTCTAATCAATTATCTCACCAATAGTAGTATAAATCGTGCCGGCGTAAAGGAAAGACATCCAAAAGGTCCAGGCCGACTCAACGGAGGGCTCTTCGATATTATGGGCGGACTCGAATTGCAAAATGGCGTCTTTCCATCTTTCTTCCCGGTCTTCACGATTGTCAAAGTAAATGGCACGGAGACTGAAAATGAACAAAAACTGTGATAAATTGCATTGAGCAATAAAAGCAATAAAAAACACGAAAATCCCTCAATTTATCTTCAAATTGAATCTAAAAACACTTACTTCAAAATTAAATTCTCCCGCGCAACCTTCCACGTTATCAGATCATCTTCTTTGCTTTTGAGATCAGTCGGAACCTTCAAATATTCTTTTTTGTCTTTTTTAAATTATAAATATACCTCGAGATACATGAATAAATAAGCGCCTAGGACGGAATAAATAGCGATCAAAATCAACAATTTCATACTGCTAAGTATCTTTGACAATGGTGAGGTAATGTAGGATAAGTAGTGGCGACTGAAAAAAAAAAATCAATTTTTGAACGAAAAAAAAATGGAACTTACGCCCTGCGAGTGGAGCTTTTTGCGCTTTCTTTTATTGAGGCAACTAGGGAGACGGGCCGCTCCTCCTCGAAATTGTGCATTAGGTGACATCTTGAAAAGAAAAAACTTCAAATCCGTTAAAATTAATGAAAAAAAGGGAAGAAAACTCTTTTGCGCGTGAAAAAGTATACGCAGTGTGCAAGAGCTGGTGTATGCACAACACACGCAATTTCACGCGCAAAGTTCATTTTCTCACCTAGACGACGTGATGCCCGCCTCAACGTCGACGTCCATAAGCGAACGAGTGTCCCCATCTGCCGGCTCGATTTCTATGGCCTCAAAATGGAAAATTCCATGAGAAAGAAAAAAATTTTCAATTTTTCCCAATGAAAATCACAGACATTCTCACTGTAGCGTGACGTAGAAGCCGAGGTTTGCGGCACCAAATGTAAACTAGGCCGATTACGGTAGGAAACCGTACTGGAGCGGACAAGAATCGACATGAGGCATGAGAAAAGGAAGCCAAATGAGACGGCGAGATGGTCGATACTTTATCGATTATCACTTATCTAGCGATTTCGGGCGAGCTTTTTCACACCCCATCGCGATCTGTTTGAGCAGGTCACTCGGCTGGGAGCAAGGAAACTTTGGAACTTATATAAAAAAACTTCAAAATTTCGAAATCCAGTCGGGATTTTTTTCAAAAAATTGAGAACATTTTAAATTTTGAAAAAAAGGCTATTTTTTTGTTCAGGATCGTTGGAGCATTATTTTAAACATTTAATGTGTAAAAAATCCAGAGTGGCCCCTAAAGGGGCATACTTGAAGGCCTTTGAATGTTTCTCCCTAGGGACCTCTCGGGGGAGCACGCTAGTGGCCCCTAAAGTGGTTTCAGTTATCAAGAAATTGGCGTTTTTTCAATGAAAATTTTTAACAGAGAAAAAATTGATCAAGTACGTTTTTTTTAAATATGCCCTTTAGGGACCACTTAAGCTCTAGGCGTTTAGGGGTCAAACCAAAAAAAACCTATAGGGACCACTTGAATTTTACCCTGTACCAATTAGTTTTTCCCTCAATCCCTATAGGGACCACTAGCGTTTCAAAATAAAGCCGGGATTTCGTCGGAACTGAGTAAATTGATTTCGTTAATCAATTAAAAAATCCAGAGTGGTCCCTAAAGGGGCGTCCTAAAGGGGCTTTGAATGTTCCTCTCTAGGGACCACTGTACCTGCGCCGATAGGAATCTCAGTTAGTGGCCCTTACAGGGGGGGAGCATGCTAGTGGTCCCTAGGGGGTTTTTCAATGAACTAGCGTTGCCTAAATGAAAAAATATCAACAGAGGATGAAGAAATCAAGTCCGTTTTTTAAATGTGCCCTTCAGGGACCACTTAAGCTTTAGAGATTGGAGGGTTAGACCAAAAAAACCCAGAAGAAAATAAATTTTACCCTAAAGGGGGGGCTTTTGTCCTCATCGGAGCCTTTTTTTCCCTTAACCCCTATAGGGACCACTAGCGTTTCTGAATAAGGAATTATTTTGTTGGAACTGAATAAATCCTTCAACAAATCTAGATGGTAAAGGAGATTCCGAATAAATTTATCGATTCCCGAGCTCATTTTTGTTTTTTTGTTTGACCTCAGAAGCTTCATTTTGAATTTTTAAGAGGCTTGTACCCAGCTGGTTCCCCTTCTATTAAGATTTCAAGGCTAATATCGTCTCTATTTATATTTATAAAATTATGAATATTCACATGGGGTTCAAAAACTCAAAAATTCATTTTTACAAGTGATCTATCGATAATGTCCCCTTCTCAGGGCCAGCTTATTAGTTCCGAAGGCTCAAAAAGTGCGCGAAATGGGGGCTTCTCGTTGGGGGTTTTGAGTGTGTTAACACGTTGCGACAGACCTCGGCCAACAAAACATCGATAACTGTTAAGTGGGGGTACGGAAGCACCGGCCTCAATGTTGCGGAAAAGGTTTCGAGTTATAAACAATGAGAAATTCGCTAACTACAAGTCGAAAGAACCCTTTGAGCGTCCTTTATGGATTAAAGGGTTTTCAACAATTTTCTCAAAACGGGACAGGTGGCAACGGTTTCTTTTTCACTGCCTTTTTCCCTTCTTTCATCGACCTTCATCCACCCTTTTTGGACCCTTTTTTGAAAATAATCTTTAGCAGTGAATGTGTATTAACCAGAAAGTGCTACAGTAATAATCGGAAACCATCAATTTCTGAGCCTTTCTGCGCCCTTTTTAGCCCTGCAAAAAAGAAAGGCTCAATAAAGGCCGTAAAAAGGAACCCTTTTAGCAGCAATTTTGCACCCGTTTTACGCACTTTGGCAGTGTAGAGGCTTTAGAAACTCATATGAAAAATTAAAACTGATAAGGATAGAAAAATGACAAGAGAAAAAAGAAGTGAGGTAGAAAGATTCTACTAGGAAATCACGAAAAAGCAGTGATATTTTTTTTCAAAAAGAAGGTTTCAAAAAATCCAAGGACACCATCTTTCTGGAAGAAAAGAAGAAATAAACTATCTTTAGCATGTCGTCAAAGTCTATTTTCAAAAAATAAGGCCATCTTGAGAAGTAAAAAAAAGTTCATCTGTAGAGAATAGTCCAAAAATAACGACTTATCATATTTTCAAAAAACAAAAATATTCAAATAATCGATTTTACAACACTCCCAGGTCAGAAAAAGCTCTAGAATTTGTGAATTTCTAGTCGAAAAAAAGAGGGGAAGTCAATAGAAAAATATTTCTGATGGTCAAGAATGAATCTAGTTTACAAATTGAGTCAAACTCACAAAAATTCTCCTCGGACATGGCGACGGCATAACAAGGGGACTAATCCCCCTTCAATAAATCACTAAAAAATTAATGAGTCAGAATGAGCAATGGACATGGGGTTGGAGATGATCTCCGAGATGTCAGCTCGGGTTGGGCGTCTCCGGGAGAAAGTTCCGCTTCTTCCGACGGCCAATTCGAGGGCGTCGGTCAACACAGAACAAATACACAGCCCCCCAAGACAATGTTGCTCGCCACTGAAACGCTGTTCGTTTTTGAGAGCAATTCAGTTCTCAGATTGGTCAAAATCAGTAGTTTTTGGGCATTAATGGCTTCTTGATGTACTAGGAAAAGATTCTGAGAGTCTCAACCTGCCCAACTACCTAGTTTTTGTTGAATAGAGCTCAGATATTCTATTTCAACGACTTTTGAGAGTTTTTTTTTCCCTCGAAAATCAGGATTTTCAGAACATTCCAGAGGAACAGTAAAATCACTCCCCGAAGAGGAAAAATAGCCGCCTTCTAGAAGGAAACAAATTTGAACTAAAAACCTGCTAAGAATGAGCAACCAGCTACTGTAGTTCTATTAAAAAATTGCTGACCTCAAGAAAAAATTAGGAAATTTTCGCCTGCTGGCAGGGATTTTCGATTTTGCACCTTCTGAACTCTTTCCCAAGACCTTCTAGCTTCCATTCACAATTCAAGCTTCTGCTGGTCTCCCTCCCAGGAATCGCCTGACAGGGAAAAATTCTGAGCTCTCAGTGGGACTTCTGAATGAGGCTAGGTTCCTTAGAGGTAGCATTTCACGTTTATTCTGAATCTATGACTCAAAATTGCCCTCGAGGCCTGTGAAAAAAGTTAGGGACCGTCAAAGTCGAAGTTCGACTAGTGGAACAGGATCTGCATACCCATAAAATAAAGAGCTTTTTTTCGATTTTGACAGCCCCTAACTTTGTTCACAGGCCTTGAAAGCCACTTCTAAGCTTAGATTCGAAATCAGCGTGGAAAACTTCCTCTAGTGACTATAGTTTCATTCAGAATTCCCACACTCCGAACATTTCCTGGTGGATTCATAGATCAGGCTATTTCTTCCAGAAAAGCGGCCCTAATTACCTATAAACTGTGCTCCATTGCTAAAAATAGCCTCTGACCGCTGTCAAAGTCGGAAGTGCAGAAAACGGGTGCAAAATGGCCGCTAAAAGGGTTCCGTTTTGGGACCTTTATTGAGCCTTTCTTTCATCGTGGGCTAAAAAGGCTCGAAAAAGGGTGAAAAAGGGCTCGGCCATTAATGATTTCGGATTTTTTTTTTACTGCAGCAAATTTTGGTTCATAGACAGTCACTGTTTAAAAAAAGTTGTGTTTCTCAAAAAAGGTCCAAAAAGGGTCCAAAAAGGCCGATGAAAGGACTGAAAAAGGCAGCAAGAAGGAAACCATTGCCAACCTTTTGCACCCATAACGGACCCTCAAAAGGCCCGGGTCCTTCCGACTTTGCCCATAAAATGTTAAATAAAGCATTTGAGGAGCCCTGAAACAGGGATCAGATATTAATCAAACAAAAGATATCGGAAAAGATGGACACAATGGAAGGAAAAAAAGACATGAGTGAGGGACACACACAAAAGATAACATGGGATAGCATCAACGAACAAACAAAAATAGCGGGGATTCGCCGATCTCAATCCGGGTGATCAAAACGGAAAGATCAAGATTTTGAAAAATTGTTCATTATCATTTTCAATGTCTCCTAGTGATTTCGTTTCTAAGTTTTTTTATAAAACCATAAATTGTTTATCTCCATCTAAGTAAGTGTTAAAAAAATCCGAAAAAAATTCTGAAATTTTTTTTTTTCCAATTTTGTTTCTTTTTTTCCAGTTTCAAGTTTCAAAACCTTAAGAACCTTCAGAAAATTCATTTTTCTATAAAATTTGCACCTCCAGGATAATATTACTCTTTTTCTCACTACTCGGAGCCCAAAAAAACTGAAAAAAATCGAAAAAGCCCTATTTTTCTTGAATGTGCGCCCCATTGCTAATTTCTATTTCCTGCTATTTTTTTAATCCATTTCCAAGCCTTTCAACACTTGAACCTTCAAAAATCTTCTTTTTCCTTCTGCCCTGTCAGAATGAAATATTTTCCTTTATTAGCAAAAGCCATATTTTTCTTGGAATTTGCGCCCCATCGCTAGTTTCCATTTCCCTGCTATTTTTTTCAATTAATTTGGAAGCTTCAACCTTCAAAAATATCATTTTTTTCCTTACAATCTGCACTGTCAGGGTGGATATTTATCCTCTTAAAAAAATTAGCAAAAAGCCATTTTTTTATTGGTATTCGCGCTCCATTGATAATTTCTCTTTTTCTGCTATTTTTAATCGATTTTGAAGTTTCAATCTTAAAAAAATCCCATATTTCCTTCAAATCTGCCCCGACAAGATGAAAACTCCTCCTCTTAAAAAAAAATTAGCGAAAGCCATATTTTCTTGGAACTTGCGCCCCATTGATAATTTCAATTTCGCTGCTATTTTAGAGCCATTTCGAAGCTTTTCAACCCTTAAACCTTCAAAAATCTCATATTTCCTTCAAATCTGCACTGTCAGGATGTAAAATGGCCCTCTCTAAAAAAAGCCATATTTTCTTGGAAATTGCGCCCCATCGCTAATTTCTATCTTCTAGCTACTTTCTCGGGTCGGAGCATTTCCAGTGACCACTATAGTACCGTCAAAACTCTTAAGTGACCCCTAGAATCGCTCAGAAAAATCCGGAGCTCGTTCGAGATTTTTAAAGGGGGGCGGGGGGATTCAAAAATATTTCTATAATTGTCATTCAAAACTTCTCATCCATTGAAAAAAAATCCCTTTCTCTTCAAATTTGCCCAAAAACCATCGTCCCACCTTATTTTCGTAGCTTTCCTCCTTTGCAGGACCTTCAAAAGTGCGAACGGAAACGATATTTGCGTCAGAAAACACCTCCGCACAACTTTTTTTGCCTCCCCATATCTCCCCGGCTCTTCAAACAGTCGAGTGGCGTCACTGCAAAATGGCAAATAAGTTGCAAAATAACACTTTTCAGTGCGAATTTCTTGCATTTCGTGACAGATTCCGATCAATTAGGCGTCCACTTTCCTTGTTTTAAATGTCCTCGGATTGGATTTCACGGGAAAAACAACATTTTTTTCAAGAACTACACGAGAAAAGGAACTGAGTACTTCAAGAGCCGTGTATTTTTAACTAGGGCAAAGATGGTGGATAATGGGTCAAAAAAGGCTGCAAAAAGGTCGCAAAAAGGTCGCAAAAAGGCAGCAAAAGGTCGCAAAAAGGTAGCGAAAAGGTCGCAAAAAGGAAGCAAAAAGGTCGCGAAAAGGAAGCAAAAAGGTCGCAAAAGGGGAGCAAAAAGGTCGCAAAAAGGCAGCAAAAAGGCTGCAAAAAGGTCGCAAAAAGGAAGCAAAAAGGCAGCAGAAATGCCCCAAAAAGGCAGCAAAAAGAGTCCCGTAATAAGCCTTCCATTTTCTCTGAGATTTTGAAGGCTGGAAAAAAGGAGAGGCAGCAAAATTGGTGCATAACAGCTTATAAAAGGGTGCAAAAAGGCTGGAAAACAGGAGCCTTTTTCACCTTAAGGGAGCCTTTCTATGGAGCCTTTTTCCACCGTTTCCAACTTTGCCTATGATAAAACTTTGAGAAAATTTTTGTTCGATGACGTCATCTAAGGTTCGATGACGTCACTAATAATCTTCAGAATGACGTCAATTTTATGATTGGCCTTTTTTTTTAACAAACAAGGGCAAACATATCCGGATCCTAACCCATATAAAATTTCTACCGAAAGCATTTTAAAACTTAATTTTTAAATCTTGACGTCATACAGGACTTCATGACGTCACTATTTTTACAATAGTTCCGATAGTTTCCCTAAAAATGGCTTGGGAACTCAAATTTGACTAAAAATCTCAAATAGTCCATTCACCAGCACCTGGGAAAGTCTGACATCTCTGCGTCTCTTTTCCCCCATAGAAAAATAAAAAATAGCAGGTAAAAAGAGAGAGCGCAGAGAAACCAGACTTTTCCAAGTTCAACAAAACTCAACGAATAATTTTCAAAACCAACCTTTTCCAATTAAGAGCCGTGACGTCATAAAAATAAAGTTGATGACGTCATCCTTCTATTTCTTTCAAGTACTCGAAAAATTTACAGATAAGAAAATTCGAGAAACTGTGGACGAAGCACTTTATACAGAATGTCAATCAATCGAGATAATCCCAGCTGTTTCCGAAAAAGGGTCTTGGATCGAGGTCGCGACGTCTTCTGAAGAGGAACGTCGAGGGCAGACGACGTTGGACGCGTTGAGGTTCGTCGGCGAAACGGAGCGACGGGGACAGAGGCCTGGCTCCGGTCCACATCGACGGCCGGACCGAGAAAACTTGTCCGACTGCTGGAATTCTCAAGAATCTTTCCTTTCCTTCCAGTTTTCTTGGAAACTCTCCTAACCAAAATTGTTCCGAATGATCTTTGAAATTTGAGTTTTCGGATTGAAACTGATTGTTGAAAGACAAGAAAATCGGAAAATCGGAAAAAGAACCTTTTCTTGATTAAATTTTTCAGACTTGCTAGCGTTCTCCGGATGCTTCTGAACATTTCTAGTGATCACTTTAGTGGCGCTAAGTGGGTACGTTTCTAGTGATCACTTTAGTGGCGTCAAGTGGGTACGTTTCTAGTGATCACTTTAGTGGCGTCAAGTGGGTACTAAAAACGGCTGTGTTTTAAAAACGTCAGCACTTTTAAAGTATACAAAAAATGCTCAGAAACGTCCGGGGAGCGTCCGGTTTGCGTTTTTAAGATCCGAAAAAATGTGAACTTTTTAATTTTTTCCTGTTCTTCTCACTTTATTCAAATTAGTCGTTAAAACCCTAAAAAAGTTCGAAAAATTCACCCTCTAGCAAAACTATTTGACGTTTTCATAACCTCAAAACACCGTCCCCAACTTTTAAACCTGATTTTCAATTTATCACATTTTCAAAAATTTTTCCTAAAGACGATTATGAGATTCCTGCAAGGAAAAAAAATCATTCTTTTTTCTAAAGCCATAAAATGTGTTGATCAAGCTTTTCTTTCTCACAAAAGCCAAGAGTTCAAGCAAAAATCTTTATTTTTTCCCCAGCCAAGGAAGCATTTCTCTCTCAAGCGACGGACACGTGATCTTTAAAACGAATTCAGATTTTATTTTTCTGAACTTTTGGCTCTTGAGAGCAATAAATGTTACAGGCATAAAAGGGGGAGGCCGATTTTTTGTATCATTAAACTTGTCTGGCAAGCTTGTCAGATGTCTAGGATGAATTTTCTCGGTTTGAATAATTTTTTGATTTTTTTTCATGGTCTATTCTGTCCACTACAGGTTTCTCCTACCTTTTTTAGGTCAAAGTCCAAAAAAAAGTCTTCAAAAAGTAGTATCTAGGGCTTCTTTTTGAAGTCCTAAAAAGGTGCTTAAAGTTTCTCTGAAGCCTTTTTTTCCACCTTTTCTATTTTTCTCCTAGAAAGGTTCCTATAGGAGAAGGGTTAAAAAAGAGCCTGTAAGGCCTTTTTCCCACAAGCTTCTTTTTAGATCCTTCTGGACCTATTACCTTCATCCCTCTGAATATTCATTTCCAAAAGTCCTTTTAAATTTTCTTTTCCTAGGTCGTTCCAAAAAGAAAAAAAAACCAGAAAACTTCAACCTAATTGGATGCCAAAAGTACCCAATAGCCAGAAGAGTTCAAAAATTCATTTTTCCAACTAGTTTTTCTTCAAAGTTTGAGATATTTTGGCCTAGATAAACATTGGAAAACGTTCTTTGGACGGATATTATTGTCGAAATAACACTAAAAGTTAGTTAGTGACTAATTTTATATCATTCCGACTGCTTTTTCCTAAAATAAGTCTTTTTCAACCCCTTCCAAATTTTTTTTTTTTTCTTTAATTTAAACTGAGAAGGCTGATATTTCCTTTCACGCAAAATAATTCGCTCATTTTCAAATAAATAATTTTAAAAATAATTTTGAAAAAAATTAGTGAATCACATACACTTTTAAGAGCTTTTCAGGTAAGTTTAAGAAAATTCATTTCTAGGCTCTTTTTTTTAAATTTTTTCGTACAGGGGAGGTCATTTCACTTAACGGTTGGGAATTTCCTGAAAATTAGCCAGAACACTTCTTGATGTATCAGATGAAGATTCTGAAAGTCACAATATCCCAGTTTTCAAGAAATAAAGGCTCAAAGCCTCAAAATGGCTCATTTTAACGGATTTTGAGGAACTTCTTAGGCTTTTAGGTATCCTTTCTCAAAAAATAGGAAGTTTCGAAGGTTGAGACTTTCAATGTGTACATCAGGTACATCAAGGAGTGTTCTGGCCAATTTTCAGGAAATTCTCAACCGCAAAAGTGATTGACCTCCCTCTTTCGGTCGATTTTTCGTTCTAACTTTGTTTTTCCCTGATTTTGAAACATAATAAATCCACTAAAAAGTCAAATTAATAAATTTCGGAAATAACTTCCTATTTTTATGAACCTATAAAAAGTCGAAAATACTCCATTTTGCATCCTTCAATTCCAATCCGGCAACACCACTCAATTTCTTCGCTAATCCCTCAAAAGCTCCGGAAATCAGGAAACTCACAAGTTAATTGCGGCTGCCAGTTGTTCGCGTCTGTTGATGGGTTTTTCAAAACTGCAAGAGCTTATAATGAAAAAATCCCGTTTGCAAATCAAAAACATACACAATTTGATGGAAAAAACGGGGGTGGCGTAGAAAAACGTCAGGAACACGGCGGAAATTGGCAAAAGCAGCATTTTTTTACTCTTCAAGTTCTTCTTTTTTTTTATCCTGTTGCTTGTCCTGAAATCAAATTCATTCGGTTCATTCAACTTGTGCGTCGGCGGGGGTTCTTTTGTGTGTGGGTGAATGGGGAACTTTTTTCTGAGGACGGAAAAAAAAAACCTTTTTTCTGATTGCAAGAAGAAAAAAAACAGAATAATTCATGGGAGCCGCGTGTGCTGACTTGAAAATCAGTGCAATGTTTTGAAAAAAATCCGGATTTCTTTTCACATGGGAATTGAAATTTGATGAAACTTGGTGTATAGGTACTTTAGGACACCCTGATTCCAATAATGTTGAAAAAAAAGTGTCCTTTTGCGTTCTAGTCGAGTTATGGCATCTCAAAGTTTGCACGCGGAAAATGTATTGGACAGGCGGAGGGAATATGGCGCGGAGGCTAAGTTCCAATGTCAACATGCGGCGTGGTAAAGTGGCTAGCGGCCTTGCACTGGAAAACCTACTACGCAAGTTCGATCCCGAAAATTTATTTTTGCCGATTTTTCTTTCGAAGAAATTGATGAAATAGAGCGAAAAATACCGCCAAAAGTGTTGAAAACCACTATTTTATGTCGTTTTGAGTAGGGATTTCGACGAAAATACCTTGTCAGATGGTATTACACCTGATACCTCGTCAATTTCATCAAAACTTGAAAAAATAGCCTTTCATCAAAGTTTGAAAAAAATAGCCGTGATCTACGGAGTCTTGGAAAATTAATACTTCATTATTTTCATTCTTTCTAACCTAAGAAAGCTCAAGAATCTTTAAAAGACCTAACAAAAACTTCCCTGACTACTGAGAAATAAAAAGCCGTTCTGAGCGGAGTTTCGGAAAAAAATCAGGAGACAAATTATTCTATATAGAAAATCGTACTATTTCTATTCTGAAACATGAACTTTCATCACTTTTTCCTATTAAAAAAACCACTAGCTCCAAATTACAGCCGATTAATAATTCAGTACGAGGCTCCGCTAAAACGCGACCCATCAAAGAGTTAATTGGGGGGTTATTCATATGGAAACTGGTCTCTGGAGGATAGAATTGGATTATTTTTAGGTTTCATATTTTTGAGTTGAAAGGCTTCTGAACTTTCACCTATTTCGAGAAAAAAGTCATCGAAGCATAAAAATGGAATTTTGAAGCTTTCAAAAGCCGAAAATAACCTCTCAACTCTCCGAAAATAAACACGAGTTCCGGTGAGTTTTGAGATTCAGAAATGAAAGGCAAAAGGGTTTTCGAGACTGAAAAGGAGAGCTGGAGGAGGTCGGACTGGCCGTTCCGCTCCGTTGGGCCCGCCCCCATTTCAACAATTCGAGAGCAGATCGCCTTCCTATCTAGCCTTTTCTCTCCACTAACAAATTGAGTTTGGGGCTCGAGTGTTTCTCGAAAGTTCAAACATTATTTGGGATCGGGAAACATTTGAATAGGGACGCTTTCCTCCGTGAAAAATGGGCTAATTTTCAAGATAGAAGGTCATTTTAGTTTTTGTCTGAGAATTTTCTGAAAATTGGCTAGAAAGCTCCTTGGTGTACCAGAAGAAGATCCTGAAAGTCTCAAATCTCAAAACCTTCTAGTTTTTGAGAAAAGTCAGAGAGAACCCTCAAAATCTGGTCGTTTTGAAGCTTCTAGCCCTTCTTTCTCGAAAGCTAGAAAGTTCTGAAGGTTGAGACTTTCAGGATCTTCTTCTGGTCCATCAAGGAGTTTTCGAGCCAACTTTTAGGAAAATTCCAACCGCAAGGTTTAATTATATTACTTTTTAAGCTTTTTCTTGTGAGGTATTGGGGGGACGACTAAATCTTTTCATAAGCTAATGATTTTTCCACCAGATGATCAGAACCGCCTCCTGAGATGAAAAAAATTTAAGATGGGCTAAAAAAATGAAAAAAACTTTCTTCCTCCAGGTCACCAACTCCATAAGAAAAAAATAAAATTTTTCTGCTTTTTCAGACCAAAATTTTGAACTTTTTCCCAAGTGATATATTCCCCTTTTTATCCAATTTTAAATCGCTCCAGTTCCAATTCCAAGTCAGCACCGACCCCAGTTTCAAACATTTTGAAATAATCCCCAAGTGATAAGAGCCATTATATATTTTTAGATGCGCTGAAATTTTTCACAAGCTGATATAATCATGACGAAAGATCATATTTACAAACGGATAAGGATTTTTTGACCGGAAATGGTTTATAAAAATGAAAAACTGTCAAAATTCATTTTGAAGACCTTTCCAATCAGTGAATGTCTAAGAATCAATCTAGAAAGTTCTTTGATTATTCCAAAGATCTGCGAATTTTACGCTCTTATCTCAAGTCAACAATCAAAGTCGGTGTCTACTCTTTCTGGTTATCGTTATCTGTTGATTTCGAGGCAGTTTTAGGTCTTTTTAAAGCTGTCCGGGACAGGTTTTTCGTCACTTTTCGGTCGTCCCTTGGGTCCTCTTATCGGGGGGCCTTTCTGGTGGTTACAGGGACTTGTTTTAAGATATTTTTGTATCATTTTTTGACGTTTTAATTCTTTAGGAACCACTCAGTGATGTCTTTAGAATATTTATGATATTTATATGATACCTTCTATGATATTTATCTCTTTGATTTTTTTAACAAGTTTCTCTGAAAAAGGATGTGCTTTCATTTCCGAAATTTCCTTTTAAAACTTCAACAAACTTTTCCCTTATGGCTCTAGGAACCCTAAACCGTTTAAACCAAATTTTATCCATTTCCGAACTTTCTTTAAACTTTAGGTATAACTTGAGAGATTTCTTTCTATAAAAATAAAACTTTATTTCCCCTCTCTCAGATCTTCTTCCACTTACTCAAAAATTATTCAACTATTTTTCAAAGTAACCTTTTTTAAATTTCCCAAGTGCATTTGTACCTGCATTCCCTTGATCCTTCCCTCCAGAAACCCTGCCCGCATTTGGAATGACTCATGTCTAACTTCCTAACCAAATCCAAAGCGCGAAAGTCGTTTTCTGGTCGGTCGCACTCGGCCAACCGTTTTGAAATGAACCTTCCATACAAAAAACCTCAATAATTTGCAGAAAACCCTTCAAATCTAACAAAAATGGCCCCGCTAACAGTTCAAGCCAAGAGCTCAGGAATCAAAATAATCGTCAACCCTGGCCGAAAATACTGGGAGCAAATGGAGCGCTGGGTCAGTTTTTCTCAAAGACTACCCATCCCCGTATCGACCAACTTTCAAAGCTTCTTACTGTAGCCTCTTATTACAGTACTCCGAAACTGAACGATGGAACATGCGACCGGACGAAATAAGCGTCTGGGCCTCAACCTACGAAAAGTATTGGATGTTCGCTGGAGTCGACCAAGGTACCGTATACCTTGATTTCCTATTTTGGCCTGATAGCTGATAAAAGTACTGATAAGAGAGCGTCTGCTTGTCACGTTTTTATTGATCTTTGGTTTGAGAAAAGCCAAAACCTTCTTCTTTACCGACTTTTCTACAATAACAAAAACTCTTCTTCTTTTGGCTTATCCTACAGTAACCCTAGAAAGGTATCAGTACTACCTCCACAGTAACCACAACTCTTCTTCTTTTGGCTTATCCTACAGTAACCCTAGAAAGGTATCAGAACTACCTCCACAGTAACCACAACTCTTCTTCTTTTGGCTTATCCTACAGTAACCCTAGAAAGGTATCAGAACTACCTCCACAGTAACCACAACTCTTCTTATTTTGGCTTATCCTACAGTAACCCTAGAAAGGTATCAGAACTACCTCCACAGTAACCACAACTCTTCTTCTTTTGGCTTATCCTACAGTAACCCTAGAATAGTATCACTACTCTTTCCACAGTTATCCCTATGAAAGAAAACTATAAAGACGATATAACTATATCTACAGTAACCCAAAAAAACACCACTACTTTGACCTCAGTGTCCGGGCTGAGCCTGAAAATACTATGAAAAACTCTAGTGGCCACTTAAGAGGTTATTTAAGGACTACTTGGAGTGGCCACTAAAACCACCTCTATAGAGGTCACTACAGCAGTTTTTAGTGGTCCAGTAGTACCGCTGAAACTTCTAGAGGCCACAGAAATTTAGCCTCTTAAGTGGCTACTAATTTGAACACTATAGTGGCCACCAAAACGCCAAAGCCCTAGAGTGGTCTCTCAGATATAGAAACAATTATTCCCAACTGAATCCACCCTACAGTACCCCGACAAAAGCTGTATTCCACCTTCCAGAAAGCAAAAAATACCGTAACTTCAACTTCAACCTACAGTATCCCTTCCAGAAACCAACGAGTTTGTCTGCTCGCTATCCCTGGGCATGCAGACGACGTCCGACGGCGAGCCGCTCTACAGTATCGGCCTATTCTACTGTGTTCCCCAGAAACGAGGCCTCGGGTACGGTAAACCGCTTTTTGACGCCGCCATGGCACACATCGGACAGTCTAATGCGACCCTTTATTCAGGTTTTTCCAGCTGATCGGAAAGTTAAGAATAGTTGAGAAATGATTGAATTTTCAGCCAAAGAGATGTCGGCGTGGTACGCTTCCAAGCATGGCTTCAATAAGTTATTATCGTTTTGGACGTGTTGGGCCGAGGTTCAACCTTTGAATTTAGTTCTACCCGAGGTGTCCAAGCAGTACGACATCAAGGTAGGTCAAAGAACTTGTAGAAGGAGGGGTCTATTCCGACTTTTCTAGATGCTTCTGGTAGAAGTTGCGGTCCAGATTAGGTTCAGTAAGGAAAAATAAGTTCGGTAGCCGAGGAGGTACTGTAGTTCGGTAGCCGAGGAGGTACTGTAGATCGCTATAAAACTCTTTAGTCTCTTCTTAAGCTCAGAAAACCTCGAGAAAAAGCTTCAAAAACACTGTTGATGGTTGAACACTCTTTGATATTCAAACCCCCCTCAAAAAAAAACCCGATTCTAGACAACCGAAGAAGTTGACTGGGACGAGATCCACGACTACGACTCCACAATTTGCTGTGTCGAGAGGGAAGACTACCTGGAAGAGTCCCTGACCTGGGAAGCCACGGTTTCAAGGGTAAGCGGCTATTTCTTCTCAACAAGTTCGCTGTATGGCTAAGTTCCCAGGTTGCCGTCGATTCTAATGGCGATGTTGTTGGGTTCGGTTCACTACGATTCGTTTCGCAGAATGAAATTTACGCGTGTCCCCTTTACGCAGATAACTCGGTTAGACTTACAAGTTGAAAAATCGAACTGAAAAAAAAATTTCAGACAATCGCCCGAGATTTATTAATATCCATGCTATCGACAGTGACTGATTTGAGTTCCTACTCGGCGTTCAGCTTATTATTTCCAGAACATAACAAATCTGTTTTATCGTGAGTTCTTATTCTTATAATGACCGCATTTGGAATGGCTCTAACTATAACCGTAACGCTTCATGTCATTCCAAATGCGGCCATAGTCCGTCCGCCGCGACTTGACGTTTTTCGAGTGTCTGCGTCTCTCTGTTCCCTCAGGTCACAGAAACGCGAGAATAGCGCGTCAGATGAGGAGGGCGCAGAGAAGTCCCGCCTTTTCAAGTCGCGTAAGACGGACTATATAACGTTTAAAGTTCCAAGATGGGAGTACATGGTCGCATACGGAATGGCTAAAAGGCAAAGTGATCGCTTAAAGATGCGCCCGACCAAAAACGACTTGCGTTTGAAGCCATTCCAGCTGCGATCACAAAGTTTAAAATCCAGAAAATCCATGACTGTTTTCAGAATAATCTCCGAACTATCCAAAGGCCGGTACAAACACTATCCAATCTACCGGAATCAATATCTCAAAAAAGTCCTGCCAGTCCCCTGGGACAAAGTCTACGCCAATGATGACGTCAATCATAGCATCGTGTAAAAAATCATTGAAACTGTACAAATTTGTACCTTTTTTTGCGAAATTAATAAACCCATTCCCGATTAAACTTTTCCCTTGGAGAGGCTCCCGTGTGGCGTGATATGATATTTATAAACTTTATCATCTTTTCCGTCGTCACTGATAAAAGAAAGATAAGAAAAACCATTTTTCCCATTTGATTATTTCTGCGCTTTAAAAGTTCTTTCGGGTCAAACGTTCCCCTTATTTTCTCTACTTGATCGACTTTTTGGAAACTAGGGATGCCGCCGAATTTGGAAGCAAATGAGAAATTAAAATCCGTCAAAGTTATTGTAAATCCCGAGCGAAAGTACATGGTCCAGCTGGAGCAGAGTGTGAGTTTTGAATTTCCTGTCGAAAAGTTCAACTAGCGCACTAAAAAGCTTTTGTAATATTTTTGAAAAAAATGTTGCGGGATATATTAATTTTGACAAGTCTATGACGTAATGTATGTGAAAAAAATGAAAAAGATGAATTATCAAATAGTGTTTATATTGCTTCCTCTGCTACTTTGTAGACTAAAAAAAACGAAATTATCCAAAGAAAAAGGTTAAAATAACTGCTAAATCAGTAATACCAGAAAACCATGCGGAACTTGCAAATAAAACTGCGCCCAACCTGCGACTTCCCAAATTTATGTATTCTACAGCATTTCTGTTTTGTCTTGATGGTAGTGAGCAATGTCGTAAGTTTTGTGAATTTACAGTAAAAAGCGTACCCGATTTGCGATTACCAAAAAGAGTCGTCAAATATTGTGCCGGGTACGCAAGCAACGAATCTTACGCGCGACGGTAAAAATTGAAAAGCACCGGACTAAAACAAAAAAAGTGACAAAAGAAGGCAAAAAAAAAATGAGCACCGGGATCTGGCGCTAAGATGTCTTTTCAACCGTCGCGCGTAGGGTCCGTTACTTGCGTACCCGGCGCAATAATCGACGACTATTTTTGGTATTCGCAATTAGGGCCCGTTTTTATTATTACCTTCGATACCGCACTACCCTCTTTTTCTTGGAATGTATCAAAGATTCAGTTCGCAAATACGGAACGATGGAACATCCGACCCGATGAGTTCAAAGTTTGGAAGAGCAGTTATGACGGTCACTGGATGATTATCGGCGTTGACGAAGGTGGGAAAAATCTCTTCCTTCTCAAAAAATCATATTTATCCAGAAACGGATCAACCAGTTTGCTGTGTGTCTCTGGCAAGAGAAAGGCTCCAAAATGGGGATCCATTGTTCAGTATCGGGTATTTCTACTGTGTACCGACCTGGCGTGGGACGGGGTGCGGGAATTTGGTTTTTGACACTGCTATGGGTTATATTGGCGAAAATGACGCCTATCTTTTCGCAGGTTCGTTTTTTGTACTTCGATTTATTTAATCGTTTTTTTGAGAATACTGAGTCTTATGATTTATTTTTTTCAGTGACTTTCCATTACGGTTGCTCACATAAAAAAATTTGATCCAATGTTTATCTTAATGGTTACTAGAACTCCTAGAGACCCGTAAGCATGCTCCCTCCCCCCCCAATCTACAGTACTACTACAGTAAGACTAGACTACATGTCTTACTGTAGTATTGTGATATTACTTCAGTCTTACTGTAGTAGTACTGTAGTCGGGACACACTCTACTCCCGTAAGCTTGAACCACTATAAAGACCACTACCATTTCTCTGAAATTTTGGTTTTTCTCTTTGAATTTCCGATCATTTTCAGTCATTACTTTCCTTAAAGGGTACTAAAAGTCCTAGAGACCCATAAGCCCAGCTTGAACCCTATAAAGACCACTACGGCTTCTCTGAATTTTTGTTTTTCCCCCTCATTTACCAATAATTTTCAGTCATTATCTTTCCTAAAGGGTAATAAAAGTCCTAGAGACCCATAAGCCCAATTTGAAACCCTTAAGAGGCCCCTAGAACTTTTAACATTTCTAAGCCCTTTCCTCAAAATTTCCCCTCATTTACAGTCGAAAAAATGTCGCCTTGGTACGCAAAACGTCACGGATTCGATAAAATCCTTCCTTTTTGGCATATTACCGTTGATATTCTACCCAAGGACATTGTTCTTCCTGATCCTTGCGGGAAATATCAAATCAAGGTGAATTTGAAAAAAGCCTCATTTTGAAAGAATATTTTTTAGAATTGTGAAGAAGCCGGGTGGGACAAAGTACACGCCTATGATTCTACAATTTGTTGTATTGAACGGAGGAAATATTTGGAAACGACCATGGCTTGGCCTTCTACCGTTAGCAAGGTTTGCTTCGAAATAATTCTTTAAAAAAACTCTGGAAAACCATCTAAAATAGGACTTTTTCTATCAAAATTAGGCGCTTCTGAAGCTATTTTTACATCTCTACGATTGAAAATTCAGATTAATCGTTGCCAAAATCAGACAATTTTCACCCCTAGGTATTTTTCAGGCCGCTGTGAACCATGAAGGAAAAGTCGTCGGTTTCGGTTCAATCCGAATCATATCCCAGAATGAACTTTACCCATGTCTAATCTACGGAGAAAGTGCTGTGAGTTATTGATTTTTTCTAAAACTCTAAAAATCCTTCCAGGAAGTCGCTAAAGATGTCCTAATCGGCATGTTATCTGCAATCGATAACCTGGAATCCTATTCGATGCTCTCATTTCTGTTCCCCGAAACCAATAAAGAAGTTTTGCCGTGAGTTCGATTGCTACCAGCGACCATTTTTGCCATATTCCACCATTTCAGAATCGTCGAGGAGCTTACTAAAGGTCATTTTGAGTACCATCCCCTTTACCGTAACCAGTACCGTAAGGCGATTCGACCGGTTCCTTGGGAGAAAGTCTTTGCCAACGATGAGCCCAGTCATAGCATTGTATAACATATTTTTTCAACTAATAAAATTTTCCTTTGTTCAAACTACATACAAATGAGAGCGAACTGGAAGGTCAGAAATGAAAAAATGGTCTTCTTTATCAAGAGAAAGTCGATAAGAGCAGAGGGAAAATAGATATTTCTCTCTTTTCTCTCAATTTTTTGTTCCATTCATCATTTTCCCATTTTTCTTTTTCACTAACTTTCAGAAAATATCTCTTTTTCCGATTATTTCGCTGATTTCAAGGTCACATCTCCACTATAATATGTCACCAACCGACAATTCCACTACAAAACGCCCCATCAAAGTTCTAATCAATCCAGGCCCGAAATACTTTGAAATCGTTAAAGATTGGGTAAGATCCTACTCAAATAGATTCGAAAATCGGCTGTTTCAGATAGCAAAAACGGAAAATTGGCTAGTCAGGCCGAAAGAATTCCATCTTTGGTCCGAGAAGCTCGATTCCTACTGGCTTTATATTGGTATTGATGAAGGTAAGCTTCAAATTTCAAAAAATTCGATTTATCCGAGTTTGCTTCACCTAGGCTTCAAATTCTTAAAAAACAATGAAAGTTACTCATTTTCTGCGTTGAATTGTGTATTATACAGTAAAATGTAGCCTTCTAGTTTTTTGTTCTCAAAAACTTTCAAAAGCAATAAATTGTTCTCTACAGCCATATTGAGCCTTACAAGTGCGCTCTACGGCTAAACTTCTTTTTTTTTCAAAGATTTATTGTCCTTGGAGCTAACTTTCACCTGATGCTGCTGCTTAATGACTAAATTTCATAAGAATTCGTGAAAAATCGCTAAAAGGACCCTATGAGAATCTACAAAATCTCCTGAAACTTGTAAAAATCGGTTTTTCAACCTAAAAATGCCAAGAGCTTCAAAAAAAAGCTTTTCCTTGACAGCTAAAGAAAACTTTTAAAAAAGTTCTCTCCAGCCATATTGAGCCTTACAAGTGCGCTCTACGGCTGAACTTCATTTTTTTTTTTGAACCTATTGTCTTTAGAGCAAACTTTCACCTGCTGCTGCTGCTGCTAAATGACTAAATTTCAAAAAAATTGCTCAAAAAAATTGCAAAAAAAGGACCCTATAAAAGTCTACAAAACCCCCCCCGATCTAAAAAAATCGCTACAATATTCAATAAGCTTTTTCCCTGACTACTACTCCTTGCCAGTTGAAACCTTGAAAGAGAAATTCAAATAGAAGGATAAGGGCCTTGTTTAAAAACACCCCTTTTTTCCAGAAACCGAAGAGTTCGTCTGTTCGGTAGCCTTGGGGCTTCAACACACCCTCGAAGGGGAACCAATCTACACATTCGGATTTTTCTACTGTGTTCCGAACCGACGAGGCTGTGGTTATGGGAAACCACTTTTTAAATTGGCAATGGACCGAGTGGGACAAGATAACGCCTCCCTGTACGCAGGTGAATGAACCATTACTTTTTTTCACTTTCAAATAATTTCTGTGCTTCAGTATATTGTAAACCTAGTATGAAAAAACTTTTCGTAGAGTCATATTCTGAATTTAAAGCCTTTTTCCGTTTCACTCTCTAACCCCTTTTCTTCCTTAAAGGGTACTAAAAGTCCTAGAGTCCCATAAGCCCAATTTGAAACCCTATAAAGACCACTACAAATTCTCTTGATTTTTGGTTTTTTCTCTTTCAGTTTCCGATCATTTTCAGTTATTTGTTTCCTTAAAGGCTACTAAAAGTCCTAGAGACCCATAAGCCGCAATTTGGACCTCTATAATGACCACTACATCTTCTCTCCATTTCTAAGCCTTTTTTCTAAAAATTCCCAATCATTTCCAGTCGACGAAATGTCTCCTTGGTACGCCAAAAACCATGGATTCGAGAAAAAACAGTCATTTTGGCACATGTGGGCTAAAGTTCGCCCTCAAAACATTGTACTTCCAGAACTTTCCGGCGACTATGAGATCAAGGTTTTTTTTCCATTCCTCAAACTCCAAACTGCTAGAAATCCAGGAAATAGAAGAATCTCACTGGCCGGGTATCCACTCCTACGACAGGGAGATCAGTCAAATCGAGAGGAAAAGCTACATGGAGGCCAGCCTAACCGTGGAGGATACTATAACTCGGGTTTTCTCTTCGAAACTCTGTTTTTTGATCGAAAATTCAGGTGGCGATAGATAGAACACGTAAAATAGTCGGTTTTGCGAGTATTCGTTTCGTTTCTGGTAATCAGATTCATGCTTCTCCGGTGTATGCCGACGATGAGGTATGTCAAAAAAGGAAAAAAAAAATTAATGGATCCAAGAAAAACAGGCTATGAATACTGGCTTTCTCACTGAGAATTTCTAGTGAGCACTTTAGGGTTTTGACGTTTTAGTGGTCACCATAGTAGTCGAATTAGTGCTCACTATAGTAGTCGAACAAGTGGCCAGCCGAGTGTCTAAAATTAGTGGCCTTTTTAGAAGGCCGAGTGGTACGACTAGATCTCTAAGAACTACTGTAGTGGTCACTAAGGCGCAAAATAGTTGCTTCTATAGATGTGGATTAGTGGCTCCTTAAGTGTCCTCTCCCAGTAATCCACGATGAACCTCTTGAGTGGAGACTAAAATCTTTTCCAATAACTTAAAAATTCGACTTCGCCACCCCGAGAAACCCCTGTAGTGACCTCTAAGATGCAAAATATTGTCTTCTATAGAGATGGTTATAGTGGCCCCTTAGGTGGCTTTTCCAATTAGTCCACGAGGAACCTCTTAAGTAGCCACTAGAATTTCTTCCAGTACCTCAAAAAATGCAACTTTCCCACCCCGAGAAACCCCTGTAGTGACCACTAAGGGGCAAAATAGTTGCTTCTATAGATTTGGGTTAGTGGCCCCTTAAGTGTCCTGTCCAAGTATTCCACGAGGAACCTCTTTAATGGCCACTAGAATTTTTTCCAAAACTAAAAATGCAAATTTTCCATGGACTCTTAACCCTAAAAATCTAACAATTTTCCGTAGAAATTCAAAAAAATTTTAAATTTCAAAAACTCGATTGTTTTCATTAGTTTAAAGAAAAATCAAAAAATCGCAATTTTCATGCTATAATTCCTCTTTAAAAGCACCTTCTCCTTTCAAAAAAATATAAATTTTTCAGAAAATCGCCCTAGACCTTCTCACCGTCTTACTGTCCCAAGTTCCCAACCTAGCCTCCTACTCAAACTTCGGGGTACTCTACCCTGAAACCAATCACTCCGTTCAACGGTAAAAACTCCTTTTGCATTAAAAAAAATGATCAAATCCTTCAGGGTGCTGGAAAAACTGTCCCTAAACCGTCAAGAAGTCCATCCAATCTACCGTAACCAGTACCGTACTCAAATTCTGCCAGTTCTTTGGGACAAAGTCTACGGAAACGACAAGACCACTCATAGTATCACTTAAGATGAGGAATGAAAATTGAAACATATTTTTCTTTTTCATTGGAAAGAAAAAATCAATTGTGAGGGTACATGATCTGACAAGAGAAGGGCAGTGTGAAGTAGCAACTGAAAATTATCTTTTTGATAAGAATATTTCAAGGAGCCATTTTGAGTCATTCCTGTCAACATTCGCATATATAGTTCGTTCAAATTTTGAATGTCAAGTAGAATGACGTCATTCGAAAACGCTCTGTGAATCGCTAGCTTTCTGATTGGTTTGTCGCGCCATTAGGGGCGTAGCGTGAGCGAGGACTTGGCATTTAAAATCTGAACAGACTATATTTGATTTCTCAAAGTAACGATCCTACCAATTTTCAAAGACCTTTACAAATCCAGCACTCAAAAATCAGGATTTTTGCGGGAAATGGTCGAAATTAAAGCTAAATGAGAACCGAGGTCGCACGTGGAATGATTTGATGCGCGTCGGACCAAAAAACGACTTGCGACCTTCATTTCCTTTATGAGAAAAGATGGAAGCTCAGCAAAAAAGTATCCTCAATTTAATGGTCGCATTTGGAATGGCTCAAGCCGAAGCTAGACCGCTGTGCGGAGAAAAATTCAATGCCAGACGAATCAAGGATAGATAAATCCAAAAAAGCATAACTTTCTACTTTACAGCTTGTAGAAGAAGATTGTTTTTTGATACTTCGAAGCTCTTTTCACAAAAATAGACCACTTCTACTAATTAATATTTCGAAACTCACGAGTTATCGTTCAATGTGTTGTCACCGCCAGCTGCAAGCCAACCGTGATTACCGACCAGAATCGTCAGGCAATCTTCATCCGATCTTAAACTTTCAAGTTTCAGAAAATGTTTTTCATGATGAACATGGTAAAGTGTGTACAGCCATAAGAGTTCCGAAAAAAAAATAATTTTTGGTAGAAGCGAAAAGAATGCTTTAAGATTTTTTTCCGCGAAAAAAAAACTCGTTTCGGAACAGTGTAGCCAGTTTTAAAAAATCCAAATTGCTCCTTGAAGTAAGTATCTTTTATCTCCGGTGAATTACTATTTCAAAACTATACCAATACCTTATTTTTATGCACTCAAAAAATCACTTATTATATCATGCCTTTTTAGAAACCTAAAAAACTATTCAGAGCTCAAAATTAACCTGTTTAATAATTTAAAAAACTGCTCAACTATTTTTCTCGTCCTTTATCACTCGTTGTTCATCTACAAGAAAAAAAAATCATAAAATTTTCCAAGCCTAAACCCTTATCAAAATACTCCAAGGGTAGTACTCCAATTTACCTGCGCCAGTCGGGATTACCCGGCGACCAGAATTTATCGATAATGGTGTGATCGCGTCCCGCCATGTCTGCCCACGAAAAAAGCTACAAAAAAAAGCATATTTGACTAAATCAAACGCATTTTCGATTACATTTGGGCGATAGCAAACGTGAGTGGGGTCAGTTGAATAATTCATCGTGCGGCATTCCGGGTTACGTTTGCCGGAAATGTAGAATTGCCCGCCGCCGCGGATCTTACCTTTGGCTTGGTCTGTAAAAAACCAAAAAATGCCAAAAAAAAAAATATTCTACTTCAATTTTTTATTGCATTCCTCTCAAATTTTTCCAATCAAAACCTAAGTTTGAACTGAAGAAAATGAAATGATATTTTTCGAAGAGTTATAGAGCGATTAAATTTTTTTTAGCTCCACCATTTGAATTTTTCTCTAACCGTAAAGCAACGTTTTCTCTTGTTCCGTTTCAAAGGCGGATAGGGTGCCTCCATGTTCGGAGAGGCAATATGCACGAGCATCATCCCAAGATTTCCGTGTTAGAACCTGGAATAGATTTATTCATTTATTATTAGGCAAGCCAAATTATAATGTACAAAAAAGGCGGAGGAAAAATTTAGAGAAAATGTCGAGAAAAAAAAACCCACGAATAAATGACAGGCGAGTTCGTAAGCTCTATCGTATGCGGTCCATCCTTGTGGGCATTTCAAATTGACAGTTTGCAGGGGTATCGGCACTGAAAACGGATTTCGTATAAAAAGTAAGTATTAGTGGGATTTGGTTGAGCTAAGTTTTTGTAAGTCGAATATCTGCTTAATCTTCTGTAAAATAAATCTTTTCGCTCAATTTTTTAGAAAATTAATATTGGTCTGCTTAACTTTTTTTGTAACCTCAATTTTTGGTCTGCTTAACTTTTTTTGTAACCTGAATTTTTGGTCTGCTTAACTTTTTTTGTAACCTCAATTTTTGGTCTGCTTAATTTTTTTGTAACCTGAATTTTTGGTCTGCTTAACTTTTTGTAACCTCAATTTTGGTCTGCTTAACTTTTTGTAACCTGAATTTTGGTCTGCTTAACTTTTTTTGTAACCTCAATTTTGGTCTGCTTAATTTTTTGTAACCTGAATTTTGGTCTGCTTAACTTTTTTTGTAACCTGAATTTTTGGTCTGCTTAACTTTTTTTGTAACCTGAATTTTTGGTCTGCTTAATTTTTTTGTAACCTCAATTTTTGGTCTGCTTAACTTTTTTTGTAACCTGAATTTTGGTCTGCTTAACTTTTTGTAACCTCAATTTTGGTCTGCTTAACTTTTTGTAACCTGAATTTTGGTCTGCTTAACTTTTTGTAACCTGAATTTTGGTCTGCTTAACTTTTTGTAACCTCAATTTTGGTCTGCTCAATTTTTTGTAACCTGAATTTTGGTCTGCTTAACTTTTTGTAACCTGAATTTTGGTCTGCTTAACTTTTTGTAACCTGAATTTTGGTCTGCTTAACTTTTTGTAACCTGAATTTTGGTCTGCTTAACTTTTTGTAACCTCAATTTTGGTCTGCTTAACTTTTTGTAACCTGAATTTTGGTCTGCTTAACTTTTTGTAACCTCAATTTTGGTCTGCTCAATTTTTTTGTAACCTGAATTTTTGGTCTGCCTAACTTTTTTTGTAACCTGAATTTTTGGTCTGCCTAACTTTTTGTAACCTCAATTTTGGTCTGCTTAATTTTTTGTAACCTCAATTTTGGTCTGCTTAATTTTTTGTAACCTGAATTTTGGTCTGCTTAACTTTTTGTAACCTCAATTTTGGTCTGCTTAACTTTTTGTAACCTGAATTTTGGTCTGCTTAACTTTTTGTAACCTCAATTTTGGTCTGCTTAACTTTTTGTAACCTGAATTTTGGTCTGCTTAACTTTTTGTAACCTCAATTTTGGTCTGCTTAACTTTTTGTAACCTGAATTTTGGTCTGCTTAACTTTTTGTAACCTCAATTTTGGTCTGCTTAACTTTTTGTAACCTCAATTTTGGTCTGCTCAATTTTTTGTAACCTCAATTTTGGTCTGCTCAATTTTTTGTAACCTGAATTTTGGTCTGCCTAACTTTTTGTAACCTGAATTTTGGTCTGCTTAATTTTTTGTAACCTGAATTTTGGTCTGCTTAACTTTTTGTAACCTCAATTTTGGTCTGCTTAACTTTTTGTAACCTGAATTTTGGTCTGCTTAACTTTTTGTAACCTCAATTTTGGTCTGCTTAACTTTTTGTAACCTGAATTTTGGTCTGCTTAACTTTTTGTAACCTGAATTTTGGTCTGCTTAACTTTTTGTAACCTCAATTTTGGTCTGCTTAACTTTTTGTAACCTCAATTTTGGTCTGCTCAATTTTTTGTAACCTCAATTTTGGTCTGCTCAATTTTTTTGTAACCTGAATTTTTGGTCTGCCTAACTTTTTTTGTAACCTGAATTTTTGGTCTGCTTAATTTTTTTGTAACCTGAATTTTGGTCTGCTTAACTTTTTTGTAACCTCAATTTTGGTCTGCTTAACTTTTTTTGTAACCTGAATTTTTGGTCTGCTTAACTTTTTTTGTAACCTCAATTTTTGGTCTGCTTAACTTTTTTTGTAACCTGAATTTTGGTCTGCTTAACTTTTTATAACCTGAATTTTGGTTTTTAGAAATTTTTGAATTACAATAAATTTTTGATCTGCTTAACTTTTTGTGAACTGAATTTCGGTTTTCTCCTCTTTTTTGGTCCATTTTCAGTTAAATTATTGATGAAAAAATCTGGAATTTTATTCTTTAAACAGTATTTTTTTGCAATTTGAAGCTGTTTTTCGTGAGAACTACTAAAAAAAATTGAATCCTTTTTTTGTTGTTTAATTCAAAACTTTTTCCTCACCTATAACACATGGAATCGGCCCCCGCACATGGCGAGAAGCGGTGTACATTCTGAAAGCTAGTTATTTTTTTTTAAGAAAATGAAAAAAAAAAACCCAGCGGGCTGGGCGATAACGGCCGTTCCATCGAAACATCCGGTATACGCAGAAAGAGAGGAAGCGGCCAAGTTAACCTGGAATTAAATTTATTAGGAGGTTTTTTGTTCTAAGAACTAACTGATCGATAATTGGAGTCAGTGTACCCCATGCACGGTCCCACACTCGAGGTACGTTTGCAATCGTCTTTCTTTGTAATTCTGAAGCTTGATATGAAAATGGTTTCACATAAGAGTTCGATTCCATAAAAGGGTTGAAATCGATTAGGCAAAATGCTTCACGAATGAAAACTTTCTGACAAATGGAACGTCTAAACAAAGCACAAGTTCCCCCTTTATTTTTTCCTTTTTTTCACTTCTTTTTTTGATAAAAACTTCACCATAATTTTTTTCAATCTTTCGGCCCAGTTTCAGTGAAATTATTTATGAAAAAAATCAGAATTTATCCCAAAATCAAGAACTTTATTCTTTAAACAGTATTATCTTATTACAAAAACTGCTGCGTTATTATGGATACCCGTAAAGTACACGTTCTTTTTTTTCATTCTTTCGGGAGGTATGAAAAAAACACCAGCGAAAATTCAAACGGCGACTTTTCCGATTTTTTCATTTCGCTAGGGAACTTTCCGAGGGCCACCTTTCCGACGAAATTTTTTCCGACTTTTTTCCCATATGCTTTTCGGTTTCTAAAACATCTATTAACATTTTTTTTCCCTGTTTCTTTGTGTTTTAATTATGAACAAACTACCTACTTTATATAGGAATATGTAAAACGAAGAGTTTATTGAGAAAAAATTCGGAAAAAGTTTCGTCGGAAAGGTGGCCGTCGGAAAGTTCCCTAGCGATATGAAAAAATCGAAAAAGTCGCCGTTTGAATTTTCGCTGGTCTTTTTTTCATACCACCTTCTTTTGTATAGTTGATTCAAGGATGGCATGGGACAGGGGCGTGGCCTGTCTGATCTCTCCCCTAAAGAAGCGTTATCTCTTTTTTTCGTGTCAGGACCCTTTTTTCGATGACTCAATCCAGCCGTGATATACAATTACTCAATTTAATGCGTTATATTCAACACTTGAGATGTAATTTGAAAAAAAAATTTGGCACATGATTCAAAAGAAAAGCACTCACAAGGATTTGACGGTATCTACGCACTGCTTTGATTTACTTGGAGACGCTGCCAATAGCAAATATGATCCCTGAAACTAATTCAATACTTTCCGGCTTTGAGAAAAATCTTCTAGAAATTATCAAGCTGATGAAACAATAGAAAATCAAAATAAACGCAAAAAAAAAAATCACCGTTTGACTGGCCAAGTTTTGGGCATATTTTCCGGGCAAGACGAGCGACGACGCGTGTTCAGCCCCAACTTCCAAAAACGCTCGTGCGATATTCTTTAATAATATATGTATACATGAATTAACAAAATGAAAATAACCGAGCAAGTTTTATGGAAGTGATCCGTCTTTGTGTAGGGTCGGAAGTCGCCGTCCACACTGAAGAGAAAACTCAGAAAAATGGCTTTCAAAATTCGTCTTACTGATAATGATTTGTGCTTGTGAAGGTCGTTGGCCAAGCCTCCTTCGGTTTGAAAGACCTTGAACAAAATAAATAATGAGAAAAGGTTGATCGCTTGTTCATTGAAAAAGGGACGTTTTTTTTTTGCTATAAACTAAAAAAATTGTACTTTTTCGGGGCTTGAAACTATTTTGCGTTTCGGAACATGCTCCGTATCTCCGATGAACATGAGGAAAAAAAAGACAAAAAATGAATAAATCGAAAAGGCGTCGCCGTGGAGCGACCTTGCTCGTTACTTTATATAACGCTGGAGTGATGGTACGATTTTACCTCAAATCCGCAAATCTTCGGAGCCGTTATCTCAGAGTACCGTAATCTCAAGACCCATAATCTCCGAAACCACATCTCCGAAAATAAAAACTCCAATTTTCTTGCTCTTTTTTGCATTTTATTTTCATTTTTTACTTGTGTTGTGCTCAGAAAACAATCTCCGATCGAAATTGCTCGCCGAACCCTAATTTATTCATGAAATGTCTATTTTTATTGAGAAGCTGAACAATTTAAGGTCAAGCCAATTTGAACTTCAAGTTTCACTCTTTTTTTCCTTGCTGTCAACATGAAAAAGTGATCAGAGAAGCTGAAGAACAAAAAAAAAATTGAAAGAAACGTCGATTTGAAAAATTGAAAATTATTTCCACTTAGTGGAAAAAATAAAAAAAAAGTTTGAAAAACGAAAATATTTGGCTTTCGTACGCAGTTTCGATCGGAGATTGTTTTCTGAGCGCCACACGAGAAAGAAATGAAAATAAAATGCAAAAAAGAGAAAGAAAATTGAAGATTTTTGTTTTCGGAGATAAGTGGTTTCGGAGATTATGGGCCTTGAGATTACGGTACTCTGAGGTAACGGCTCCGAAGATTTGCGGACTTGAGATAATTTTATAAAATCTCTTTTTTTCTTTCAAATTTTTAAAAGGACAAGAAAATTTTTGCAAACACGCGTTGTTTTATAAAATTGTAATTTCGTGATAATTTTTTTCAATTTATACTTATCAGGTTTTTTTAGGCGATTTTCGAATGAACCTGTTGAAAAAAACATTTAAATATTTTGAAGGTGTGAAGGTGATTTCGAACAAAAATTACGAAAGTTGTTTTTCTGTCTCAAAATGTTTCACCAAATGTTCTTTTTTTCAAGTTATATAGAGAAATCATAAGATTAAACTACATACAAATCGTTGGTTTTCATTTTGAGGAGGTTCGTGAGTCGCTGGAAAAACTCATGATCTGAAAAAAAATGATACATTTTCAAGAAATGTGGAAAATGTGTGGAAAACTACATCCTTCGGACGGCTGCAAGGTTCTCGAGCAAATGGTAGAAGCCAGCGATTTCGGGTCTTTATAGACGATTGTCCCAATCTTTTGCTGGTCGATCAAAGCGGCGGCGACGGTGATTTGATAGCCTGAAGCGAAAAAATAATTCTTCAGAGCAGATTAAAAAAAACCAGTCCACTTCGAATCAGTGTCTCTGAAATCACGCTGAACAACTATATCGGCATAGGGCTTCGCCACGTCGATCCAGGCACGAGCAACGTCAGGAAAAAGTTCTAAATGGCTCTAATTTTTTGGTTTTTTATTATGGGAGGTTCTCTCAAATTCACTTCTGAAGTTGAAAAAAAGATACGAATCCAATTTTTGTGGGTCCCGAAGCTTCTATCGAAGAAATTTCAAGTTTTTCCTATGCGGGACTTTTTTTTTATCTTTTCATATAGGCCATTTCGCGTGTCACGATCTTCGTTTTCCTCGAAATCATTCCGTTCGAGACTCGCGAGATGTTTCTCTGCATGCGTCTTCAACATAAGCAAACTCGAAAGGGATCGAAAAAGGTTCCAGAAATGTCATTTTTTGCTGCCTTTTTTCGCCATTTCATCGACTCTCATGCACCATTTTCGCAGCCTTCTTTTTTTCCACCATTTCTTTAGCTTTTAAAATCCTAGAAAAAATGAAAAGCTCGATGAAGGGACTCTTTTCACGGCGTTTTTTTAGTGGAAGAAAATGCAAAACAAAAAATTAAAGGGGCGTGGTCAAAACCTCCGTCTTTCTGTTTCTTATTTTTAAAAGCACTTGCCGTGTTTAAAATGATTCCGCAAAATTCAAAATAGCCGCCAAAAATGAAAAATATAACTGAATTTCGGAAATTCATGCCGTGTTCAAAGTAATTTCCGCGAAATGCAAAATACCCGTTAGAGAAAGGAAAAGATCACTAAATTTTGGAGAGTCAGAGATCATTTTGCATTTCGCGGAAATTACTTTGAACACGGCATCAGAGATGATTTCAAATTTCGCGAAAATCACATTGAACACGGTATGTGCGAAAGCGCCGCAGTGCGTGCACACGACACAACACTTTACGGGAAAAAAAAAATATGCGCGAGGCGTCGTCAAAAAAAAAACGGCGTTTTTGCTGCCTTTCTGTGGCTTTTTGATCCAATCCCTTTTAAGCGGCCATTATTTATTACTCCGACTATTTGACCTGAACTTCTGATATATAGCAAGTCCAACTTGACTTGACAGTTTTCGAGAGTTTGCGTCTCTCTGTTCCCTCACCGGAGAGGTCACAGAAACGCGAAAATAGTGCGTCAAAAAGAGAGGGTCATCGAGAGACGAGGAGGGCGCAGAAAAGTTCCGCCCTTTCCAGTCACGAAAAACGGACAATATTAAAGGCGCATGCAGTTATAAATATCGCGCGTCTCAAGGGGAACGGTCCTGTAGCTCAGAGGAAGACGAAAATTGTGATAAGCTGGCGCGGAATGATACAACCTAGCATTTTAAATTCAAAAATGAAAGATTTCATCATACAGAATCCTTAAAATTCCTATTAAAAATCCTACTGATGAGCAGATTGTGAATCCGTGTGCCGCTGATCTGTACAATTTTGGCCGTTTGATCGTGCTTCATGCAAATGATTTTCGCCTCTTCCAAGGTGTACCGTCCGAGCGCGTGTCGGTAACATCCGCCCAAAACTTGGTACCACGCCGGCGGACAAGATCCGTAAACTCCTACAGAAAATGATCAAGTATCGAAAAGAACAATCCGTGCAAAATTAAATGATGGGTGAAGGACGTACGGAATGAGCATTTTGTCGGAAATCCGGGTTTTGCAGCGACGACTTCGAATGGAATGAGGTATTCACAAGCTTCCTTCGCTTCTGCCTGAATAAAAAAAATTTCAAACAATGACTGATTTTTCGATGAAAAAGACTACGTAACTATTATCCTAAAATTGCAAGTTCTGAAATTGAAAAAAAAATTTCAAGTATGCGATAGTGCGTCTCGGTGTGTTTACACCCTAAGCAACATAATTTACGAAACTTCTTGAATTGCGTATCAAAAAAAAAAAACGCCGTGAAACCTCTTTCTCCGTGTTCACCCAGATGATTAAATCGTTGCAATCGTCGTAATTTTTCTGAAAATTCTTTCATTTTCCGAATCATTCTTGAATCAGAAAGGGCAATTACTGTTCATGAACCATTTTGCGTCTAAAGTACCATGAAAAAGAAAATACTAACCTTGCCATGTTCCAACTTCACCCATGTTCCTTTGTGCGCTGCGCAAAACTTTGCACCAGAATCATCTGAAGTCAAAATTTTCAACCCCATATTCTTTGGAAATCCAGAGTGGTCCTTATACCCATCTAGAGACCACTTTATTAACCCTATAGGGGCCACTAAAGCTTGCAAAAAAGGTCCCTATAGGGGACATGCAATTCTATAATTGTTGCTCTATGAACTCTATGCGAAGAAGAATTTTCATGAGAAATGGAACAAATCCACTCTAACCCCTCTAGGGACCGCCCTTCTTTTACCCCTGAAGGAACCGCTATTCGGCCCCATATAGGGTCTGTTTCCACCCTAACCCCTATAGGGACCACTCTGAGATTCCTAAATTCTTAAGGAATTCGTACCTGGAGCCCGGATTGTGGAAACACTTTCGAGGAAAAATAGATAGATGAGCACATGAATCTGAAAGTTCAAGATACGTATCGATATATTCGACTCAACTTTGACAGGAAAAGTCCAACAGCTTTTTTTTGTTCCTTAACTGACCCAAAAGAATCTAAGGCGCCAGGTAGGAATCATCCTTCGAGAAATGACCAAATTACTGCGCAGGTATACGTTGTTTATCACATATTTTTAAACGAGTTTTTTTGTTCTGTTCAAATTTTGAATGTCAAGCAGCAAGCTTCGAATAACCTGAACAGACCACAATTTGAACCGAAACGTTTTTTTTGACGATGACACGCCCACTTTTTCTCCGTAAAGTGTCGTGTGTCGTGTGCATGCACTGCGCCGCTTTCGCGCAGATTATCGCGTTTATGTAGAGAAATTTCGATTCATCTCAAAGGCCTCTGGCAATACGGCGGCCTGCGCCTTTAATATGCCCTGTTAATTACTTTCTCAGAACCGAAATCTCTCCCGTTCCCATGACGTGGGAATGGTAGATATTTTGGCTCCGCCCACCGCGTTTTCTTCCAATCTCCTTTTATGATTCATTCAGTCCAAAACCCAACAGGGACAAGTTTTAAAGGTGAAAAATCAGAGAGAAAAAAAAAAGTCATTTTTTGCGTCATTATAAAAAGGTTTGCCACCAATCAGAGCAACAGAAAACTAAAAAAAAAAAGAATACGCACGATTCAATTTTATTACCGTAAGAAAAAGATGAAGGCGTGTCACAAATCGAAGAGCAGCTGGCACATGTATGGTTGGTTTGAATAACATCTGGAAATAAAGATAAAGTCCAAAAATCAGCCAACGTACTCGTAGTCGTTGATCTTGTTGTTGTAAGACTGGTCATGGCCGGTCAGAATGGTGAGGCAGTTTTCGCGGTTGTCGTGCCACGAGGGGTTGGTTGGCGACCAAAAATTGAGCATGACCTTCCCATCGCGGGCGGCGCCATCAACCCAGTAGAAAAGCTGAAAAGTGACTCGTATTGTGTCCATCGTATAGGATATATCTCACACTTTCCAAAAAGCATGGACTATTCACGTCATTACTCGGTTGAGCGACGGGACAAGCGCGGTTCCGTTCGGCACCTAGCCAAACTTGGTTGAAACCTATGTTTTCCTTTTGAATCATCGCTGAAAGGAAAAACACTTTTCAAAAGAAAACAAAGGGTGAAGGGGCAGTAAAAAAAGAGGTTTTCAACGAAATCTTGTAGAGTTTTTCTTTGCGAATCTAACGGTGTACTCAAAAAATCAGAGACATTATTACTTTTTGAGAATATCACGATTTATTTTCCCACCTTCTTTTTGTGAAAAATGCTTTGGATCGGTGTACGGACGACAGAAAAAAATTTAAATTCAAAAGAAACGAAGGAAAAAGCGAAAACGAAAAATGCTCGGACCTTGGTAACGCGAACGGGACGCGAAACGGACGTGTCGGTGCATTTCTAGTGACCACTTTAGTAGCCTTAACGCTCTTAAGTGACCTCTTGAATCGCCCAGAAACGTCCGGAGCACGTCCGTTTCGCGTTACCAATGTCCGAGTGGCGATACGTGTTGTCCTTAGAGCAGCTTTACTGCAAAGCGCCTTTTTGGCGGGAACTAAAACTTTTTTCTCTCCGACTTTGAATCATTTTTTTTTCTGAAACTAGAAAGCTCTGTACGTTTCTAAGTTCACCTCTACAAAAGGGCATCTTTATGTCCCCCCACATGATGGGAAAAAGTCGGAATGGTAAATAATGGCCGCTAAAAGTGAGAGGCTCAAGAAAGGCCGCAGAGAGGCAGCAAAAAAAGTCCCTTTATCGAACCTTCCATTTTTTCTGAAATTTCGAAAGCTCAAGGAATTGTGGAAAGAGGGAAAGGCAGCAAAAATGGCGCATATCAGCTTCAAAAATGGCGCAAAAAGGAGCCTTTTTCACCCTAAAAGGAACATCCTATAAAGAATTTCCCACCCTTTCCGACTTTGCCTATGTATTAAGTAAATGAAGGTTGAACAAAAAAGCATAGAGCTCTAATAATTTTTCGAAAAGTTTCAGGTCAAACCTACATCTCAAAAACTACTTGTCAACGTTTTGAAAAAAAGCCAAAGGCTAAGAAAAAACTTATGAGATCCTGTTCCTAAATAGGGCGCGGGCCAAGCCTGCGCCTAAGCCTTACCTAAGCCATTTCTGAGATCCTGTTCCTAAATAGGGCGCAGGCCAAGCCTGCGCCTAATAAGAAGATAAATCCTACCATAAAGTAAGTCTTTCTCCGCCTCTGACTCGAAACCCGAAAGCGTTGCGCGGTAGTTCTGCATGCACTGCGCCCTGGCGTTATCCCAGTTAGTACCGCTTCCGACCTTGAATAAAGTCAAGGTTTGGAAATAATCAGTCGGTTTGCTCACAAACAAGTGACAGGCGACTTCGAAATGACGGACGAATTTCGTCCAACCTGGCGGGCACTCAACGATTTTCGGCTTCACTTGAGACGGCACTGTAATCGTTCATCATTTCCCCAAAAGGACTGGAAAGTTTTAGAAGAAAAAAAAAGCTTCAAGCCTTAAAAATTTGCTCATTTCACATCAAGCCTGCCAACGCCCTAATATTTGTCGTTAAATTGGGAGCCAACTATTTTCTTTTGAAGATTGTACGAAGGAATTTCGGGACCGCAAACATTCGTGAGCGTGAATTGTGCATACACCAAAAAAGATTAACGGCAGACGCGCATGCATCAGTTTAGAGAGCACGGTAACTTTGGAGACACCAGACTCGTACTCTCCTCGCTCTGCACACTGTTACAAGCAGTGCGCATGTAAGCGCACGAGTCGAGTCTGGTCTTCCAAGTTTACCGTGCTCTCTAAACTGATGCATGTGCGGTGGCATGCCGTTTTCTCCCTGCGGGAAGGAATTTTGGGACCGCAAACATTCGTGAGCGTGAATTGTGCATACACCAATCTTGAGGGATTCGATTATTGGAAAACGATTCTTGAGAATAATCACCTCTATGATTTTTTTTTTCAATTCATTTTCCATTAAATAATGCGTATTTCTCGCATAAACTTAGTCAAAGATTTTCTGCAGATTATTTTAATCCTTTTGTATACATTCTTCGTTAACATCTCTATACAAAATATTGAAAAAGTTTATGAAAAAAAATATCAAAAAATAGGTGAATATTTCCGAGATCCGAGTCTCCAAGATTGCTGTATGCACAATTCACGCTCACGAATATTCGCGGACCCGAAATTCCTTTTTGAAATTTTTTCATATATCAAAAAGAAATACTTGAAAAGCCAGTAGGTACAATCCCAACGCACACAACAATTAAACAACGAACCAAAATAGTAAAGTCAATGAAAAGCCCAAGAAAATAGCTTCCCGTCGGTTAAACACCCCTTCTTTCAAGGGTCAACCTAATCAAAAATTAACCTTTTGAGTAGGAATAAAGGTAGATGCAAAATTTCCTAGTTTTGAAGACTTTTTTTCACGAGAAGACTCACTAGCATCGCACAATATCGGTGCGCGTACATGTCTGGATACTGACGACACTCGACACACGAACGATTTTGTGAATATTTGAAAGTTGAGTCACCCTACGATTTGTCGCTAACGATGACGGCCGTCTGATCCACACAAGATTTCCGGGTTATCATAGAACTATCGGACGCAAAATTGGTCTGAAGATAAAAAAAAAGGACCTCAATAACGCGAAACGGATGCGCTCCGGACGATTCTGAGCATTTCTAGGGATCACTTAAGAGCGCTGACTCTACTAAAGTGCTCACTAGTACTTCTCAGATATGCCCGATCTGCATTACCAGGGTTCGAGTCCTGCATTTCTATTTTCTATCAAGGAGATTATCCGTTGAGTTCACAGTCCTAGAGTTTCTTTAAAGGCATAGGGGCAGTAAAAAATGGGGTTTCAGGTGAAAGCAGTATCTTGTATAGTTTTTCTTCGCGAATCGAACGGTGTACTCAAAAAAATTACAGATGTGACAACTTTAGAAAAAAAAACGCGATTTTACTTTCCCGCCTTTAATTTTGAAAAAAGCTTTGGATCGGCCTACGGACAAATGTTTACAGTAGCCGCGCACGCGATGTTCTCGCTTTTTGTGAGAAATAACCGGATATCTGCTTCAAATTAAAGGTTTATTCTCTGAAATGTCGATTAAGAAAACAGAAAACACACATTGATAATAAAGAAAACACAAATAATCGCTATCCCAATCGAAACCTGTGTAAAATCATCATTTTTCACCAAAGAAGCATTTTTGCAATCAAAGTTCGCAATTATACATGAATAGAAAGCTTTTGTGACGAAAAGAACTTCGGTGACAACATAAAAAATTGAAAATTGAAAGAAACGAAGAAAAAAGCGAAAATGCGAAAAACGGGGAAGCCTGTTGTCAATAGAGCAACTTTACTGCAAAGTGCCCTTTTCGCTGTAACTCAAGCTTTCCTTTCTTCGATTTTGAAATATTTTTTCTTCAAAACTAGGAACTTCTGTACGTTTTCAAGTTCACCATTCGATTCGTAATGAAAAACTCTACAAAGTACTGCTTTGAACTGGAACACCGTTTTTTACTGCCCCTATGCCTTTAAGAAAATATTCAATTTGGTGGTTTTCCCAGGGTCAAAGAAAACCATTATTCAATGGTAACATACTTATATACCATTTGGAAACTCGTTTCACAAGGCTGTATATACCTGATTTTTTTGGGCGTCCAAGAACGAGAAACAATGCGCTAAGGATTTGTCTTCAGCACAATCACCCTCCGTTATCCTAGATTTCGGATTTATTATCTAAACTTATTTCGATTCTCACAATCTTTTGATCAATGTTGAGCACGCGGGCGAGTGACTGGGAGAGCCATCCAACAAGAAATAACTTTGCTGAGTCTAAAATTTTTTGAATCTCTGGTCAAAAGTGAAAAATTGCATCAAAGTCGAATAAGAGCTCCATTAAAGTTTTCCGACTTGAAAGACGAGACTGGTTTTCCAATTTTGAAGCGTTGCGTTCGCGACGCGGCTTTCGGCGGGAAATTCGAATCTAAACGCCCAGTCACCTCTTTTGAAATATCGTCGCACCTTTCAACTTTTTTCAAAAATTAAAAAAATTGACTGAAATAAGTATAAACCCCTTAAAAATTTATCCTTTGTCCCGCTACCTAGATCACCTCGCCAAAAGCCGCGCCACCGTTGCCAATTTACCCAACTCGCCTTTTTCAAGTCAGGGAAAATCGACTATTTTAGGAGCTCCAGAGTGGTTCCTATATGGGCAATCCTAGGGGCTCTTTGAGATTCCCTTCGAAGGACCACTTCACCAACCCTATAGGGGCCACTTAAATTTGCAAAAGGGGTTTTAATTAAAGGTGTCAGACCCTAAGCTCCTATAGGGACCACCTTCATTTTACCTCTACAGGGACCCCATTTTCGGCTAACCCTATAGAGGGTTTTTCAACCCTCCAAAGCACATAGGGACCACCACTCTGAAATTCCTTAAATACATTTAGAAACTTAGAAAGAAAAAGAAAGAAAAAAAACCAAACATACAAACAAAACATAGGGGTTTTAATTAAAGGTGTCAGACCATAAGCTCCTATAGGGACCACCTTCAGGATTCCGTGTAAAATCTTCACTCGAAGTGGTCGCTCTCCTTCTGAGGCTTCCACCTAGAGCACGGTCTCCGTGCTCCAGCTCTACCATCCATTACATTCTGAGCTCGTCAAGGCGCAACTGGATGGACTACGCGCAGAAGGACGAGACGAAAGACCGTAAGACCATGCTTTCAACTCTTTCGACTACGCGTTTGGACTTCTAGCTCGCCAAAGGCGGTTGTTCGTTATAGCTTTTAAAGTTCTTGTTCACCGCCTGGTCGATTACATCGGACTAAAACAACAAAATAAATAATAATAATAATAATAATTTACTCATCCACAAAGTGAAAAGAATAAATAAGGTTAAGAACCGGTTTTTGGTCACCCTCACGAGTGACCTCACCGGATGGGGAATACAATAGACATCACAGTTGATAAAATACACGTATATGCATATTGAGATTTTTGAGATCATAGTAGCCGTCTAGGGATGCTGATGAATAATTCATTGTCGGGGATGTTGTCCAGATGAGATTTGAAAATTTTAGGAGGAACAGAGACGTTGAATCTAGAGCAGATATTGTTCCAGATTGGAATCAGTTTTGAAAAGAAAGAATCACATAAAGGACCAGCCTGAATTAACCGCAGAGGATGTCGACCCGAATGAGAGATTCTGAAAAACCTGTGAGCGCTTGGAAAATGATCTATCTTGAGGACAATTTTGTGAAGTGTGCAGAGTGCAAGATTGAGTCTCCTTCTGTACAAAGCATTAGTGATTTGATTTGATTGCTACAGTTTCGCTCTAGTAACTTCATAGAATAAAAAGAAAGGAAAAGACTAACTTCTTTGAGCAGTTCCATTTGAGTTCTTGGTTGAGAGATTACTGTTGAAGAGAAGGCTGCTGCATCGCCCAGCACTGCGCGTAAGATACCCTAGCAATGGAATCTTTTTCGAACTACTTGAAAAAAAAAGAAAGAGAAGTAAAAAACAGTCAGACTTTCATGAAATTCGCTAACATGTTCTCAAAGCAGCCTGATCATATATAGTCCGTTCAGATTTTGAATGTCAAGTCATCGCTCTAAACTCCGCCCCTTATGCGTAGTTCAAACCAATCTGAGAGCAAGCCATCCACAGAGCGTTTTTGGGGGCGGAGTTTGCTGCTTGACTTTTAAAATCTGAACAGACAATGGCAAAATTTCTTTTCAATTTTTGGCTGTGATCATACAGCATCTCAGCAAACTTCAATCTGATTCTCAGATTAGGTATATTTTAAATTTTTCGATTGCCTCTTGTAAATTATTCTAAAACGACATCAAATCTGAAAAGACAGTGATTTGTAGAGGACAGCCAAACCTGGCTGCCACGAACACTGAAATATGCAAAATAAGATTTTTCAATAATTTCTGAATTCTATTAATGATAAAATCGACGTGAATTTCTAGAAAAAAAGATTTTTAGACTAGCGAGACCAATAGAAAAGTGATTCTTTTTAATGAATATTATATTTAAAAAAATTTTTGATTTTATATTGAACTTTCATCCTTCAGGTAGACAAGTCTCTCTTATTTTTTTGTGAAAATAAATTTTGGTCTGCTTAATTTTTTTGAAAAATTAAATTTTTGGTCTGCTTGATTTTTTTGAAAATTAAATTTTTGGTCTGCTTAATTTTTTTAAAAAAATTAAATTTTTGGTCTGCTTAAGCTTGAGATGAAAAATGATATGAAATATAAAAAATTATATTAAAAACATACTTTTTGAATGTAGTCAACTTCAGCAACCTCAAAACCTCCTGCCAATAAGTTGTGTCTAAAGAAAAAGTTCCATACAAAAAAAAGGTGAGAGAAAAAACATCCCAGTGATGGATTCAGTGGAAGCATACAAATACCAGACGCCAAATCCGTATTCGGGTTTTTGTAGACAATCGTTCCGGTCTTTTGCTCTTCCATTAAAAAAGATCCAATTAAAAGTTGGAAACCAGAAAATGGTCCAGGTTTGGGCATTTAAAAAGTGAAAGATAACCAGTCCAGGCGAATTTCGTGTCGCGTGGAGAATGACGAGCAACTGCTCTGGCATAGGGCTTCACAACATCAACCCAAGCCCAACTGATCTCAGGAAACATTTCTAGACTTTCAAAATCTTTTGGAGAGTGTCGAAGACATACTGAGGAGAAATGTGTGCAGCCGGGTGCTGCCGATTTGAACAAGTTGACCATTCGGGCTGATAAGTGAGCAATGATTCCTGGCTGAGCAAGGGTGTAGAGACCGGAAAAGTGGCGGTAGCACGAGCCTAAGGCTTGGAACCATCCAGCTGGGCATTCTCCGTAAACTTCTGAACAATTTTTTTGTAATAAGACTATTTAGGTAGACGAGTTTCGGTTTGCTCAATTTTTTTGAAATTAAACTTTGGTCTGCTCAATTTTTTTGAAATTAAACTTTGGTCTGCTTAATTCTTTTTGAAATTAAATTTTGGTCTGCTTAATTTTTTGTGAAATCAAATTTTGGTCTGCTTAATTTTTTGTGAAATTAAATTTTGGTCTGCTTAATTTTTTGTGAAATTAAATTTTGGTCTGCTTAATTTTTTGTGAAATCAAATTTTGGTCTGCTTAATTTTTTGTGAAATCAAATTTTGGTCTGCTTAATTTTTTGTGAAATTAAATTTTTGGTCTGCTTAATTTATTTTGTGAAATTAAATTTTTGGTCTGCTTATCCTTGAAACGAAAATAATATAAACGCAGTCAGAGAGGTTAAAATTATGAAATTTCTAGAATCGAGGGACTCCGTTAACTTTTTTGAACTTTTTTTAAGCCGGAAAAAGTTTTTCGGCAAAGTTTTTTTTTGTTTTTTGACGGAGAAACTATCTATTTTACCAAAAAAAAAACCCTCGAAAAAAAAAACGAACTGAAGTTGCAAAACGTCGGAAATCCCTTTTTGACATCTTTCACATGGAAAGGAATGAGTTCGGTGCACACAGACTTGGCTTCTTTCTAAAAATTTGACTTCGGATCTATATAATCAATAAAAAGTTACATCGGTAGTGGTATCAACCCAAATCTTCATATTCGAGCATTCGTCGAAAACTTTCTAAATTATAAAAAGCGTTCAATATAATTTTTATGGAACTTGACTTACTTGATCGGTTCGGGGATCCCATTTGCCTTTGTTGGCGGCGCAAAATCTCTCTCCGGATAAGTCTTCAAGCTTTTTTTAAACTTTGATTCTGTTGAAGCTTATACCAGGGTTCCCGGAGATGGACACTTCAACGATGAAAAATAACAAGATGAATGACTTCATATTGATTCTGAAAAAAATATTGCAAAAATAAAATGTATATAGTCTGTGTGCCACGACTTGAAATTTCACCGAACGACATTCCGCTGATCCGCCGCGTGCGTTCGCGAAGCGTCTTTCGTATCTGGATCACGCTTTCAATTGATTGTTATTGCTGTGGAAAACTCATGAAAGTAGAGGATCTTTATAATGAAAAAAAAAATTTTAAACGCGACCAAGGTTCGCAAAGGCGCGCAGCGGCACAGCGGAATGTCGTTTGGTTAAATTCCAAGTCGCGGTACACAGTCTATAGGACAAACCTAGACCGCAAATAATAAGCGGCTATAATGACTTTGAGGCTTCGGTTCTAACATTCACGCCCTTTAATTTTTGTTCATTTCTTTTCGGGGTAAAAATTTTCAAACGGAAAGCCATTGTTAACAATGTTGATTTACACTGGTACATATAGAATGTCGAAAGGACCCTTTACGGACCCATTGAGGGAAAGGAAATTTACGGACCCTTTGAGGGTAAACGGGTGGCACCGATTTCCTTTTTCCTGCCTTTTTCCGTCCTTTCTTTCACCCTTTTTTGGACCCTTTTGAGAAACACAATTTTTTGAATTGAGAAACGTTTCTACCAGTGGCTCTGTAGGAACCAAAATGTGCTACAGTATTACTATCGGAAATAATCAATGGCCGAGACTTTCAGCACCCTTTTTGAGGCTTTTTAGCCCACCAAGAAGAAAGGCTCAATAAAGGCTCCAAAACGGAGCCCTTTTAGCGGCCATTTTGCACCCGCTTTCCGCACTTCCGACTTTGGCAGTGAAACTCGAACTCTCTTTTCCGAAATATTATTGTTTTGTCCATAATTTAGTTGAAATAAAAACATAAATTGTTGTTTGTCTCTTTTATCGTGGTTTAAAAATGAACGGAAGGTGACGATTTACTTGTAGTAGAGCATCTGGCAGACAAACGGGAACCTTGTGTCGCATCTGAAAACCAAGAAAAATGAATCAAGCCGAAGTTTAAGATGAACTAACGTCGCATCGTTGACCTTGTTCTGGTAATATACACTAGTACCCGCAAGAATGGAAAGGCATTTTTCACTGCCGTACCATGAGGGATTTGTTGGCGCCCAGAATTTGTTGATGATCGTGCCGTCCCGTGCGGCGCCATCAACCCAATGGAACAGCTGAAAATGGCTTGAATGCTCAAAAATTTCAATTTTTGGTAGAAGTTCCTAGTAGGAAAATTAAAAAAGCAGTGCAAGGTCGTCACTGAAGACTTCAACTTTATCAATGCGTTTTAAATTTAAAAAACTACAGCCTCACTGGGAAAAGCTCTAGTGGCCCCTTTAAGGGCTACTTGGAGAGGAAGCTGAAGTTACCACTATAATCAACTCTATAGAAACCACTATTTAGCGTCTTAGTGCACAGGTCTAGTGATAACAACTTCTGAAGAGTTTCCTGAAGTAGCCATTGATTAGATTATTATAGTGGCCACTAAAACGTCAAAACCCTAAAGCGGCCACCAAAAATTTTCTCACTTCTGGGACAGTAAGCCTCTCTCTTCAAAAACTATGATATACTCCGCTCTACAGGACTCGAAACGCGAAAAATCATGAAAAAGTCCGTTCACCTCCACTTTCCTAGTTTCTCTAACCATTCTTTCAGTCTCTCACTTTGACATGATATTCTTATCTTTCTGTGATTTGTCTCACACAACGGAAAATGAGGCGTGCCGTAGCGCAACAGGTTGTGTGCCTGTCTGCAGTTCGAAGGGTCACAAGATCGACCCCCTCCTATTTATAGTGTGAAACTACGGCTCCAGCTGCTCCACACAAAAACAGATATGTCACTAAAGCCAGTCCACTGATTATCACTGATATCAGGGTGGGACGTCGTATAATCGACTTGGGGCGCCAACGTCGCTCAAGCAGTACAGAGGCGTAAGAAGTTCAAGAAGGGAAAAAAGAAGATCTTAAGCTTCAGACAGGTCGAACCGCTCCAAGTCCCGACGAACTGGATATCGAAATACAGAAAATGAAGAAAAAAAATCCTTCAAAATGAGAATCAGGGTCTAATCTCACCTTAGGCTTGTAGCATGGGTCGTTGACGTCTGTCTCAGTATACTCGCCAACGTTGCAACCTGGATTCCGTTGACCGCTGATCCACAGCTGTTTCTCGATCAAGTTGTGACTCCGGGACAGTTCTAGAAAGTATAAAAAGCTCGCCTCCCTTTACAGTTTTCATGGTTTTCGAGCCTCCTTTGTTCCCGTTTGGATTACTGATAAATAATCTACTGTAGCCGATACACCGCCGGCTTTATTCGTGTCAAGACCCTTTTTTGAATGGCTCAAGTCAGCAGTGAACTAGGTATAAAGAAATATTTTGAATCTCAAAAAAAAAACCATAAATAGTTGTTTTCTCCTCTTCGGACTCGAATCCCGAAAGGGTCGCGCCATAGGCCTCCATACAGTAGGATCTGGCGTCCTTCCAAGTTAACAAGCGTCTGATCTAAATACAATGTGATAACAAGTTAAGAGATAGGTCAGACTGCTTACAAACAAGTGACAGGCGACACCGTTACTTCGGACAAATTTCGTCCATCCTGACGGACATTCGATGGTCCCATCCCTCGGCACTGAAACTCGTTGATTCAGAAACAACAAAAGAGGCTCAATTTTTGTTGAAAAACAGGATCATATAAAAAGGTTCTCAGAAAAGTCGAGAATGCCAAACTACAAGGCAAAGTCGGAAGGATCCTTCACGACCCCTTGAAGGTCCGTTATGGGTGCAAAAGGTTTCCATTAATTGTTCCTAAACGTGCGGGAAAAGTTATCCTTTTTACTGCCTTTTCCGTCCTTTCTTCGGCCTTTTTGTACCTTTTTGAGAATCACACAGCTCTTTAAGAGAATAATCTTTACCAGTGCCTCTGTATGCACCAAAATGTGCTACAGTAATAAAATCGGAAATAATCAGGAAATCATCGGCCAAGGCTTTCAGCACCCTTTTTGCACCCTCACTTTTTCATCGCCCCTTTTTTAAGACTTTTAAGCCCAGAAAGAAAAGCTTGATTAAGGCCGCTAAACGGATCCCTTTTAGCGGCCATTTTGCACCCGTTTTCCGCACTTCCGACTTTGGCAGTGCTAGAGATAGGCGGAACTGAAGTTTCAAATTGCGGAATGGATCTATGCGGATTTCTCTCGAAACAAATTTGAGCCCATTTTTTGGTTTGTAATGATGAAATTTTATGTAATTAACCTGTTTAGAGGATATTTTCCGACTGTCATGGGACAAGGAGGCAAAAACTGGACATTCTATATTAATCAAAAGGTATTTCACACGAATATTAAAATTATTTTAATCGAAAAACCTTACGAATGAAAATCCTAGTAACCTGAAGAGGCTTTCTTTCAGTGCGAAATACGTTTTTCCTAGCTTATACCTGGTCTTCCAGCCGATAGGTACACGAAGATCAATAGCAAGATGAGCGTCCTCATCTCAAAAATGAATAAAGTTTCGGATCAAGACGAGAGAAGACAAACCTAAGCCAAGACCTTGAAGCCACTGATGGGCAATGAAAACTGCTCATTATCACTTACACGTTTACGTCAGTTATCGTCTTCGTCATCTTTTCTTTTTTTAAAGGAAATCAAGCGTTTACGCAGGTATGATAGGGGGGAGGGGGACAATATTGATCAGAAAAAAAAGAAAATGTGAAAGCAATACTGTTAAAGTACGAAGAAAAACTTTAGTTTGGAGATGTCAACTGAACTTTTGAGAATTAATTCGGCATTGAAAGACTTTAGCTTGGATGAAACTATAGAGACAAGTCATCTCAATAAACTTGAAATGATTATTCAGTTCGAAAAAAATGAAAATTAAAAAAATAAGGGAACGTGATGAAGAGTAGAAAAGTGACCACTCTTCAATCAATGCACTACTTTCGTCGTTGCTCTAAAGTCTTTCCGAAGGTGGCTAACTCGCCGATTTCCTAATCGAAGGGTTGTTTCCTTTGAGATGATCATCATCTTCTACCTCTTTCTTCTCGGCATGGCCTCTGCGCAGTCGCCCTCCGATCGACCGCCAGGCAATACAACTAAAACGACTTTCCCATTGATCTACGCTTTCAGATCTCTCTGCGGAAATGTTCTGCAAAGCGAACAAAGGGAAGTTCACTCCCAACCCCAAAGATGTAAATAATTTTGCGTTGTGAGTAATGCATCAAATTTTCTGTAGACCGATAAATGCATTGGAGCTTCCTACTGGGTGCAATCTTCGACTGACGTTAGTTCAGGTTGACTTTTCCTGTAATTAACGTTTTTACTACAGAAGGAAGCCAAGCAAATCTGCAATTATCTAGTCCCTTTTAACGTGACAGGCGTGATCCAGGGCTTCCCGACCAAATGTGACTTCGGTTCGAATTTTATTTTCTTGATATATAGCTGATTCACGGCTGGCTTGAGCCATCGAGAAAAGGGTCCTGCCACGAAAAGAGACGAGACAATGCCCTGGTTGGTGGAGATTGCAGACAGGCCACTCCTTTTTGCGTCCCAAGCTAGCCGTGAATCGTCTATAGCTAATCCGCAACTTTATTGAGCCATTAAGAAAAGAGTTCTGACACAATAGGAGAAGAGATAATATTGAACAAAAATCGATACGATCTTCAAAATCGCACATCCAGAGTTGCCCCATTTCGTAAATCTTGCTTTCAGCGGTGTACAGCACCTGTCCTCCCTCGTGGTACCAAGCTATCGGATCGTGCTTCCGAAACGTTCCAGGACGGTACAAGTTGAATGAAGCTCGAGAGAAGTGCTCAAAAATTGACCCACGCGCTAGTATAGTCCTCATCGGCAGTACTCGTCTTCATACGATTCTCATCAGTACCATCGAAGATAATATTGATGAATTGAATCGGAATAACTTTAGAAATTTTCCACGACATCGACCGCGCCTGGGTCGACGTCGTCGCTCCCTACGGAGCCATTGTATCTCGTCGCCATTATCGGGACACCAAATTCCAGTGGAAAGGTTTTCCAGGCTTAGTTGAAAAATGAAAAATTTCTGCGTCTACGCTAACGTCGCTCAATCGAAAATTCACAGATCCTCAACTAACAATCGGTTCGGCTATGGCGGATGAGCAAAAGGAAGGGTCTATCGTCTTGAGAGACGGAGAGAAGAGTCTAGCCTCGGTGATTTGCTCTAGAAGCCTGATCGCATCGCCTGGATGTTTTTTGCGCGGATCTCATCCTTGATTACCTTCTTTTTGTTTTCAGACAACAGGCATTGGAACGAGATTCTTGATTATTTCAAGTTTTCACCCCCGACAACGTCTGTTTATCATATTTTCGCCTTCAAAAAAGGTCCTTCACTTTCAGAAATCTGTTTACTGCGCCAACGTCTTTCGCGAGCTACAATCACTATCAGTAAGCCTTTGACGAGCTCAGAAGAAATTCATTGAATAAATTAAAGTGTTGAAGCGGACGTGCGTCCGTATACTAAAACTGACTTTATGAGCGAGAAATGCCAGGTTGAGACACATTTTCCGCGTTTAGTCGACCATTTTGCAGAAAGTCGCTTCAGCCTTCATGCTGACGGGGGCCGCAGCCGCGTCAGCCTATGCAAGTACTGCGATCACAGAACGAAACGTAAATTAGGAGAAAACCCCTATTTCCCAGTTGTTATTTTTTCCAGCCGTACGCTTCATACGTTTTGACGCCACTGAGTTTTTCTCATGAGGATAAATGTCAACAACAGGCAGTACCCTTGTTTGTTTTGAAAAGCTTTTGAAAGTTGGAAACTGTGGGTCTGCAGGACGACTGATAGCGGGTGCCAATCTCTCAATGGGATCAACTTGAATTCTTGCTTCATCGCGAGATATAGAAACGAGACGGTGAGTGTTATTATTTTTTTTTTTTTCTGAGATAATACTATTGAATCAGTTTCACGGTATCAATGGAGCAACATTCACGGCGTATAGCGGGTGCGTCGACCAGACGGCTGTGGCTGCAACTCCCAGAAAGTCCGTTTTTTTATTCATTTATAATAATAATACTAATAGTATATTTATTGCACACGATGTTACAACAATGAGTAGACTTTGACCAAATATCCCAGATTCCTTTGAAGTAACTCGGAGGCCAGAGTTGTTCGGCACTCAAGGAAGATAGAAGGCATACAGCAACAAAAAAAAATTTGGAATAAATGAGATTAACATACAGGATTTATTGGAATTCAAAAAAAAAGAAAGGTTTCAAGAAAATATAGCTCTTCTCGTTGTGTGAAAAATATTTTTAAAATAATGTAAAGAATGTTTTTGAAAAAGAGTTCTCCTAAACAGGTTCTCTACTGTTTCTCGTCACGTCCGAGCGCCGATCTCATGCGTTGGTGGTGAGTTGCGAAAAATTTTACTTTTAATTTCTAATCAATAATTACTCGAAACAACCCCTATAGCCTATAGGGGACGAAAAAGTGATACATATAGGGGTAAAATTAGGGTGGTCCCTTTGGTCCAATTAGGTGGCCCACAAAAAAAAATTAGGGTGGTCCAAAAGTTTCCAGTCGAAAGGGTATTTTCAAATTTGATATCTTTCTGTTTCTTATGTGACTGAACAATTTTTCACGTCGAACCTAATTTCATAAATTCGAAACGTGAAAAATGAATCAAAGAATATGGCTGCGTGTGCGAATCGCCAAGTCAAGTTGACGTCATGTGAGGGAGTAGCGTTTTGCCTCGAAGTAAGAGTCTGACCCCACAGCCCCCAAAGCTCGAGTGGACCCTATAAGAATCTTTCAATTTCATTCAAAAAATGCCTATTCATTCAATTTTTCCAATGCACAAAACGTTACTGCAAAATTTTAAGATTTGATTAGAAAAAAAAAATGAATTTTCAGTGCCTCCGATGGAAACACATGGGAAAGGTTGTCCAAATGGATTCACGCTTTTTAAGCGATCCCACCAGTATACTTGCCAAACTTTTGTGAGAGAACCATACTAATTATCAAACATAACGAAAACTGCAGGTAAACACTCCAAAACCATGGTCACGCGCTCGCGAACACTGTGCCGAAACGTATCTGGGAACCCTCTCCGCTTTCGCATCTGAAGCCGAAAAGGACGTTCTATACCGTAATATTTTCTCTCAAAATTTTCCAACTTCTTTTGAGGTTAGAGATATGGCCAAAGACTTGATCGGTAATGGACAAGCGTGGTTGGGTGCACAGCGCAACGGCGATTGCCAATCGAACACGTATTCTTCCGACTCTCGGAATGTTTGCTACAGACCTTACGTAAGAAACGAGCAAAGTTTGGTTCGATTGAAACATTTCTTGAAGTTGTACATCTGGACCGATAATGCAGCCCCCGACCAGACTATCATTGACAAGTACTGGTCTAGAATCAATCCCGACTGGGCGGGTCAGAGAGAAAACTGCCTCACTCTGACTTTTGGTAATTCCTATTGGCTCGATGGCGACGACAACACTTTGAACGACTATGAGTGAGAGATTCACGTTCATTTCACTCTACGGTTGGGAGTTTCCTAAAAAAATGTTTTTGGATGTTTCAGTAAAATATCCTGAACTTCCTCCGACACAAATCATAGGCTCAAAATTGCGTATGTATCCTCTTTTGCATAGACATTTTTTTTTAATGAAATGAATCAAGTTTCCTCAACACATACATGATACTTCAATTTCTCCAACAGAGTTTGCATTTTTCAGTTGCGACGCCCAGCTTCCCTTTTTCTGCCAGATTTTGTACCCTTCTTATTATTAAAGTTTTTCCAAATGGATGTTCTGCTTTTTTTAAATCTATGGTTTTTTTCGCAATTTGAACCGCTGATTCTTAAAATTGAAAAAAAATATGGTCTGCTCCAAAATGTTGAAAGTCCACTTTGAAAACGACAACCGGATTGGGAAAAGGCGGGACAATTACAGTGGGACTTTTTGGGGGCTCATGGAACTAAATCGGGCGTATCAATCTTTATCAGACAGGCTGTTAAGCTAAGACTGTATAAACATTCTCCGGAAACGAAGCACGACTAACAAAACTGAAGATCAAGTATCGTAACCCTCTTACTACAAACAAATTATTAGATAAGAATTCTACCGGAAATGTTTAGATTCTATAGAAAATTGTGTCGTTTTCTGTGCCGATCGCCAGCAGATACTAGATTTGCTGCTGATAGGAGTTTGATAAGGATTCTTTGACCAGGCACGAAATAGCCATTGAATGAAACTTAACAGTGATAGAGAAAAGGGGTTCGAGAAAGTTTTAGCTGATGAATTAGTCGAATATCAAATTTACTGAGTGTGAAAAAAGGCATCATATGTAAATACGGTTCGTAATTAAACTCTCAAAAGATCTGATTGATCGAAATTCAGCTAAAAAGGAAATGAGCAGACTAAGCAGACCAACAAAAAATGAATGAACACCCTGAACTGAATTTTTCAAAAGGGTAGGCTTAACCGAAGTTGATTGAAAAAAAATACTTTCACTGATCCCATATAGAGAGACGACGTTCTTGAGCTTGAACAACTTGAAAGTACGATTGGAAAACTAACAAGCTTCTGCTGAACCTTCGATTATGTTGTTGATCTTCATAAAATTACTCTTCACGATCCTGGTAGGATCCCTGTGGTTAAAAATAAAAGGGTCACTAGTTCTTTCTTGGGCCGTCTTCATCTCCTAAGTCGGCGCGCTCTCCGTCTCTTGATTTCTTGATTGGCCTTCTGCTGATGTAGCATCCGAACGCTGAAGTTGTCCACTCGGCTTCCCAAGGCCACCGTCGCCGCACCGCCCCTGAAGGCATGAGAAGTGTAGTTGAAGTTTTCGAGTCAGGCCTTATGAAGCAGAAGTTTCAATTTTGCATGCGGTAAAGTAAGTGATGGACGTTTTCATTGAGGCTGATAAGAAGATAAAAACTGAGCCGGTGATCAATTTGAAGCGAGTGACGACTTGTAGGTTTTCCTTCTCCAGCTTGATCGGAAGATTCACGCCTTTTCCTTCTTGATCTTTATTCGATCGTCTAATCTGGAGACTGCCTTTTCCGTCGAGTTCGTCATCATCAGTTTCATCAGTTTATTCATTTTACAATAAATAAAACATTTCTAAGGGACTCAATATCTCGTCGAGTTTAACGTCGTCCCAACGAAGAGCTAGTGCCTCGGATATTCTGAGCATTGCGTTGAATTAAAGAATCGCCAAAGTGGCTGTCCTATCCAGCTCGGGGTAATTAAACGCGGTTTCTACTAACCTTCGGTAATGCTCAAATAGCATTCTCGTCGGATTGTGTACCGTTGGTTTTGCCCTGCTCGAGGCCGACGTAATTGCTTTTTGCAGAGAGGCTTCACGTGGCTGTAACTCACCGAGGAAATAGTTGAGAGCTGCCGTAGCTCAATACACTGAAGATGAAGGGCCTTCGGAGAGCTTCTAAAGAAGAAAAAGAGTTCTTAATTGGCCTTGACCTAGATTTTTGTCCGGAAAGTATCAAAAAGTTTCAAGATACGCCCGTAACCGATAATCGTACCAGGTGCTCGGTCCGATACCAAAATCCTCTCGAGTGGCTGCCCCAGGGCCTCGTCTGGACCTTCCAGGGTTCTTGTCAAGTTGGCCGCGGCTGTGAAGCGATTTTCTGTAAGAATTTGTACTCTGACCTGTTGTTGCTTCAATCTTGCTTTTTCAGGAGGGTGGGTGGGATAATTTCCTAAAGAAAAAGCCAAAAGCTGGAAAAACGGAGGTAAACTTGAAAAATCGCGCTCTCCCCGCCTGGCGTGGGTTACGGTACGGTGGAATGAAAAAAAAGCCAGCAAATAAAAAAAAAGACGCTAGGGAACTAAGTTGTTTGCCCAGTACACGCTTACGTCAGTTATCTTCTTCTTCATCTTTTCTTGCTGAAAGAAGTTCAAGTTTTTACGCTGACATAATAGGTGAAAACAATATTAATAAGAAAAAAACAACAATGTTAAAGTGTGAAAATATTCCGTTTTGAAATACCCCTCTGTTTTTTTGAGATATTTTCTTCATTGAGAGTCTTCAGTTTGGATGAATTTGCAGTGTCAAATCCTAGTCCTGCTCAATAAACTTGAAATGATTATTCAGTTTGGAAAAAGAAAATCAACTAACGGGAACGTGAACGACCAGTAGGAAAGTGACCATTCTTCGATCAAAGCACCACTTTCGTCGTTGCTCTGAAGTCTTTCCGAAGGTGACTAACCCGTCGATTTCCTAATCGAAGGGTTGCTTCCTTTTAGATGATCATCATCTTTTACCTCTTTCTTCTCGGCATGGCCTCTGCGCAGTCGCCCTCCGATCGACCACCAGGCAATGAAACTAAAACGACTTTCCCATTGATCTACGCTTTCAGATCTCTCTGCGGAAATGTTCTGCAAAGCGAACAAAGGGAAGTTCACTCCCAACCCCAAAGATGTAAATATTTTTGCGTTGTGAGTAATGCATCGAATTTTTTGTAGTTCGACAAATGCGTTGGAGCTTCCTTCTGGGTGCAATCTTCGACTGACGTTAGTTCAGGTTGACTTTTCCTGTAATTAACGTTTTTACTACAGAAGGAAGCCGAAGAAATCTGCGATTATCTGGTCCCTTTTGAAGTTACAGACGCGGTCCCGGGCTATCCGACTGAGTGCGACTTCGGTTCGATTTTTTTTTATCTTGTCTTTCATCATTATATAGTTGATTCACGGCTGGCTTGAGCCATCAAAAAAAAAGGGGTTTCTGACAAGAGAAGAGACATTGCCTGGCTGGTCAAGAGCTCAGACAGGCCACGCCTCCTCAGCGTCTCAAGTTACAGCCAATGGATCCCAATTTGAAAGGCGAGGGAGGGGAAGAAGTGTGCCGGATGCGTAGCGTGTGCGTACGCGGTTCTTGGCACGAGTTCAATTCAAGCGCCAGCGACTATTTAGAGAGCTCGGTTATCGCTCTTTAAGTTTTTTTTTTGAGTATTTCTTGATTCGTTTCGTCTCTGCGTTGAAAAAAAATAGAATAGATACAAAAAAAGAGGTAACCGAGCTTTTTAATTTTTCGGTGGCGCTTGAATCGGACTCGTGCCAAGAACCGCGTATGCACACGCTACGCTTCCCGCACACTTTTCTGCTTTTCTCGCCTTTCAAGTCCGGAAAAATTGACTACATAGGAGGGCTTCCGATGTCGCCAAGGCTTTGTTTGTCCTCGCCTTTTAAGTCGGGATGACATATCTAGAGATCGTTCGTACTGAACAGAAAACGATAGGTTTTAAAATTCACAAATCCAGAGTGGCCCCATTTTGTAAATCTTGCTTTCAGTGGTGTACAGCACCTGTCCTCCCTCGTGGTACCAAGCTATCGGATCGTGCTTCCGAAACGTTCCAGGACGGTACACGTTTGATGAAGCTCGACAGAAGTGCTCAGATATTGACCCACACTCTAGTATAGTCCTCATCGGCAGTACCCGTCTTCATACTCTTCTCATCAGTACGATCAAAGGATGAAATTGTTAATTGAAACGGAACAACTTTAGAGCTCTTCCACACCATCGACCGCGCCTGGGTCGACGTCGTAGCTCCCTACGGAGCCGTTGTATCTCGTCGCCATTATCGGGACACCAAACACCAGTGGAAAGGTTCTCCAGGATTATTTGAAAAATGAAAAACTTCTGCGTCCACGCTTACGTCGCTCAATCAGAAATTTACAGATCCTCAACTAACAATCGGTTCGGCTATGGCGGATGAGCAAAAGGAAGGGTCTATTGTCTTGAGGGACGGAAAGAAGAGTCTAGCCTCGGTGATTTGCTCTAGAAGCATGATCGCATCGCCTGGATGTTTTTCGCGCGAATCTCATCCTTGATTAACTTTTTTGTTTTCAGACAACAGGCATTGGAAGGAGATTTTTGATTACTTCAAATTTTCACCTCCGACAGCGTCTGTTTATCATATTTTCGCCTTCAAAAAAGGTCCTCCACTTTCAGAAATCCGCTTACTTTGCCAATGTCTTTCGCGAGCTACAATCACTATCAGTAAGCCTTTGACGAGCTCAGAAGAAGTTCATTGAATAAATTAAAGTGTTGAAGCGGACGTGCGTCCGTATACCAAAACCGACTTCATGAGCGAGAAATGCCAGGTTGAGATACGTTTTCCGCATCTAGTCAATCATTTTTCAGAAAATCGCTTCAGCCTTCATGCTGACGGGGGCCGGTTTCGCTTCAGCCTACCCAAGTTTTGCGATCGCGGAACCAAATGTAAATTAGAAGGAAAAATCTGCTTACTAGATGTTCTTTTTTTTAGCCGTACGCTTCGTACGTTTTGACGCCACTGAGTTTTTCCCATGAAAATCAATGTCAAAAGCAGGCAGTCCCCTTGTTAGTTTTGAAATGCTGATGAAAGTTGGAAACTGTGTGTCTGCAGGACGACTGATAGCGGATGCCAATCTTTCAATGGGATCAGCTTGGATTCTTGCTTCATCGCAAGAAATAGAAACGAGACGGTGAGTTTAATTTTTTTTTCTCGTCTTCTTTTAGATTATACCATTGAATCAGTTGCACGGTGTCAATGGAGCAACATTCACGGCGTATAGCGGGTGCGGCGATCAGACGGCTGTCGTTGCAACTTCCAAAAAGTCTGTTTTTTTATTAATTTATAATAATAATACTAATAGTATATTCATTGCACACGATGTTACAACAAATAATAAAAGGGTCCGTGTGTACCAGGGATGCATGAGACGAGGTTTTTCCATCTCGAGACGAGAAAGTTTTTGGAAAAAAATCTCGAAACGAAATCGAGACTATTCGAGATGAAAAAAAAAATCCGAATTTTTGTTTCGAAATAACCCTTTAAAACGACCAAAACTCAAAAATGCGCGAGAAATTCTCTTTATTGAGAGATACACTGCGTTCAATAAGGATAGGACCCCCCTCGATTTCGGACCTTCTGGCAAAATACGGAAAGATATCAAAAATCTGTAAGTGCCATTCGATTCAGAGTACAAAACAACCCCCAGAGCCAAACTTTCATTATCCTAGCATTCTTCCTACGAAAATGCCATCGAAAAAACGGCTTTTCGACCGTTCAATAAGGATAGGACCCCCTGGAAATTTTGACTTTCATTGGTGGTTTTTGATCAATTTCTTTTTTTGATGAGTGGTTTTTTTGTTCTTATATCATTTTTATCAAGTTTTCTACGGTTTTACTTTCATATCTTCCAGGTTTGAAAAATATTTTATATCGAAAATAGGGAAAAAAACCTTTTTTTTAGGTTGCATCAAAATATTCGAGCGAGTGATTTTTTCCAGTACTTTGAATGAACTTATCTGATTAACAGAGACTTTTCAACATTCAGAAAAACAAAAAGAAGAATGAAAAACATTACTTTAAAAGTTAGAAAACCAGTTACAAGATGGTGTATCGTGACCGAATTTCAGACTGTCGTCGTTTTCGACCGTTTTTCTTACTGTATGTAGTCGGGATGGCGGTGAACTTTTTTTAAAGGATTTGTGAAGGTACTATCAACATATTTCATCAACAAGATAATCTGAAAAAAATTATATTTACCACGTACAATGCCGAGAAAAATGTGGAGAAAAAAATTGGTACCCGCGCTCATCGAAGGTATTGTTTCAAATAGAGCGTTTGGCGGGTTTTTTTAGTTTTTTTCAACTGAATAATACAAAAAAAATGAAAACGTGCAATAAAACAATTTTTCATTAGAAATAAAACTTTTTTATATGATTTATTTATACAGTACCGCAAAAAAAGTTCGAGTAGCAGTCGGAAGGGTGTTTATTCCTTTGATTTCCGAGGATCGCCAATTTTTATCCAATCCAACTAAGTGTCTTTTTGTGATGGAAGCACCTTCACAAATCCTTTAAAAAAAGTATACCGCTAATCCGACTACATACGGAAAGAAAAACGGTCGAAAACGAGGACAGTCTGAAATTCGGTCACGATACACCATGTTGTAACTGGTTTTCTAACTTTTAAACGAATGTTTTTCTAACTTATTTTCGTTTTTCCAAATGTCAAAATGTCTCTTTTAATAAGATAAGTTCATTCAAAGTACTGGAAAAATTTATTCGCTCGATTAACATGATGCAACCTAAAAAAAACGTCATTTTTCCCTATTTTCGATATAAAATATTTTTCAAACCTGGAAGATATGAAAGTAAAACCGTAGAAAACTTGATAAAAATGATATAAGAACAAAAAAACCACTCATCAAAAAAAGAAATTGATCAAAAACCACCAATGAAAGTCAAAATTTCCAGGGGGTCCTATCCTTATTGAACGGTCGAAAAGCCGTTTTTTCGATGGCATTTTCGTAGGAAGAATGCTAGGATAATGAAAGTTTGGCTCTGGGGGTTGTTTTGTACTCTGAATCGAATGGCACTTACAGATTTTTGATATCTTTCCGTATTTTGCCAGAAGGTCCGAAATCTAGGGGGGTCCTATCCTTATTGAACGCAGTGTATTACGCAAAATCTCAAACTGCGCTGTGGTTTTGATCGCTTTCGGTATGGGACATTACGACCGGAAGGTCCTATATGACACTTTATTTTTAACTTTCAGCTCAAAAAAGTCTTTTTTTCTTCATCTCGAAATATATCGAGACGAGATCGAATTTATTCCTGCATCTCGAGACGAGACGAGACGAGATCGTCAATTTTTGACCGAGACGAGATTTCGTCTCGAGATATCTCGAGAAATCTCGAGAAATCTCGAGACGAGATTGTGTCTCGTGGGTGCTACGACAAGAGCGAGTTTTCCATTTGCGGAGGGTATTGTATACGGATATACGCAGTGCGTGCATACACCTTGCGTATTTACACTTTCGTTGCGTGACGTCACCGGGTCGTACATCTTCGGGTTTTTTTTCCGAGTGTTTTTTTCGACTGTTTGTCAACTTTTTTTTTGAAACTGCTTCTTATCGTGCAAATATCATCGAGAAAAATGCAAATCTTAAAAAAATGCAGAAAAAAATTGAGGAGTATTCGAAACAAAAAACCCGTAGATTTGCGACCCGGTGCAACGAAACGCAACAAAAGTGCAAACACGCAAAGTGTATGCACGCAATGCGCATATCCGCATACAGTACTCCTCGCAAATGGAAAAAGTCGCTCTTGTCGTCGCACCGTCTCGTGTATCCCTGGTGTGTAGTACATTTTTTTGTTAAAAAAATTATTTTTTTAAAACTACTGTTTAAAAAAACCGCTTCTCTTTCAAATGTTCATCATAATTTCTTTTTTGATTTTTCGTAACGAAATATCATCATCGTTTTTTTCTGTTTCTCTGTGTTCACTGGTACTAAGAACAAAAATTTCTACAATGCTATATAGACTATAACAAATAAGTTCAAGAAAAAAATGCAAAACTTTAATTTGTCAGAAAAAAATTAAATATTTTCACCTTTTCACTAGTACTCCGAAAACTTGCCCCGTGTGAGCGATCTGTTTTGAAAATCGATCGCTCGGAATTTCGATCGATCAAAATTTTATGCTCAAAATATTGGTCAAAAAAATGATTGATCGAAATGTTGTTTTGAAAATATTGGTTGAAAAAATGATCGATCGAAATGTTGTATTGAAAATATTGGTCAAAAAAATGATTGATCGAAATGTTGTTTTGAAAATATTGGTCAAAAAAATGATTGATCGAAATGTTGTTTTGAAAATATTGGTCAAAAAAATGATTGATCGAAATGTTGTTTTGAAAATATTGTCGAAAAATGATCGATCGAAATGTTGTATTGAATATATCGGTCGAAATATCGATATATCAAAACGTTAAAATCTAATGATTGATCATTAATGTAAGAGATCAAAAACTGATCTAATAAACGATCTCTCAAAAAATGAAATGTTAAAATTTGGTTGAACAGTGACATGTCAATAGTTTGATCAATTGAAATGGTTGAATGATCGGTTTGGTGAACTCTAGTGTGTACCATAACGAGTAAACTTTGACCAAATATTTCAGATTCCTCTAAAGTAACCTGGAGGCCATAGTTGTTCGGCACTCAAGGAAGATAGAAAGCATTCAGCAGTAAAATATTTAGAATAAATGGAGTTCAAAAAAAAAGGTTTAAAGAGAATATAGCTCTTCTCGTTGTGTGAAAAACATTTTTAAAATAATGGAAAGAATATTTTTGAAAAAAGTTCTCCTAAACAGGTTCACTACTGTTTCTCGTCACGTCCGAGCGCCGATCTCATGCGTTGCTGGTGAGTTGCGAAAATTTCTACTTTTAACTTCTAATCAATAAAGCAACCCCTATAGCCTGTAGGGATCGAAAAAAGGATACCTATAGGGGTAAAATCTGAGTGGTCGTTGTGGGGGTAGAGGGGCTTGACCCCTTAGCATATAAAGCTCGAGTGGACCCTATAAGGGTCTTTCAATTTCATTCGAAAATGCCTATTTATTCAACTTTTCCCATGCTTCTTCGCTTAGAGTTCATAACGATTATCGACTAACATGTCCCCTATAGGGGCCTTTAAGTGAAAACCCTATAAGGAAGTGATCCACAGAGGGGACGCTGCAAGGACCCCTAAGATTTCCCCTATAGACGCCCCTCTAGAGTTCCTAAGTTTGTTATATGTTCATCATCGGATAAAAGAAACCCGAGAAATATCGATTACACTATTAAGTCGGTGAATCTAGGAGAGAGTTTTTTTGGATATAAAGAAAAAATAGCCAGTTTCCAAGAAAATAAAGATTTTGCGATTTTCGTTTCTAGTGGCCTTAATGAGCTACACAAAACTTTACAGCAAAATTTTAAAATTTGACTTGAAATTTCAGTGCCTCCGATGGAAAAACATGGAAAAGGTTGTCCAAATGGATTCACGCTTCATAAGCGTGGCACCGAGACCATTTGCCACATTTTTGTGAGAAGATCATACTGATTATCAAATTTAAACGAAAATTATAGGTGAACACTCCAAAATCATGGTCACGAGCTCGCGAACACTGTGCCGAAACGTATCTGGGAACCCTCTCCGCTTTCGCATCAGAAGCCGAAAAGGACCTTCTATATCGTAATATTTTCTCTCAAATTTTTTAAACTTTTTTGCGGTTATAGATATAGCCAAGAGCTTGATCGGTAATGGGCAAGCGTGGTTGGGTGCACAGCGCAACGGCAATTGCCAATCGAACACATATTCTTCCGACTCTCGGAATGTTTGCTACAGACCTTACGTAAGAAAGGAGCAAAGTTTGCTTCGATTGAAAAATTTCTTGAAGTTGTACATCTGGACCGATAATGCAGCCCCCGACCAGACTATCATTGACAAGTACTGGTCTAGAATCAATCCCGACTGGGCGGGTCAGAGAGAAAACTGCCTCACTCTGACTTTTGGTACGGACATTTGGCTTGATCCGGGCGACGACAACTCTTTGAATGACATGGTGTGAGTGGATTCACAAAAAAGTGTTCATTTCACTTTGCGGTTGGGAGTTTCCTAAAAATTCTTTTTTGTCCAGAATAAGAACCTGGATGTTTCCTCAACATATACATGAAACTTCAATTTCTCCAACACAATTTGCATTTTTTTCAGTTGCGACTACCAGCTTCCCTTTTTCTGCCAGATTTTGTACCCTTCTTATTAAAGTTTTCCAAATGGATGTTCCGCTTTTTTAAATCTATGGTCTCCATTAGCGCTTTGAAGCTTTGAACTGTTGGTTCATTAAATTGAAAAAAAACTTGCTCTGCCGCAAAATCAATGTTGAAAGTTCACTTTGGAAACGACAACCGAATAGGGAAAAGGCGCGACAATTACAGTGGGACTTTTTGGGGACTCATGGAACTAAATCGGGCGTATCAATCTTCATCAGACAGGCTGTTAAGCTAAGACTGTACACGGCGTTCCCAAACGGGGTGGCAAGACGTCAAAAACATTTTGGCGCGAAATTTGAAATCTACAGTACTTCAGCCGAAGGCGATCGAACAAACAAGTTATTAACGTTGGGTGGTATGAAAAAAACACCAGCGAAAATTCAAACGGCGACTTTTCCGATTTTTTCATATCGCTAGCGAACTTTCCGACGGCCACCTTTCCGACGGATCACTTTCCGACTTTTTTCACTTATGTTTTTCGGTTTGTAAAACATCTATTCATATTTTTTTATTCCTGTTTCTTTGTGTTTTAATCATGAACCAACTACCTACTTTATATAGGAAGATTCAGGAATGCCGTGCTGTATAAACATTCTCCGGAAACGAAGCACGACTAACAAAACTGAAGATCAAGTATCGTAACCCTCTTACTACAAACAAATTATTAGATAAGAATCCTACCGGAAATGTTTAGATTCTCTGGAAAATTTTGCCGTTTCCTGTGCCGATCGCCAGCAGATACTAGATTTGCTGCTGATAGGAGTTTGATAAGGATTCTTTGACCAGGCACGAAATGGCCACTGATTGAAACTTATCAATGACAGAGCAGAAATGGCGTTTGAGGAAGTTTTAGCGGATGATTTAGTCGAATATTTGAATATTTTCAGTATGAAAAACATATGTCATTATCATATGAAAAGTAATGAATCTCTCTAAAGGTGTGAATTGACCGAAATCCAGCCAAAAAATAAGCAGACCAATAAAAAATGAATGGATACCCCGAACTAAACACTAAGAATAACTGACGAGATAAACGCGAGGTCGGTGGCGGTACATTGACGAGCTCGCAAACATCTCGCTTTTTTCAAGGCGCGATCTCGCATTTCTCTCGGCGCGACCTCGCATTTTTCTTGGCGCCATCTCGCATTTATCTCGCACTTCGGAAATTTTCAAATTGCGAGAGAAATGCGAGCTCGCGCCTAGAAAAATGCGAGCTCGCGCCCAGAAAAATGCGAGACCGGCGCGAGAAAAAAAGCGAGATGTTTGCGAGCTCGTCAATGTACCGCCAGTGTCTCGCGTTTATCTCGGCAGTTATTCTTAGTGAAAGTTATCGAAGGATCAGGCAGTTGATTTTCAAAAAAATTTTCACAGATTCTAAAGAATGAAACCCGGTCTCGAGCTTCCAAACAATTCGAAAGTACGATTTGAAAACTAACAGAATTCTGCTGAACCTTTATGTTGATCTTCAAAAGATTTCTTACGCTCCACGATGCTGAAAAAATAAAAAGATAACTCGTCGTGTCCAGCTACGGTGCTCCGGTCATTTCCACGAAATGAAAAGGGCAACCTTCACTCTTTCGAGAAAGGCAAGCGAGCCACACCTTTTCGCGAAAGATAAAGAAAAAAACATGTAAGTGGCTGGTACGGCGCTTTACAGGGGAATTGATAACTCCGAAACAGATGATAAGGATCGGAATAAAAGCCGGTAAGTCAGGGGAGCCTTCAGAGTCGGGAAAACTTCTAGAATGATTTTCCAGAGCTTGTTGCTTATTGCCATCGCCGTCGTGACAGCAGGTAACTTTTTCCTCATTTTCTATGAGGTATACTTTTCTTAGACGCCGTACCATCACCATGTCCTCTGAAACAAGGAGAGCCGTTGTACAAGTGCGACAACACGGGGATCATCGTCATCGACACAACCACGGACCTCAGCCGCGCCAGAATCAATGAGGTTTCCAATCCAACTGAAAGGAAAGCCTAACCCAACAAAATATCATCTTCAGGTGTTCAATTTCCTATACGACCTGGTGCCGAACGTCTCTTTCGAAACGTCCCAACTCATCTCGTTCATGACCTACGGCACTGGCACGACCTACACGAATCCGATGTCGGCGTACCCAACTGGAGCCTGCATCGAACTGTCCTCTTTGCAGCAGGCCAGCGAAAAAGAAGGCCAGGACGTGGTTTCACTTGCGGTGTATGTTTTTCAGATTAGTAAACATAATACCTTGGTTCTATGTTTCGCAAAAAGTTCTGCTTATCTTTAGAAGATAATGTGAGAAAAAATAGATAGCTTAGACAAAAGAGCCTCTCACTGTTCAGAGTCTAATTGATCAAAAAACCAAAAATAGTTCAGAAAGATACTGAAAAGATTATCTCAATTGAACTGTATTAGAGGCATCGAACTTTCAGAGCCCTCCAGTCTCTTCAAGCCAACTATGCGACGTATTTGCAAGGCTACAACGTCCGAATAATTATTTTCACTGGTGACACGTGAGTTTAGAAAAAATCCGAGTTCTCAAAACTTGAAAAAATCTCCAGAAAGCCTCGAAAATGTCTACAAACTGAATCCATTATTTTGCAGTCCTGAATCAAAAAAGTTTATGAACTAAAAGTTATCGTAGCCTTTCAGGGACAAGTCGGATATTTCCGCTGCAACAGCCGTGGCAAAGCAAACGATCCCCCACGCCGAGTACACTGTCGTCAACTTGAACAATGGCGATTTCAGCGTAATTCGAAAACTAGAAGTTCAAAAGAGCAAAAAATGAGAACTTCAGGGTTTTCCCGGAACTGTTTTCAATACAGCAGGACCCATAAACAGCTATCCAGGGTTGAAGAGATGCATTCTTGGCAATCTGTGCCATCAACAAAGTCAGAAAGGAAATATCTTTGAAGTCAAGGTTATCTGTACTTTCAGCCTACGGAATCGAACAAGAAGTCGGTTTCCTTGACTATGGTGGTAGCCCGACTTGTAAGTTTTCAAATGACCAGAGTATAAAGATCATTCAACTATAATACTACATTTCGAGGCCGAAAACATATATTATTACTTAGGCGATATCAACTCGATCCCGACAACGACCGCTCGCACCTACGTCAACCGCGGACCACCAATGCCATTGTGACTTCGAGAAAAGTCTGGACCGACGTCATGTTCCTTTTCGACAGCTCAAAAGCTACGACGAAGCAAGGACTTGATGAGGTGCAAAATCTAACATCACTTTTAAAAAAGTGAGATTTTATCAGCTTTTGGACCATGTGAAGGCCGACATGAGCTTCTTCACGATCCGCAAGGCGCCGACAACCGATCCTCTTGTGAGAAATTTCCGTCTTTTGAAAATTGTGTAATATTTGACTTCAGCAACACACAAGGATTGGAATCATCCAATACGATTCTACGGTTTCGGTTTACGCTCCATTGGGCTCTTTGGATAACGATGGTCTCAACGCGATTGACGAACTTCCTTTCCGCGACGATCCGAATCCTAACACGAACTTGGAGGGGTCGGGATTTCTTGTTACATTCTAAAATGATACAAAACAAAAATTCGCTTTGAATTTGGTGGTTAGATGATTCAAAGGTGCAAGCTAATCTTATAAAGTAGGGCCTTTAGCTTAGATTTTTAAGGCTTTTCTCTACGCCTTCAAACTTTTTCAATATTCGTTTTAAACTTTCAGAGCTATCAAAGCGGCTCTGACTGAGTTTAATGGTCCCCAATCATCGGACTAACGCCAGAAAAGTTATCGTCCTTCTGACCACAACTTACAAGTAAAAACCTCTTTTCCTTTTTCCCATTTCTAAAGAAAAATCTTCTCTCCTCAGTTCTCTCCATTACAGACCTGGTCAATTCTTGGACCCTCAAGAAGCTGCCAACTCGTTCAAGGAAGACAATGGTGTTCTGGTTGTTTATGGTGGGGTTTTCAAACTCAAAAGAGGTTTCTTTAAAAAAGAATATCTTCAGAATACATTGAAAAGCACGGCGCGGTAGCTCCAGAGCTTTACAATATTTCTTCAGTCGGTTATTTCACCACCTCAGACAACGACATCAACGCCGATTTTATAAAAACTTCTCTGTGTCAAGGTTTGAAGTGGTTTTTTTTCGTTCTGGCAAATAAATGGCACTTAAGCGAACTGCTTCTGCCCAACCAACTACAACTCATTCCAAGATTACGCTGACGGCTCTCCAGCTCTAGGTCTCTTAACCATACGAAAACATAAAAAACCAAATCCCATAACTTTCCAGGCTGCTACTACGCTTCCTACACTCAGACCAACTGGCAGCTAGCCAACAACAAGTGCAAGGCGTTCAACAACGGTTTCTTGGCTGTCGATGAGTCACCTGAGAAGCTGCAGTTTCTCCGGCAACGTTGGAAGATGATCTTTAGTTGTAGAGTATAATGAAAGATTTAGAATTCGACAGACCTGTACCTTTCTGGTTGGGTCTTTCCTATAACAATGGCTGGATCGATACTGATGGAATTCCGGTAAGAGGAAACTTAGTATGACAGATCTATTTCATGAAATTTCTCATTAGATTACTTGAGGTGACATCATCAAGCTAAAACCAAAGTTTACCAGACCAAAAGTCAGTTTCAAAAAAAAATTCGACCAACCATAGAAAAAAAAATCTAGCAGACCGGAATTCAGATCTCAAGGTATGTAGGGGACTAGTTTTAGATTGAAGATTGTTGACGATAAAAATTAAAAAGTCCTGGCGAGAATCCCATAAAATAACTAGTCAAAAACCTCCTATCCTACATGGGCTAAAGGCCACCGACCCCTCCTACTAAGTTTTCCCAAATTGAACTTAATACTACCTCCCTAAGGCTAAAACATATCATTGAGACCGAAATTACTTACCCGAGGTTGAAACTTATATCCTGATTTTCCCAAACTTTTGTATGCCAACCCCTCCTTCCGGACTGAATGAGTTCTGTACATGCCCATCTATGATCCTGACTCAATTTTCGAATTTCAGCTGACCAATGAATATCAAAACTGGGGCGCTGGCGAGCCCAAGTACCAGACTTGTGCCTACGTTCCGCCCACACCCGGTTTCGACCTCAAATGGGCCGCTGCCAATGACTGTCGGAACAGTTGCTACTACGTCTGCGAGGCTGCACCTTGTGATTCCACACGATATTGTACGGATCAGGCCTAATAAGTAATAATCCTTTTTAATAATTGTAATTATATTAATAAAGATGTTTTTCTACTTTTGAAGACGTTCCGAATGAAAGTGGTTGAGATGAACGTGAAGCAAAATTGAGGATTAATGAACCAATAATGAAAGTTTCCTTGGGATACAAGTCTAGAAGGAAGATTTGATTTTTTCATTATCAGATAACTTCTTTTCGCGTCATATAATACTTCGGAACATATTAATAACCAAATTAAATTATTCGTGCAACCTCAAAACTTTAGCTGTTAAAGGACTTATTATTAACATCCCCCAATCGTCTTTTATATAGTCTGTGTGCCACGACTTGAAATTTCACGGAACGACATTCCGCTGTTCCGCTGCGTGCGTTCGCGAAGTGTCTTTCGAATCTAGGTCACGATTTTTTGTTGTTATTGCTGTGGAGCACATAAAAGTAGAGTACCTTAATCAAAGAAAAAAAAAATTAAAAGCGCGACCAATGTTCGTAAAGGCGCGCAGCGTCAAAGCGGAATGTCGTTCCGTTAAATTCCAAGTCGTGGTACACAGGCTATAGTTTATATTTTTTTTTGTTCTTCTCTTTTACGAACGGTCGCCATGGTGCTCGTTATGGCACCATATGACCTTTTCAGCTTTGTTGTCTGTCCAATGTTATATCATTTCCTTCCTATCTTTACCCTTTGCGTGGTTCTGACAACGAAGGAATAAATGAATAAATTGGAATAGTCGCCGTCTCAATTAGGAAACCGAAAAAAAAGTTCTAGCCAGCCTAATAGAGGTTACTTTCCGCCAAGGCTGACTAAAAGAACATTTTTTAAATCGATGGGTATCCCCTAACACTACCAAAGTCGGAAGAGCGGAAAACGGGTGCAAAATGGCCGCTAAATGGGTTTCGTTTTGCGGCCTTTATTGAGCCTTTCTTTGGGCGCGCCGTAGCGCAACAGGTTGTGTGCCTGTCTACGGTCCACAGGGTCACAAGTTCGATCTCCGCCCCGACCCAACCAAAGGGTTTAAGAAATGTTGGTAGTGGGAAACCACGACTTCATAATCCCCAGCCGTCACACACAAGGACGGATATGTCACTGGAGCCAGTCCACTGATATCAGGATAGGACCTCGGCTAACCGACTTGGGGCGCCGACGCCGCTCAGGCGGTACAAAGGCGTAAGAAGAAGAAGATTAAGCCTTTCTTTCTTGGTTGGCTAAAACGCCTCAAAAAAGGGCAAGAAAAGGGAGAGGCCGCAAAAAGGGTGCTGAAAGTCTCGGCCATTGATGATTTCCGATTGTTGATTTCATGAAAAATAAATTTTTGGAGCGCTGAAAATGTTTTTTCACGTTTATCACCTGAACCGACAGTCTAAGTATAAATTAATGAACGAACTATGCACAGTTGCTTCAAATTACGGTGTGCTTGCGTGTTTCGACGTACTTTTTGATTTCTGGAACGTCATGAACCCGTCTGTAGTAGTCCTCGACCTTCAAACAATGATTATCCGGATCATTTTACCAGTAGAATAATGAATCACCCCTGGGATTCCAATGACAGTGTCGGCGAACAAATTTTTCATTGTCGTTATTTGATCAGCGACGAAAAGGTCGGCGTAGGTTAGGCCGCAAGGCGCCAGGAAGCCTACGAAAAATTCCGTGATTTTTCAGGCCACGAAAAAAAAATACCTGAGCCAGATTTCTCCACTTGCTCGACTACCCTTTTGAGCCAGTCGATGGAGCCTTTTTCAAAGTATTTTGTTTCTTTTTTCTGGAAATGGGGCAATTTTTGGTAAAGTAAATTGAAAAACCTGCTCTTCAAGGGGCTTGACATCGTAGACGGTGGCCATCACATATGGTTTGAAGTATTCAAAGGCGAATTCACGCTGTTGCTCAGCCCAGCCGTCGACCAGAAGCTGCTCCTCCAGGCTTTTTCCGCCAAATCCTGACAAATCAAAATTAGGTTCACAGCGAGACATTAGAGTGAAAAGTTCTTATATTCCGTTTCTTGGCCTCTAGATTTACAATTCTTATAGCTGATCTATGATAAGCTATTTTCAATATTACCTAGCTCATCCCAGTTTTAAAAATAATTTTTCGGAACGTGAAACTTTTAATGAATGAATGCAAGCTTTAGTGAACCCTTTAGTGATTTTGAGGCTACAGGAATAATAATGGTAACATGTATAATTTATTTTTCAATTAAAAAAAAACTTCAAGTGATCACTAAAAGGATTTTTGGCTCTAGATTTCGATTCCTGGCTAACCAAGGGGCGTGGCCTGTCTGCGCTCTCCAGAAACCAGGCACTATCTCGTGCATTATCGTGTCAGGACCCATTTTTTTGGTGGCTTAAGCTAGTTGCGAAATTCTTTCTAGTCTTCTTACAGAACAAATAAGATAGATAAATCTCACAAAATATACCAAATTTATGAGCCAAGTAGCGAGCAATGGCGAGGGACTGGAAATATTGCTCGCCATCGATTTCGAGCACCGGAACTTTGCCCCAAGGTGTCGCTAAAAATTCATTTTTTCCATTTTTAACATTTCTAGAACAATATTTACTTGACTTCAAGGTGTTCCTCTCATCAAACGAGAGTTGGAAATCTTCGTACTCCGTGTGACCCAATCGGAAGAGCTGAAAAATGTACAATTTTAACATAAAATGTATTGAAATACCATTCGAATAGGCTCGCAGAGGCCTCGGAAATCAAAGTAAATCAACTTGTAGTGGGGCATTTGGAACGTGGGAAACTGTTGCACAATTTCAAATGTCTTTTCTTTTATATCGCAAATTTCCGTGTCCCTAACCACGGTTTAAACCGGTTGCCGATTGGTCTCTGTGTTTTCCGTTCGAAAAGGCTTTGTCATGATTTTTGCGATTAAATGTAGGCTAGAAACGATGATCAAACTTCAATCGTTGCAAACTTCAAAGAACGATTTGGAAGAAAAAAAAATTTGCAGGAACTTTTTCTTATTTTTTTGATGTTTTTTTATCCAACAAAAAAATAACGGGTTAACTAAAAAAATAGTTTCATTTTTCCATATCCAAACTATGCCTCCGTGAAAAAAATGAATAGTAAAAAAAGTTGGCTGAAAAGCTTTAAAAATTAAAACTTCAAAGAATTTAAAAAAATTTTTTTGAAGTATGTTAAATTTCGTATGGGGTGAATGCACAAGAAACATCATATCTGACGGGCGGAAGTAGCAAAAAAAATCGGTAGGAATTTCTGCGATTCAAAGTTTTTTTAAATAAAGTTTGAAGGAACGGTATCAAAATTACCTCGTTACCGAAATAAGCTTTTTTTCGTGCACATTCAACCCTTTTTTTATGTTTTTTTAAAATTGCAATTATTTTTAAAAAAATGTTCATGATTTACAGACACAAGCCTCGAAAAAAAATATATATACATTGGCTTTTTATACCATTAAACTCATACTAAATGAAAAAGAATTTTTAAAAAAATTTATTCAAATTAAAGAAAGTCAATAAAAGCATTGTTTTTCTAGTTTCGACGTGTTCCTTGATCTCCGGCACTTCGTGGACCGATTTGTAATAATCCAAAAACTGAAATTATAATTTTGCAACTGAAAATTTGATTTCGAACTAACCTGGGGAAACTTCTCAACAGAATCCGGTAGAATAATTTTCATGGAAGTCGCAAATTCCACGATTTGGAGGTCTACGTAGGTTAAGCCACTAGGGGCGATGAAGCCTAAAAATAATAATCAGTGTAAAAGCAAATAATTGAGAAACTACCTGAACCCGAGATTTTTAGCTGCCCCTCAACTTTGATGGTCCATTTTTCAAACTCAATCCTTAGATTTTCCAAGATTTTTGCCTGAAATCTTCCTTTTTCTTTATTTTAAATTCAAAAAAACCTGTTCTTCTTTAGGCTTTATCTCAAACATGCTGGCATTAACATAAGGCCTATGAAACTCCCACAACAATTCGCGTTGTTGCTCCGACCAACTGTCAACTAAAAGTTGCTCTTCCAAGTCTTTTCCGCCGAATCCTAAAGCATTTTCGATTCCATTCATTGTTATTCAAGCCTACCGAATTTGTGAGCCAAATATCGCGTGATGGCCAACGACTGAAAATTCGGCGCTCCATCAATCTCCAGCACTGGAACCTTTCCGAACGGGGTCGCTGAGAAATTTTCTTGGATTTCTATGAATAAATTCCTTCAAACTCTTTTTCGCTGCTGGCCATTCTTCGAAGCTATAGCGGACCTCGTCGAAATCAACTTTGGCTAATTTGAACAACTGAAACTTTTTATTTCTTACTGAAATTTTTCAATAACGCCAAAAAAACCATTCTGATAGGCTCAGCTAGCCCGCGAATATCAAAATAATAGAGTTTGTAGTGAACCATTGGTTGTTGAATAAGAAAATTTAAACGGCTAGAAAAAATGAACGCAAAGAGTTTCGAAAAGGAACGAAATTTTGTTTGCTTTCTGTCTTTTTCTCTCTCGTCGAGTAGATAACGCGCCAAAGAGCTTTTAGGAAAAGAAAAGGATGAAAAAAGATGATTAGAATAACTTATCATGTCTTCTTATAGCTACTTCAAATCTATTTCAGAAAATGTAAAAAATTCATAAATAGACAAAAAAAAATTTCCAATGTTTCCGAATAAGTCCATTTAACACGCAGCAGCAAAATTGAGGCAGAAATTTCAAAACGTGTTTCGTTCAAAATCTTCGGAAACCTTTTTCATTTCATTTCTCAGGTATGAACAAAGAACATAAACAGAAGTAGAAACTAAAGTTTTGTGATGGCGTGTTCATCGGAGAAACGGAACATGCTTCAAAACGAAAAATCGTGTTCATCGGCGCGCCAAAGTTGCTCCAAAACAGTACTAATTTTTGTTTTGGAGCAATTTTTTTGCGTTTCGAAGCAATTTTAGTTTTGTCCGATGCACGGTGTTCCGCGCAATGAAAAAAAATGCGAAATTTTGGGTCCCAGCGGCATATTATCCATGGCGCATTATTGCGCCCTTCTCATGGTTTCTGATGCAAAAATTGAATTTCTTCACTTTTTTCCTTGGTTTTTTACTTTTTTCTATTTCTTGCATTTATGTGATCCGCCTCTCTATGGGTACATCTTGTGGAGCTTTTTAATTGCGCATTTTTTTCTAAACCGGTTTCAGATCTTTAACTATTTTTCTCAAAAGAGCTGAAGATTTTTTTCTAAAAAGTCCTAATTTTTTTCAAAAATTTTTGAAATCTGTTTCGCGACATGAAAAGAGTCACTCTATTTCGGAAACTATAGTTTTTTTAATTTAATCAGTTAATAATAAAAAGTTATTATCTAGTTCCTTTGACGTAGTTTAAAAACCGGTTTCGTGTAAATTAGAGCCAAATTGAATTTGCTGATGCAGTTTAATGATTTTTGATATATGCATCATCTAAATTATTTTTTTCTAGTTTTTTTGATGGTTTTTTTCGGATTTAAACAAAAAAATTTCGCCATACGAGGTTTTTCTAAATTTTTCTGCTTTCTATCCATTATATGTTTTTTTCTGAAACTAGGTTTTCGAGGTATATAAAATGTTTTTCATTTGCTCCTCGAATTTTTCCTCATTTCAATATTTTTTTCGTATTTATAAATGCTTATTCAATGGGAGCTGCTTCACCTACATATTATTTTTTGTTTTTACTTTGTAATCAGTAATTTAGAGTTTTCCCCTTTTGAAATCGTTCCTAAATGTTTTTTAACGTAAGTGAATGTTTATTTCACATCATATTCTTCAAACTGACAAATTTCGAACATTTCAGGACTATTATCCTGAAATCGCAAATTCTAAAATTGAAAAACATTTTTGAGTATGCGATATTGCGTCTCGGTGTGCTTACACCCTAAGCATCATAATTTACGAAAAGTCATGACCTTGCGTAATGAAAAAAACACCGTGGATGAACACGCCATGTAAAAAAATTAGAAAAAAACCAAAACTCACCGATGCTCGTCAAATAAAATGCTTCTTGTTCATTGCACATTTTATTCACACAGTGACCTTATTCCATTTTTTTCAGTTTCACTTTTTCCAAACATTTTTGTTTATGTTTCTATTTCAATAAACCGATTCAAGGCTATCAATTCAGAGCTCCGCGTGAAATAGGAGTGATAAATCACGAAAATACGATCGTTTTCGGGGTCATCGGGACAGCAGCTGTATTCGCTATCGCACGCGTTAAGGACATCTGCCATGTCTCATCTTTCCGTTCTCGGGCGCTTCTTTCACACTTTCTGTCTGTAAGGTACGCAAATTTTCAGTTAGTTTTGAAAAGTCCTGAAATATATTTGCCTCCAGGAGGAAGCTGAAAAATTTGCATAGGTAAAGCTTGTTTTTCGCCATTCCCCACTTTGTCCATATTTTATCGCTGCTTTCTCTTCACCTTTCTTTGTTTTCTAGGTTAAGGCAACAGCCAACAAAATTTTGATCAATGAAATTAGGGCGAAACGTCTGAATTACAAGAATGGGACGATTGGCAAAGAAAAAACCAGTCCATTTTAAACGGTATATCGCGCGTTTTTTCGTTTCCAATTATGGTGCAAAATGTTGTTGAAACCTTATTTTGCTGAATTTTTTCAGTTCTAGTGATCAACGATTGATTTTGGAGATCTTTGGAAGTGGTTTTGCAGAGTAGAAAAAATACGAAAAAATTTTTTAACTGGATCATGAAATTTTTTTAAAATCTTTTTTTCTGATAAGTTGAATGATGTCGCGACTTCTTTTTAAAATGAATTGACGTACAAAATTTGAAATTTTTTTGAATTACATTATTTGTGAAAGGAGTCGGAAATGGAAGGTCGATAACTATCCGCGGCGGCAATCGAGGCTAATTCGAATTGCGCCCAATCGTACTATTCCTATTATACACTTCCTTTTTGAGTGTTTTTCATGTTACCCCTCGTAATTTCGAACTTTGCCTGCTGATTTTATTGTTTTTTCCACAACTTTCGGTGGGAATGTCGTTCTTAATTCGACGTTTTTGGAATAGTGCAGAAATCGTAAACAGGTCAATTAGGTTTCACGTGGACGTTGCTATTTTTGGGTTTGAAAAAAAGTTAACAGAGTTTTTTCAAAGAACTCTTGGATAGATTGATAAAATGATTAGGTATTTCATGAGAACTTGATGTATTTTTCTAAGACCTTGATATTTTTTTTGATTTTCAAGAGCTGATCCGTTAACCAGACTTTAGAAAGCTTCAGAGATCCCTAAAAACTTGAGAAAATCTGAAAAATAATTTGTTTGATTTTTTTCACAAATAATTTCAGACCTACTATGTACCTTCTCTAGTTCTTTTCTTTTTGAAAATTCGTGAAGTTTTCAAGAACGATCGACGTTTAATAAAACTGCTGTAATGAAAATAAATCAAATTACTTTGACAATTACTTCAGAAAACCGGAAATGTGATGAGCTTTTTCGGGTTGACGGTGATCGACGTGTTGGCCGTGTGCCTGGGAGTCGCCCTAGCCGTCGCCTTGATGATTATCATTTTGAACTGCTTTGTAACCTGTTGGAACGTCTTTTTTCATCGTCCGGCGTGAGTTTTTGAACAAGAAAAATTTTAAAAAAAAAATGGGTTTTTCGGTTATTTCATTCATTCAAATACATTCAAAACAAAGAACCACGTTGAAACCCCCAAGAAATTCAGCAAATTTCTCGTTTTCATGTCAAAAATTTGGCGAAAACACCTCTACTCTGTTTTTTCATCTCGAGTTTGCAAGAAATCGTGTGATGTTTTAAATATTTGCAAAGGAAACCAGTTCATTTTGTACTCCAATTAGGGCCAAAATATTATTCCTTGAAATTATGTGTTTTTTTCCACGATCAATGTTCTTTTTCAAATGAGATCTTTGTGATAATGGAGATCCGGAGAACAATAATTTTTGAAAAATTTTAAAAAGTTAGATTGAAGATTTAAGTGAGAAATGCGACGTCGAACGGTTGCCTGACGACTACATCGAGGAGATTCGTCGTCTTCTGGAGCAACATCGCAAGGTCGTCGACGAGTACGACTGTGTTTTTGATGAGGACAGGCCTATCAGCAGTGTTAGTCGAAATGAGATCATTTAGCCGTTTTTGCGCTTTTACGTCGTTTAATGATCCCAAAAAGTTAAGCAGACTAAATTCAGTTTCAAAAAAGTTAAGCAGACCAAAATTCATTCAAAAATGTTAAGCAGACCAAAATTCATTCAAAAATGTTAAGCAGACCAAAATTCAGCTACCTAAAAGTTAAGCAGACCAAAATTCAGCTACTGAAAAGTTAAGCAGACCAAAATTCAGTTCACAAAAAGTTAAGCAGACCAAAATTCATTCAAAAAAGTTAAGCAGACCGAAATTCAGCTACCGAAAAGTTAAGCAGACCAAAAATTCAGTTCACAAAAAGTTAAGCAGACCAAAATTCATTCTCAAAAAAAGTTAAGCAGACCGAAAATTCAGTTCACAAAAAAGTTAAGCAGACCATAATTCATTCAAAAAAAGTTAAGCAGACCAAAATTCATTCTCAAAAAAAGTTAAGCAGACCGAAATTCATTCTCAAAAAAGTTAAGCAGACCGAAATTCATTCTCAAAAAAGTTAAGCAGACCGAAATTCAGCTACCGAAAAGTTAAGCAGACCAAAATTCAGTTCACAAAAAGTTAAGCAGACCAAAAATTCATTCTCAAAAAAGTTAAGCAGACCGAAATTCAGTTCACAAAAAGTTAAGCAGACCATAATTCATTCAAAAAAAGTTAAGCAGACCGAAAATTCATTCTCAAAAAAGTTAAGCAGACCGAAATTCAGTTCACAAAAAGTTAAGCAGACCAAAAATTCATTCTCAAAAAAAGTTAAGCAGACCAAAATTCAGCTACCGAAAAGTTAAGCAGACCAAAATTCAGTTCACAAAAAAAGTTAAGCAGACCAAAAATTCATTCTCAAAAAAAGTTAAGCAGACCGAAATTCAGTTCACAAAAAAAGTTAAGCAGACCATAATTCATTCAAAAAAAGTTAAGCAGACCAAAAATTCATTCAAAAAAAGTTAAGCAGACCGAAAATTCAGCTACCGAAAAAGTTAAGCAGACCAAAATTCAGTTCACAAAAAAAGTTAAGCAGACCAAAAATTCATTCTCAAAAAAAGTTAAGCAGACCGAAAATTCAGCTACCGAAAAAGTTAAGCAGACCAAAAATTCAGTTCACAAAAAAAGTTAAGCAGACCAAAATTCATTCTCAAAAAAAGTTAAGCAGACCAAAAATTCATTCTCAAAAAAAGTTAAGCAGACCAAAAATTCAGTTCACAAAAAAAGTTAAGCAGACCAAAATTCAGTTCACAAAAAAGTTAAGCAGACCAAAATTGATTCTCAAAAAAAGTTAAGCAGACCGAAAATTCAGCTACCGAAAAAGTTAAGCAGACCGAAAATTCAGCTACCGAAAAAGTTAAGCAGACCAAAATTCAGTTCACAAAAAAAGTTAAGCAGACCAAAAATTCATTCTCAAAAAAAGTTAAGCAGACCGAAAATTCAGTTCACAAAAAAAGTTAAGCAGACCATAATTCATTCAAAAAAAGTTAAGCAGACCGAAATTCATTCTCAAAAAAGTTAAGCAGACCGAAATTCAGTTCACAAAAAGTTAAGCAGACCAAAATTCATTCTCAAAAAAGTTAAGCAGACCGAAATTCAGCTACCGAAAAGTTAAGCAGACCAAAATTCAGTTCACAAAAAGTTAAGCAGACCAAAATTCATTCTCAAAAAAGTTAAGCAGACCGAAATTCAGTTCACAAAAAGTTAAGCAGACCATAATTCATTCAAAAAAAGTTAAGCAGACCAAAATTCATTCAAAAAAAGTTAAGCAGACCGAAATTCAGCTACCGAAAAGTTAAGCAGACCAAAATTCAGTTCACAAAAAGTTAAGCAGACCAAAATTCATTCTCAAAAAAGTTAAGCAGACCGAAATTCAGCTACCGAAAAGTTAAGCAGACCAAAATTCAGTTCACAAAAAGTTAAGCAGACCAAAATTCATTCTCAAAAAAGTTAAGCAGACCAAAATTCATTCTCAAAAAAGTTAAGCAGACCAAAATTCAGTTCACAAAAAGTTAAGCAGACCAAAATTCAGTTCACAAAAAGTTAAGCAGACCAAAATTGATTCTCAAAAAAGTTAAGCAGACCGAAATTCAGCTACCGAAAAGTTAAGCAGACCGAAATTCAGCTACCGAAAAGTTAAGCAGACCAAAATTCAGTTCACAAAAAGTTAAGCAGACCAAAATTCATTCTCAAAAAAGTTAAGCAGACCAAAACTCAGCTACCTAAAAGTTAAGCAGACCAAAATTCGGCTACCTAAAAGTTAAGCAGACCAAAATTCGGCTACCTAAAAGTTAAGCAGACCAAAATTCAGTTCACAAAAAGTTAAGCAGACCAAAATTCAGCTACCTAAAAGTTAAGCAGACCAAAATTCAGTTCACAAAAAAAGTTAAGCAGACCAAAAATTCATTCTCAAAAAAAGTTAAGCAGACCAAAAATTCATTCTCAAAAAGTTAAGCAGACCAAAAATTCAGTTCACAAAAAAAGTTAAGCAGACCAAAAATTCATTCAAAAAAAAGTTAAGCAGACCAAAATTCAGTTCACAAAAAGTTAAGCAGACCAAAATTCATTCTCAAAAAAGTTAAGCAGACCAAAATTCAGTTCACAAAAAGTTAAGCAGCCCAAAATTCATTCAAAAAAAGTTAAGTAGACCAAAATTCAGCTACCGAAAAGTTAAGCAGACCAAAATTCAGTTCACAAAAAGTTAAGCAGACCAAAATTCAGCCCACAAAAAGGTGAACAGACCAGAATTCAGTTTACAATAAATTAAGCGGACCAAAACGTCAGCTATCAACCAAAGATTTTTTTTTTCAAATCATTGAAAACCTTCAGCTTTTTGAGAGAACTAGGAAACAGAATTTTATCTTTTTTTCAAGCTTCAGAACTTTCATTTCGTTCTGATTACAGGCAAGTCGAGTCGATAAATCAACTTTTGTCACGATGAGGTCAAGGACCAGCTCCGGGAGGCACTCAAGACAAAATGTTGGTTTTGAAAAGCTTTGAAATATTTAATATTATCATGTCAGTGAGGTCTTTCGCTCTTTTTTTTATGGTTTTTCTCCCAATTTGATGGAAGCCATAACAAGGTATTTTTTTTTTTAGGAAACTCTAAAAACCCCAGTAAACTCGAAAGAGTCGCTGAACAACGAAGAAGCAATCGAAGAGAAGCGCCGGACTTGGACCGGCTTGACTGATTCCCAATTTGAACCCATTGGTCCAAGTTCTACCACTTTTGAAACTCCAAAAACGTTGGTTTTTTATTTCAATTAATTTATTCAGTAGCAATGTACACATAGATTATACCCATAAGCAATATATCACACTTTGTACAGGTAAAGACTTTGGTTTAAAGCTTGGAGAATCAGGAAATCGATGACTTTAAACTCGGAAGTCCATCGTGTCGAAGTCTCTGGGCAGGGGCGAATCAAGGCGCCAGTATTCGGGCAAAAGTCCGCGGGATTTGTACAGCGGGTTGAGAAGCATACTGAAAATAGAGGAAATTAACAGATGTTTATGAAACTTGCATTTTGTCTTTAGGCAAAATTTCAGCTGTAGAATTCAAAGGGAAACCAAAAAACTCATGAAACTTCTTTAACAAGCCATAAAAAGATCGTAAAACGAACCATTCAACAGACGTAAGCATCAAGACGACAAGGAGGAAGAAGCAGATAACAGAAGACGTGCTCATTTTCGTCAGATGTATCGGATTTGGAATTCAGAAGAAGTTGTCTGGACGACGGCGACCTTTCCTTATATACGCGCTCTCGTGATGTACAGAGATGACAACATATTTTGCAAATCGAAACAAAAAAGGGGGCGGGGCTTAGCGTCGTCGTTGTCCTTCTGAAGACGACGTCATCTGAATGATCACTTCTCGGAGGGTTTTTTTTTCGAAATGACAATGTTTTCGGTTGTCATAATGATCGCTGGTGGTCAGGTTTTTTTCCTGTCGATTTTTGCACTCTGATCGAAGTTGACGTTCTTTGGAGAGGTGATTGGGAAAAGAATAAAAATAGAAAGTACACTAAAAACAAAAACAACTGAAATGATTCCATAAAAGGAAAATGGGTAAACAAAGTCATTTTTCAAATTGAGTTGTATTTTGAATGTGAAAACACGAAATCAGTTTTTCAACACTTTTAGGACTTGATGAAGCTCTTTTTCAGGTCAACCTCGGAACGAAAAGCCCCATGTTTCCCAAAAATCGAAACTTCAGTTTGATCTCAAGATATACAAGATCTCTTCCGTTCTCAACACTATAATTTGATCAATTCGTGAAATTTTAGTGATTTTCTCGACCTTCTCACTTTGTGCTTGATCTCACTGTATTGAATGAATTTGAAATAAAAGTTTTATGATTTTTCTTTTTTTCTTAAAAAGTTCATTTTTCAGAATGAAATTGTTTTCGAATTAGATGATTCATGTATCTTGGCGAAATATTCAAGTGCAGCTACTTTTACGGTTTTCCTGCAGTGGCTCCCTCAAGCAGTGTGAATATCAAATTTTCAAACAAATTGATTTTCCTGAAAAGTATTCTACCAGCTTCTTCTCACTAAAAAAATCCCTTTTCTCGATCTCTTCTCTACCACCCATCTAAATATGTATATCCAAAACAAACCGGACAAAACGCGTTGAATTCACAATCCAACTTGGATAATCCGCCATGCGATCAACTATAGGAGCCATTCAACCACATTTCCATCCGTTATTCTCATGTTTTGGCCAATTTTATTGATTTTCTATGTAATTTTTGGAATCTCAAATGCGAGGAAGTGCTACGGAGGTGTGGCGAAGCTTGGTGAAGATGGTGGGTTACTTTTTTCGAATTTGGAAAGATATAAATTTTCTGCCTTACTCAATGTCCAACAGCTTGATGAGCCTCTTGATATAAATTCTTCCTCACATAAGGTTCCTTAAAACTAAAGCTACCTTTTCCATTAATCAGAATATTTTTGAAAGGAATTGAGTAGTTTCTTTGAACCACAAAGTTTGTTTGATAAACTCACATCAAAAAACATTGTTTTCTTATCAAAAACCAACTTTTCTAATTGTTAGACGCGTTCGACGACCACGTCTGCCCATCACGCGATAAATGCTTCGTCCATCATTATTACGTTGATTCGAACGGCACACGAGAAGCCATGACGGAGAAGGGCTGCGTCGAGGAGGCCATGATCGACGAGTTCAAATACGCGGCGAGTTTCGGAACGTTTTGAAGTCTGGATATGGTGGGACAGGCATTTCGTAGGATTCTAGAAGTGTGTAGTAAATTGATACAATTCGAAAAAGTTTCTGAGAAATTTTTAAATTTTTAAAATTTTTTTCTGATATAAGCTTTTATTCGTGTTCTAAAATTTAAGTATTAACTTCCTTTTTATCAAAATTCTTTGAACACGGAATGTGCGAGAGCGTCGCAGTGCATGCACACTACACACCACACTTTACGGAAAAGTATGCGCGGGGCGTCGTTAAAAACACCGTGAAATGATATCAATTTTCCAGGTGCCTTGCCTCAACTTTGACATGTTCAACAACACGTTTACTGATGAAGAGTTGACCCATCAAATTCGCTGCGTTTGTTATTCGGTAAACTATGAATATCTGTCCGAAATGGAACAAAGAAATTTCCAGGATTTCTGCAACAAACTGTTCGCCGAAAACCCGAATTCCGCGAATTACCGAAACTCTTCAACTATTTCTCATCTTTCCAGGTTTATTGATGAGGAGATGGCTAGTTGATTTCTTAATAACCTTTAGAGCTTTTTACCTCCTGTATAAATAATTCTTTCTTTGGCAATACTTATTATTCCCTTTTCAGTCTAGTTCTTGTCAATTTGATAAATGTACAGCTTTATTTGCAAAATTATCAACATCCAAGTACAGTTATTTAATTAAATCACGTGTAAAAAACGTCGTCTTGATCGTCCATGTCGGCGAATCCTACATTCCCATGAAATCCAAAGCCGTAAAGATAGCAAGTGGCATCTTAAGAGGAAAAGGTAAAGAACCCAGAAACTAAGCTTACCATCTTTATGATCGATCAGATCGAAATCAATATCAGGATCAAAAGCCGTGCTTTTCCTTTTGCGAAATTGAATTTCTTCGGTACTCAGCCGCGTCTCCATTGTCGAAGATCCCTTTATTCCATCACCCTGACCCAAAAAATGCCATTTGATCTCGAAAACCGCAAACCTCAGCCAAAAGACCCATTCTTGCGAAGGCACCAAGTTGAGCCATACCAAGGCCCAAGCCACGACTTATATTGATTTTTTGAGCCATCTGAGATGGAGAAAAGCGACTCATTGAAAGTAATTTGAAAAAGTAGGGGCAAAATTTACCTGTAGCATTTTTTCCGCGATTTCTTTAGCTTTTCCAACTTGACGACCCATGTAATGGATGTGATGAATGACACTGGCTGCGACGACGTCAACTGCAAGAAAATCTTGAGAAACTTTTCAATCGAAAAGATGAAAAAAACCTGAAATAGTAACAAGCGTCACTCCGCATACGATGAAGATCAACACGTACGCCACAGGAATCGTCATTCTTAAAAAGAACAAAATTGTATCGACTCTTTTTTTTGTAATTCACCCAATATCACCAAAACCGATCATGAAAATGGTGACAGTACTGAAGTAGATCCCATCCACCATGGACATCCCGGAAAGTTGGGTCAATATCAAGCCACCAATAACTGAATACAAGATGAGGGTTAGGATGAGCACCGCCATGAAGAGGTTGACGTTCTGAAATCTGCGTATGCATGGCGACTTTTCAAGTTTAAGATGTTCGCTCGAAAAAATCCCTATTTTCTCTGGAAGGTTTCAGTACTTGTTTTAAAATCGATATTGGTCTGCTTAGCTTTTGAGAAGCTAAATTTTGGTCTGCTTAATTTATTGCAAACTAAATTTTGGTCTGCTTAACTTTTTTTTAACCGAATTTTGGTCTGCTTAATTTATTGAAAAATCAATTTTGGTCTGCCTAATTTATTGAAAAACTGAATTTTGGTCTGCTTAATTTATTGAAAATTGAATTTGGTCTGCTTAACTTTTTGTTAACCGATTTTTGGTCTGCTTAACTTTTTGAGAACTGAATTTTTGGTCTGCTTAACTTTTGAGAAGCTGAATTTTGGTCTGCTTAATTTATTGAAAACTAAATTTTGGTCTGCTTAACTTTTTGTAACTTGAATTTTGGTCTGCCTAACTTTTGAGAAGCTGAATTTTGGTCTGCTTAATTCATAAAAAATCGATTTTGGTCTGCTTAACTTTTGAGAAGCTGAATTTTGGTCTGCTAAACTTTGAAAAATGGTTTTTGGTCTGCTTAACTTTTTTTCAACTGCACTTTGTCTGCCTATCTCTCATTGAACAAATTCTGACCTGCTTTTGAAAACTTCAGCTTAATGATCAACTACTAAAACATATCGTACTTCTTCCTGAGCTTCAAAAAACGTCTCAAACGGTAAGAAAATAAAAACCTCTTTGAAAAGCCGGAAGAAAACTTCGCAGAGGAACTTGCCGAGATCGGTGAGCATCACCAAGGCCATGGGGACGCCGACGCCAGCGTAGATGCACAGAGCGACTCGGCCTGTTGGAGTCAGCGGTGTGATGTAACCATAGCCTAAATTGAGAATTTCAAGAAGTTCTGACAGAAAAACTTGAAAAATTTTGTACAATCATATCATGGTTCAGTTATGTTACAGTTAAGCAGATTAAAATTAATCGTTTTGAAGTTTAAGCAAATAAGAACTAAATCTAAGCAGACCAAAATTCAGCTTTCAAGAAGTTAAGCAGACCAAAACTCCACTGAGAAAATTTTTTTTTCACAACTCTCGAAATTTAAAAAAATCATGTAAAAAAATAAATACAGAATGGTTATAACGAACCAACAGGTACAATGGACGTGGCCGCAAACAGAATGGCTGAGTCCATTTTCCATAGCGGTACATATTTTCCGTTGTTATAGAAAATTGAATCATAGTAATTTGCAGCAATCTGAACTTGAATCGACAATCAGAGGTTTGAAAAGTGATCAATATGATTTTAAAATCTGAAAACACACCGGATTCGCGAAATCGCTCATAAACCGTTGCGTGAAAAGCTCTATCATCTCGCTCAGCGACTCATTCTGTTGAATTGAACCTGAAACATTTCATTAACTAATTTCAGTTTAGTCTCACCTAAATTTTTCACTGACTGCGCTCGGCTGACTAATTCCCGTTGGAGTTCGCTGAATTTCTGCTCGATTCTAGTAGTTTCTGCGTTCTGGGAAAATCTTAAAGAAGGGTATTAGAACTGAAAAACTGACTTCGTGCGCCGATTCTATCGCTTGAAAAAAGAGGGCCCCGAGGTAGACATAAATAGCGGAACCGAGGAGTAAGGCGACATGAGGACCGCCGGATTTCACGTTCTAAATAACTTGGAAATTTTTGATTCAAGCTTCTGAAATGAAAATTACAGTTATTCTCGAAATTTTGAAAAGTTAAAACAGTGTTGAGCAACTTTTTTGGAAAAGGTTAGAAAATATAAAAAGCAGACCAAAATCAAATTTAAGCAGACCAAAATGAAACTTAAGCAGACCAAAATGAAAATTAAGCAGACCAAAATGAAATTTAAGCAGACCAAAATAAAACTCAAGCAGACCAAAATGAAATTTGAGCAGACCAAAATGAAACTTAAGCAGACCAAAATCATATTTAAGCAGACCAAAATGAAAATTAAGCAGACCAAAATAAAATTTAAGCAGACCAAAAATGAAACTTAAGCAGACCAAAATGAAACTTAAGCAGACTAAAAAAATTCGAAATTGGTTGGAAAATGACTTTTAGTGAAGGTGTTTTTAATTTTATAACTCTTCCCTACTAGTTTCAGCACAAATAAATCAAAAAAATACCCCTCGAAAAGCTTGAAACGCCGTCCTTTTCTGTCTGACCACCAACGGTCGTCCAGCCATGATGGCGGCGATCCCGCCCTCTTTTCGTCCCATCTAAAATGTTCAATTTTGAAAAACTGAAATTGAAACTAGTGATCAAACACTACAACTAGAATAAACTTCGGACAGTGGCCGATATTTATAGGAAAAGGGAAAAAAAATAAGACCATAAAAACCAGAAAATGTGCCAAACTTTGGGCCCTCCATGCATTCTTGATGGGCGTTAGACGTCAGATTTCGTCCGTTTTTCCAGAGAGTCTTGTTATTCAGAACGGAAGCGTCTATGATTTAGAGCTCCGTAAAAGGTATAGGGAATGAAAAAAATCATCATAAAACTAATAGTAAAATAACGTAAGAATTACCTTCATTTCTATTGAAATATGTCGGTAAGTCGCTTGGAGACCAACTTTTGAAAATGGACGACTAATTAAGCTTTCGAGTTTTTTTTTCTTTAAAAAAAAGCTCGCCCTTTTTGAATTTCCCTAGGGTCTTGAAAATAGTCTAGGCTCTTAAAATAAGTTTGTCTAAAATAAAAAAAGTTTTTTTGAGTTTTTTTAGGACTGCTCTTTGTACGATTGATGAAAAAAGTTTGCGAAAAAAATTTTTTCTAGGTTCGAAATCAATATAATCACGAAAATCACATATTCAAAAGTCATTTAAAAAAATTCTGAGCACTTGAAAATAATTCAAAATTTAATTTCAGAAGGAAGTTATAAAACAGCGTTCCGATTCAGACGATGGAACACCCGCTTCGATCGATTTCGTCCAACGAACGGTGATTTTTCTTGATATTTCAATTACAGGTATTTTTAGGCTTTGAGGAGCTCCCTTGAACGCGCACAAGATTATCCCGACGACATTTATAAAAAACTCGACCCGGACAAACTTATCGATGCTTTCGGCGTGTATGGATTGTTAGTGAATTTGAATCCTTGATTAGAATCCACTGCTCGCACGTAGAATTACGAACGCCGGACCTGAAACGACTTGCGCTATGACATCGAAAACTCGATTTTTTGAGCAATTCCACGTGCGACCAGTGCGTTCCAAGTGATGTCGAATCACCTATCCATGATTTTCAGTTATCAAATGTTCACTTATACATTGGTTCAAACGCTCAACTTTTTCTACTCCTCATCAATCTACATCATGTCCTACATTCAAATGACTCTCGTGTTACAGTGTCACGAGACGTCTACGGTAGGTTACGGTAAAGATGGAAAAACCTACAGTAACCAATAGACTGGTACTGTAGACAAGAAGAACCATGGTAAACGTAGCATAACGATTTGAAAATAATTTGATCCTAAGACTTTCCGAATTAGCATAGATACTACAGTACTCCCCACCTACCGTAACTTTTAGTGTTAAAAGACGTCTACGGTGAGTTACGGTAAAGTTAGAAAGATCTACAGTAACCAATAGACCAACACTGTAAATAAGAAGAACCATGGCAAAGGGAACAGAACGCTTTGAAACAAATTTGCTCCAAAGACTTTCAAAAATACCGTAGATCCTACAGTATTCTCTCCCCCCCCCTACCATCTTTTAGTGTCCCAAAACGTCTACGGTAGATTACGGTAGAGTTGGAAAGGCCTACAGGTACCAATAGACTGGTACTGTGGACAAGAAGAACCATGGTAGACCCCACAGTACTTTCCACCTACCGTCACTTTTAGTGTCAAAAGTTTACCGTAGATTACGGTGAAGTCAGAAAAATTTACAGTAACCGAGACTAGCACTGTAAACAAGAAGAACCATGGCAGATGGAATAGAAAGCTTTAAAGTAAAGTTATTTCTAAGATCTTCCGAACTTCATAGATCCTACAGTACTCCCCATCCACCGTAACCTTTACAGAAGGAGAAACTACCCATCGGAGACACTTGCAACATCGAATCGCACACCAATCCAAATATTAGCTTCGAAAGCTTGTTCGACGAGACTTGCGGCCTTCATCCCGAAACCAGTTTAACGTCTTCTAAGTCACCGTAGTCGTTACTGTATTCGTTGTTCTACAGAATTTTCAACGAAACAAGAAAAACCAATCTACTGGTGGAGTTTGACTTGACGTGTGCTCATTGGGTGATACAGGAGCTCGGCCTCACCGTCTTCACCATTTGTTTTAATTCCCCACAGTTTTAAGAACAATATTTCCAAATTTATAGCCGCGATTTTCGCCGTCCCTCTAATGTGCATGCTGGCGGATAAATATGGTCGTCGACCGGTTATTTTGATATCGGCCTGCGTTGCGTTAGTCTTACCTCAAGATTACTGTAATTTTCGCTTCAGGTTCCTGGCGAATATGATGGCTGCCGCCTCGCCGAACTTCACTTGGTTTCTGATAGCTCGCGCCGTCGTTGGAGCTGCTAGTGACGTCATTTCAAAATTATCGATTTATTTTATCAAAGTATCGATTTTCAGACGTACTTGTCTGTTGCGACTGTCGCCACGTGTGAATTCGTGTCCGAGAAGGCTCGTGTTTGGATTGTGCTGATTTATAATGTCGCTTGGGCGTTGGGGATGTTGTGGGTGAGTTTTTGGGGTTTTAAAAACGCATACATTGGGTAGAGTCGGAATGGGGGGTAATAGGGAAGGGAGAGGCTCAAAAAAGGTCGCAGAAAGGCAGCAAAAAGAGTCCCTTTATCGAGATTTTTCCACCCCCCTCCGACTTTGCCTATGCTTCAGGCAGGGTCTTGGGGTGCGAAAATGGGAATATATTTTTTCTCCTTCCAATACTGGGTATTTAAGCTTTTTTGTAGGGATGAGAATAATTCGATAATTTGAATTTTTTCAAAATGTACAGGTGCCCGTCGTGACCTTTTATCACGGATGATTGGCGTTGGAGGTACGCCATCACCTCGGCACCAGGAATTTACTGTGTTCTGCTTTATTTGTGAGTTTGAATTTGTAAAAAAATATTCTGAAGGCTTTTTTTGAAGCATAAGCTTTTTTCTTGATTTCACATTGAAATCTTTCCCATTAGTCCACTTTCATAGACTTTGAGAGATATAGGCCCCAAAAAAACTTGGCTGAAAAATTCAGTTATATACTTCGATACTTTAGAATTTCATAACCCTGAACTTCTGCCTTTCTTCGTTTTTGTTCAAAAAAATCTCAAAATTTGAGCTTTCTCCCGGAATCTCCACACTGGATGCTGCATCACAACAAAGTTGACGAGATCAAAAAAATACATAGCAATTTCCAGCAAGTATATTTTTTTCTTTTTTTGTGGTTAATTTTTTTAAAAATTTTTGGATTTCAGAACAAATAATAAAATAATTGATTTGAACGACTGCATCCTCACCGAGCATTATGAGAAAAAACATGAGGTTTTTTTGTGAATAAAAATCATGAAATAGGGTAAATTCAGTCACTTGTTGCTTTGCTCAAGAGCCCAAAAATGCTGATGTTACTTACGATTAACGGATTTTTACAGTAAGTTATATTTTTTCACGTTGTCGCATTTGAAATGGGTCGAGGATAATGAAATAATGATAATTTGTAAGATTCGCGATTTCGCTCATCTATTTTGCCATTTCTTTCCTCTCTGTGGACCTCAGCGATGACAAAATCACTGGCTACGTTTTCTCAAGCCTTTTGGAGATTCCAGGTATCAAATTTCATCAATAGGTTTATTAAAAAGGTTAATATTTCAGGAGGAATCGCCGCGATGCCTTTGATGATTTGGCTTGGACGCCGAAGTTTGACCAGCGTCGCCTTTATTCTTCAAGGAATTGCCCTGGTTATTGCTGGATTTGTTATGGGTCCCTGAATAATATTATATAGAGGTATTTAAGGTGAAAAGCAATTTTTAGATGTTCACATTTCCCGACTAATTGTGATGCTCATTGCGAAGGCTATCGCTTGGTCAGTTCCATTAAAATATTATTTTTTTCATTTTCAAAATGGTTTTGCAAAACTCAAAACTCATTGGTTTTAAGTTTTGCAAAACCATTTTTCTCTTGGCTACAAAATAAAAGAATCTACTTACAGCATAATCTACAGTGTTCATCCAATCTGGGCTAACGAACAATTCCCAACTTCCGTCAGATCTTTGGCGTACTCCATCATGAACATTCCGCAGAGCATGGGCATTATTGCGTCGCCTTATCTGAAACATTTGGTAATAATTTGAAAATTCAATATATTTATTTTTTTATATTATGAAAATTTTGAAAATTTCCTTTTTTTCCGCGTTTGATCGTTGCGAGACCCAATGCTGCAGCACCCGCGTAGCAGGCGCGTCGCGGCCCCTCGAAATGCCAATTTTCAGGATTTCGGGTTTTCAAATTAAACGAGAAAAATCGTTATTTTTTTATTTTTTTCGATTCCCCGAAATTACTTTGAACAAGGCATTAGAAATCAATAAAAACCATTTGAACGAAAAATGTCGGAAAAAAATTTTTGCGAGATGTGTTTTTCCGCACATGCGCGTCGGCGTGGCGCTGAGCGTATTTAAAAATTTTTGAAATTTGTTCCTATTATTTTGTATTTTTTTCAATGTTTCCTTTGTTGTTCTTGTGTATTTTTTTATCAGAAACGTCTTTTCAGAGTACTCGAATGTACGGTGAAAGTTGAGGTGATGCAAAAAAAGCACTTTTTATTGAAATTTTAATCAACTATTTCTTGGTGCTCTTTCAAAAAAACATGAAGAAATTTCTTACCAAAAATTTTTTTATTTATCTATGAAATATAAAACTCAGGAAAAACATTCAAGAAGGTTTTTTTCATTATCCTTTAAATTCGCTTTGGAGTCCAAATTCGATCAATTTAACTTTGTTATCTTTGTGGCGCGATGAATCTTGTCGCAAAAGCCTTTTTTCTGAAAGAACTGTTCCATAATTTGCAGAAAACAGAGCCGCAATGGCTTCCGATGGCTCTGGTGGGAGCGATGAGCATTTGCGCCGGCGGCGTCGGCTTTTTATTGCCTGAGACCAAGGTAATTATTATTTTATGAACTGTTTTTCGAAACTCTCTCATTTTTCAGTCAGTTCCACTTCTTCCGGATATTCGCAGCCTGACGAGAGTCACTGACGAAGATGCCGTCAGTGAGGTTGACGAGGAGGAACGCGACCGGATCATGTCGTGAGTGGAGAAGTTCAACTTATAAAAAGTTGTATATTTTTTTGTTTTTTGCATTTTAGTTGATTATGACCTTTCTTATTGAAGATCTTCATTTTTATGAATAGCCTCATCACGGCGTTTTTTTGATCACGCCCGGTCCATAGGTTTCCCGTAAAGTGTAGTGTTTCATGTGCATGCACTGCGGCGCCCTTGCACATGTTTTCGAAGTAATTTTAGCCAATTTTTCTGGATTTCTGAAATTCAGTGATGTTTCTGGCGGCTTTTTTGAACACGGCAACAGAAAAATTGCGTTTTTTTCAAGTGATAAACCGATTCGTCTCATGACCCATTGAACATGCGCCTTTAATATTCCTTGTTAATTACGCTTGTTTCTCATGACGTCACAGGGGTTTTGACTCCGCCCCCTTCATTTTTGGTTCCACATTTTTTTCCACTAGCCGTGTTGTTTCATTATGAAAAAAAGATGACATAGCACTGATTTCTGTTTCAGGTACCACGGCAGTCCAATAGACCACTCGGACGTCCGCGTAACCGGCCGAAGCTTCGCCCCGACCAACGAATTTTGAGAATAAGATAGGACAAAGTTTTTCATGTTTATTTATTAGTGTCAATACAATAAACGAATTCAATGAGAAAAATTATTAAGTCTTAAATTAATGAAGAGAGATTTGGAAGGATTTTCTACGCTCGAAAATCGCCGCTGATCTCCCGCTCAATGGTCCAGGGGTCCTTGGCGACGGGGATGCTGTTGTTGCTCGCAGAAACGAAGCATTTTTGGATCTGTAGATTGATTTTCTGGCTTGACTAGGAGATTGGATTTACTCAAAAATTACATCTTAGCCAAGTTTTCTGCCTGTTTTATTGTTCTTTAAAAACTCTAAGGAAACATTTTTTTTTTGGTTTTTCTGGTCTCTATAGCTGATAAGCATTGAAAATGGGTTCTGACACGATGAGAAAAGAAATAGCGCTTAGGTAGTGGAGAGCGCAGACAGGCCACGCCTTTCCCAAGCTAGACGTGAATGGAATATAGTTATTTTTAGGAAATTTTCTGAAAAATTGACTTAAGCTAAGCTCTCCCTCAATTGGAAAACTTCAGTATCCACTCAAGAGGCCCCTCACAGACTACTTGAAGAGGACACTAAGTGGCTTCTAAAACCACCTCTATAGAAGCCACTATCCTGCGTTTTAGTGACCCCTATAGTAGTTTTTTTTTACCATTTAGACTCCTAATGAGCCACAAAGGTTTAGTCACTTAAGTGGCCACTAATTCGACTGCTATAGAGGTCAACAAAACATCAAAACCCTTAAGAGATCACTAAAAGTTATTCGAATTTGGCGCTCAACTTAAAAGTTATACACTTAAGAAGCAGAGATGATTTCCATTTTCATATTTTTTTATCATTGGCCTTCCTGAAAGGTTCAAAAAAAATGTACCTCAATGGATTCTCCATGACAAACGACACGGAGGGCAAGACGGCGGGAAACACACGTCCTGACGCGGCTCTTCTCCCCGTTTTGGCATTGGGACCACGCCGTCCACTCGGTCCATTCGCCGAAGGCCAATCCTTAATATGCATTTTTGAGCTGTTTCATTGGAAAGATGATGAAATTTGGAGCGTTTTTGAGTTTTTTTGCTTGAAGAAAGATGGTTGGAAATGAAAAGTACGCTGTCTTGTTACCGATAAAGTGTGTTGAACTCAGAAAAAAATGTCCTAAAATTTAAAAAAATTACTATCTAGTGTTACTCCCGAAGATTTGAAATGAAGTAGATTTTAGGAAAATAGTTAAATTTTTAGGTTCCTCAGCTAAGTAAGAATTTGAAACCTGAGAAAAACTTGTGATAATGAAAATTATTTCTGCCTTTGAAGTTGTCAGGGTTAACTAGAAGAGGCACTTAAGAGGTTCATGTAGGGTTCACTAGAAGAAAAAAATCTCTCACTTGGAAAAAAACTCTCTGGGCACTTAAGAGGTTCGTCAAGGACACTAAAGTGGCTACTAAAAATCAACTCTATACATGCCACTATTTTTGCGTCTTAGTGACCACTATAATAGTTTTTAGGGATCTAGTAGTACCAATTAGGTTTCTAGAGAGATTAATAATTTTTAGCCACTAAAGGAGCCACTTCAACTTCGAAACCCTCTAGTGATCACTAAAAATCTTCCCAGTCAGTTCAATTTTTTTTACTCAATCACTCGTGTAACAAATTCTAATGCCCTTTTCGTGTTATAGTTTGGCTAATTTCAGATTTAATAACCCTGAAAGCTTAGGTTTCTCCGTGCAAACTTGATGAGGCTAATTTGGCCTGGACAACCTTTTTATCTTTCTGATGCAGGTCTTAGAAGGTTTTTTCAGGTTTTTTCATTAGCCATGTTTATCTTAACATTGACTTTGAGCTTTATTTAGCTGCGCATCGACTGAAAACATATTTAAAAGGGATTTTTTACCGTTCGTCCAGGCATTTGAAAAGCGTTATAGTTCAAAAATGAGCTTCAAAGTTTATTTGAGGCCTTTTTTCCCTAAATAAGTTCTTAAAAGGAGTTAGAAGCTTCTTCAAGCTTTTTGTACGCTTCAGATCGATTTCGAGCCCCATTTCGCTGCGCATCAACTCAGTGATCACCCGAAAAGGGCAATTGCTTCCCTAGTAAGGACATATGTACATATGTAGATAATTGGCGACCTTATTCAAACCCCCTTTCGATTGACACACGGCTTGACGGACGGCAAGTCAAGAAACTTGCATTTTTTATTTCGCGTCCATTCGCCTAATTCGATGATTTGCTTGCTCCTTTTCCCTTTTGGCATCGCTAAGATGAGAAAATGATATTCTATACGACGGCTAACTGATTATTAATGAGTTTCTATGGGGGTGTATCTTCCAGGGTGAACTTTGTCTAATGAGAGGAATTTTCCGGAGTAGATTTGGCTTTTTTGCTTCCTGGGAAAATTTTTAGTGGCCACTATAGAGGCTCGCCAAGGACTACTTGGAGAGGACACTATAGTGGCCAAAATTTTCCGTTTTAGTGGCCACTTCAGTAGTTTTTCATCCAGTACTCCTTCCAGTAACTCTGATAATCTTGAAACAAACATATTGGACCAGTTATGTTGATCCATTAATCCCTAAAGTGGCCACTAAATTTTTAGTGGTCCAGTAGCACTTAGACCTCTATAGCGGCCACTAATTTTTAACCCCTTAAGTGGCCACTAATTTGACTACTATAGTGGCCACTAAAACGTCAAAACCCTATAGTGGCCACCAAAAATTTTTCCAGTGCGTTGATCGGAATTGAGAACCAGCTTAAAGAAAATACTCTTGATCTTCTGGAAAAATTTTTAGTGGCCACTTAAGAGGTTTAACGTTTCGATGGCCCCTATTAGTGGGCACTTATTGACCTCTTCAGAAGTCTAGGACCCGTAAAAACTGCTATAGTGGCCACTTAGACAAAAAAGTGTGAAGAGGTGGTTTTAGTGACCACTTTAGTGTCCTCTCCAAGTCATAGGCGAATTCGAAAAGGGTCGAAAAAGGCTCCTTTTTCGCTGCCTTTTTGCTGCCTTTTTGGTGCCTTTTTGGTGCCTTTTTGCTGCCTTTTTGGTGCCTTTTTGCTGCCATTTTTAAGCCATTATTCACCCTTACGAATTTGCCCGAATATTCATTAAGAAACCTCTTAAATGGCCATGGTTTTTAAGACATCTCCGCTGCGATTTCTCCATGAATTTTTGCTTTAAAACTTAAAAAATAACCAATTTAGTGTGTAAAATTCAAATCAACTCGATTTTCAATAATTTTTGTTAAATTTCAAGTCTCCAAAGGTTCCAGTTTCCTTATCACTTTTTAAAAAAACGTACGTTCTGGGACATTTCTCTGGCTCTCATTGGAAACTTCAACGGTTGGAAGGGCGATTTCAATCGTCGCCTCGTTGTTCTTGACACCGGCGACTCGTTGCCTCAAGGCGGCCTGGACTTGATCTTCTGGAGTGCATTTTTTAGATGATTTTGAGATTTTACGGACCATTGGCTGCGGAGGCGGCGTGCAGGGGCTGGAAGGATTCCGTCAGGCTGAATCGGGCTCTGTCGTAGGAACCGACGTCGACTGCCTGGAAATTTTTTGGATTTGAGTTTTGATTCGAAAAAAAAGATCATATTGAGGATGTACTGGGAAAATTTCTAGTGGCCCCTATAGGGTTTTGACGTTTTAGTGGCGACTATAGTAGTAAAATTGGTGGCCCCTTAAGGGGTCTAAGGGGTTTTTTGGCTACTTAAGACGTCTAAGTGCTACTACAAGACCACTAAAAATTTTAGTGGCCACTATAGGGTTTTGACGTTTTAGTGGCCACTATAGTAGTAAAATTGGTGGCCACTTAAGGTGTCTAAAATTAGGGACCACTATAGCGGTCTAAGGGCTACTACTAGCCCACTAAACATTTTAGTGGCCACTATAGGGTTTTGACGTTTTAGTGGCGACTATAGTAGTAAAATTGGTGGCCCCTTAAGGGGTCTAAGGGGTTTTTTGGCTACTTAAGACGTCTAAGTGCTACTACAAGACCACTAAAAATTTTAGTGACCACTTTAGGGGTCAATGGATCAACATAACTGGTCAAATCTGTTTTTTTTAAGTTATCAGAGTTACTGGAAGGAATACTGGATGGAAAACTGCTGAAGTGGCCACTAAAACGAAAAATAGTGGCCACTATAGAGGTGGGCTTAGTGGCCCCTTTATTGTCCTCTCTAAGTAGTTCTTGGCGAGCCTCTATAGTGGCCACTAGAAATTTTCCCAGTGAAAAAAACCGATATAGGTCTTTGGTAGTGCTAGGAAACACGCAAAAATGAAAAATTAGCCATTTTCTAGTTTTTTTTTCATCCAGAGAAGCAGTATTAATTAGTTTAAAGTTAAAATTAATTGACTTTTTACCAAATTTTTATAAAAAAATATGGCAAACCTCGGGATTGTCGATTTGTACTGAGACTGGTGACGGGGCTGAAAAAAATCATAATTTTAGAATTATTCGGGATTTTTTTGAAGGTTTTTTTCAACTATTTTGTAAGTTTCTTTGAGATCCCAAAAAAATTCTCGGCTCAAAAAAATGAGTCCCCCTCTTTTTCCAAAGCTTCATCCAAGAACATGTCCGAATTGAGCCCGAAGAAGATGCCCAAATGAACTTTCTTCATCTTGAAATTCCTTTTTCGAAAAAAAAAGAGCAACATCATCATCATCGGCATGTACTTCCATATTTGTGCTGACGGCGAACCCCTAATTCGATTCCGGACAAAAAAAGAGGCGCCGACGACGACGTCGCACACGCCCATCAATTCGATTTATGAATACATACACATACATTTTTTTTCTCGGCTTTTTTCGGCTTCAGTTGCCCTTCGAAAAAAATTGGAAAAATTTCAACTTTTTTCTGATCTTAGGCCACGCCCCCTTTTTTTCAGGCTCCGCCCATTTTTCAATAATCTTCTAGAAAATTTCAGCTAATTATTTTCTTTAGGCCACGCCTCTTTCTCATCAGGCTCCGCCCATTTTTAATAATGTTTTAGATAATCTCAACCAATATATTTTCTTTAGGCCACGCCTCCTTTTCATCAGGCTCCGCCCATTTTTCAATCATCTTCTAGAAAGTTTTCTTCTTCTTCTTACGCCTTTGTACCGCTTGAGCGGCGTCGGCGCCCCAAGTCGATTAGCCGATGTCCTATCCTGATGATAATCAGTGGACTGGCTCCAGTGACATATCCGTCCTTGTGTGTGACGGCTGGGGATTTTGAAGTCGTGGTTTCCCACTACCAACATTTCTTAAACCCCTTGGTTGCGTCGAGGCGGGGATCGAACTTGTGACCCTGTGGACCGTAGACAGGCACACAACCTGTTGCGCTACGGCGCGCATCTTCTAGAAATTTCAGCTAATTATTTTCTTTAGGCCACGCCTCTTTCTCATCAGGCTCCGCCCATTTTAATAATGTTTTAGATAATCTCAACCAATATATTTTCTTTAGGCCACGCCTCCTTTTCATCAGGCTCCGCCCACTTATCAATAATCTTCTAGAAGATCTCAACCTATTATTTTCTCTAGGCCACGCCCCCTTTATTATCAGGCTCCGCCCATTATTCAATATTTTTTTCTAGAAAATCTCAAGAACACTTTCTTCTTTATCAGGCTCCGCCTATTTTTTTCAATGATATTATAGCTAATCTCAAGTAAATACTTTCTTTAGGCCACGCCCCCTTTTTTATCACGCTCCGCCCATTTTTTTCATAATATTCTAGAAGAACTCAAGCTGTTATTTTCTTTAGGCCACGCCCCTTTTTTTATCAGGCTCCGCCCATTTTTCAATAGTCTTATGAAAAATCTCAACCATAATTTTCTTTGGGGTACCCATATTCGATTGAAAATTCAAGCCACGTCTCTTTAGACCCGCCCCTTTTCTCACCAAATCTAGAAAAAAATAGCATCTTACTTTTTTTATTATTCCCATAGCTCTGAAATATTTTTTTTTTGCAAAATTCCAAATTTCAGTGTGAAGCGATGCTCAATAGGTCACAAACTAATCCAATTTTCCTCTAAAAACCTGAATTTTATAAAAAAATGAATGGTTTTTTTGGCTCCTTTGCTTGATTTTTTAGAAAAACGGAAAATTTCTAATAGCCGCGATTTCTCATCCTTTAGAAGCCACGCCCACTTCTCCGTGGCTCCGCCCATTTTTAGCGCTCTCTCTCTTACCCTATCCAACTTTTTAGTGATAATCTTATTAGCTGAATCCGTAATCTTCCATAATATCCGCCTATTTTTTCCATTTTTAAGCTATTTTGAACGTTTTTTAACGCTAACTTTGTGTTGGAAAAATTTTTTTTTGTTCAAAAAGTTTAAGGCGTTTCTGCTCGCATTTTAGAGATATTCAAAAATTTGTAGAACTTTTATTTTTCGTTTATTTTGTCTGAGTAGTACGCGGATCGAGTTACATACACACACACACGCACACATTACAAGACGAAAATCTCATTTCCTTTTGTTTGGCACCCAATTATTTTTTTTTTCTCGTCCAAATATTTGATATCTGGAGGCTTAGTCTGTGTGTATAGATATTTCTCCTGGTTCATAACAATTGGATCAAAAACATGACTCACCTGCGAATACAATGGCCGGAATTAGAAGAAAGGCTGCTCTTGTGTACATTTTTTGCAGGGAGGAAAATTCGATTCTGGAAAAATATTAATCATTTTTTCATGAAAAACGATAGGAGAAGATAATTTTCGAAGCGAAGGTGCTAATTAATCTGTTTCCAATCATCAAAAGTAGCTTTTCGCGTGATTCAATGGGATACATTCTGAAAAAAGCCATAATATTTTCTGGGAGTGGCCACTTTAGGGGTTTAACGTTTTAGTGACCACTATAGTGATCGGATTAGTGGCCCCTCAAGTGGCTGAAAATTAGGAGCCATTCTTGAAATCTGAGTGAACATTTTTATAGGTTTCTATAGTCTATAGAGGTGGATTTTCTAGTAGCCACTTTAGGAGTTTGACTTTTTAAGTGACCATTATAGTGATCGTATTAGTGGCCCCTCAAGTGGCTGAAAATTAGGAGTCATTTTTTTGAAGTCTGAGTGAACATTTTAGAGGCTTCTATAGTCTATAGAGGTGGATTTTCTAGTGACCAATCTAGGGGACTTGACGTTTAGGGACCTAGGCGAAAGAGTGGTCTCTTAAGTGGCTAAAGTTGAGGTTACTTTAGAAGTCCGAGTGGTTCTACCAGGGTTTCAAAATTTTTAGAGGCTTCTATAAAAGGGTTTAGTATAAAAATAAAAATAAAAAGTGTTTAGTGGCCACCTTAGGGTTCGACATTTTAATGACCACTAAAGTGGCCGAATTGTGGCCACTTGAGTGGCTAAAGTTAGTGATCTCTTTAAGGGTTTGAGTGAATATTTTTAGAGGCTTTTTATAGTATATAGAGGTGATTTTAGGGGCCACTCTAGGGGACTCAAAGTTTTAGGGACCACTATATTGGTCGAATTAGTGGACACTTAAGCAACTGAAACTCACAAGGGAGGTGCAAAAAGACACAGTTTAAGACTTTGATGAAACATGAAAGGTCCCTTGAATCGAGAACAAGAAAAAAATTTCAAGCCTTTTGCCTATTAGCGAAGTTATGACCCCTCAAAGTTTGCAAGCAAGAAATGGCTTCGCACGCAAGAGCTGATATGGCTTGCGACATTCTCGCAACTGTCAGCGTAGTGTAGTGGTTAGCATCATTGCAATGTGGAAGCGGTGGTCAGGGTTCGAATCCCTTTTGGAGACATTTTCTTTTTGCAATTTTTTAACGGATGAACTTGGGGAGATAGAACGGAAGAGATTGTTGGAATCGTCTTTTTTTCGTCGTTTTCAATAGTTTCTACATCAATTTTGGAGACTGTTTCTTAGCTCTGTGTGTGTGTGTGTTTTTTTTTTGCAGTCTTTTCACTGGGGAGGCTTAAGGAAAGGTTCAAAGAGCTTAGGTTAAATTTGAAAAAATGAAGTTCCTAGAGGAAGGGGATTTTTAAGAAACAAAATAACGAATAAAGGAATGAAACCGAAATCAATAAGAAGAAGTAGTACAAAACAGAAAACAAGGATACGTACAGGCGCGAGAAGTTGATACCCTACAAGGAATGTGGCGAACGGGAAAAGTAGGCGTTCACTCGCCTCATCATTCATTTCCCTTTTATCCTCCACACAACAACCACTTATCCCATTACATATCGTCCTGTGGTGTTGTACGAATAAAGTGCGGACACTTTGTGGATGGGGCGAACTTGCTTGGAAGTTTGCTGATGCCAATTATGGGCGCGACTTCAAGTTCGAAGTGATCTTGATGGTGTAACAAGCAAGGATGGGGACTTGCAGAAAATAATCCTGTCTGAGGGAGATACTGATAAACACGGAGAAGGTTTAGGAAGCTTGAAATAACCCCCGGTTGAATTTTTTTGATGAAACTTTGCTGTGTACTTTAGGACCTCCTGATTGCAGAACGAGAAAAAAAATTTCATGCTATAGATTTTTCCGAGTTATGAAGCTTGAAGGGGACGTTTTCTAGTGAGTAAGATACTAACAAGGCTGAGAAATAATTCTGGTAGCTTGGATATCAATTTTAGAGAGAAAATCAAACTAGAAGCTCTCATGAGATTCCTAGGTGCAGACAGAATGATAAAATTGGGTTTTGAGTTTGAAGAATAGCTGAATTTGGTTCAGAAGGGCTCTTAGAGACGATCGGAGTGGTTCAGAAGGCAATAAATAATATAAAAAAACTTATAGCAGAATTTTTAAGCTTCAAGGTCAGATCAATAAATCTAGAAAGCTCTTCTTCAGCGTAAAAAAAGCTACAGACTTCAATTTTGACCTCTAGACAAATTTTTATTTCAACTCTCAAAGTTCCAAGCTCAAGTTGGAGATAAGAGGAACAGCTGCAGTGCTTCAAAGAATTCAAAATTTGGTAGCGATTAACTTAAGATAAAAAAATAATAACTTGATTTTTTTGATCAAGTTGAAATGTCTAAATGCTGATAGGGTGGCAAAAAAAGAGGACTTGGGGGGAGTTAAGCTCGATAAGGAGATAAGAGTGCTTCTAAGGGTATAAGGAGACAGGTAGTTAAAATTAGGAAATTGAGAAAATTTTTTTATTTTATCTGCAGGAACAGTTGAAATGTAGATAGGGTGAGAAAAAAAGAGAAATTTAACTTAGAAAATATCAAGAAAGGGGGAGTAAAAGCTTAGTAAGGAGATAAAGGAGAACTATGCAGCGCTTCAGAAAATGTAAGATAATGATAAACTTAACAGGCCAAAAAATTTTTGATTCGATCCAGATGAACAGCTATTATGTAGATAGGATGGAAAAAAGGGAACTTGGAAAAATGTCAAGAAGTTGGGGAATATGTCTTCTTGCAAAGCTATACAAAAAAGATTACGCTCCAGACGGCATTGATATGACCTTATCAGCGGCGAGGCTGGGGGTGGCCCATCTATCCGCCGATCCGACGAATTCCACGAAAAAAATCGAGTTTTTCTCGATTTCGGGAACGGAAACAAAACCCGCTCCTTCTTGGCTATCATTGTTCACTTTCTGGATTTTTTCATGGATCAGAGAGAATGGGGATGGTGGGATTTGGACCGGTTGATGACGAGGTTGAGCTGGGAATGGATCATTTGAATCCTTGAGCAAATTTTTGGGAGGAGAGATCTTGATCCTAGTATGTAGCCTGAACTCGGTTGAAAGGATTTGGAAAAAATTGAGATTCTCCGAGATCCCTAACAAGGGAAGTCCTTTCACTTAACGGGCCCTGAAAATTGGTCAGAATACACCTTGATGTACCAAATGAAGATTCTGAAAGTCTCAACCTGCACAATTTCCTAGTTTTCGAGAAATGAAGGATCAAGGCTTCAAAATAGCCTATTTTTGAGTATTGTATGCGGATATGCGCATTGTGTGCATACACATACACCTACTTTTACGGGTTTTGAGGGACTTTAAGGCGTCTTTTCCCAAAAACGAGGATAGTTAGAAGTTTAAGGCTTCCATGATTTTCTTTTGGTATCTTAAGAAGTATCCAAGCCGATTTTCAGGAAAATCCCAATCGTAAAGTAAAATGACCTCCCTTGTTAGATAGTTGATGAAATATTGAGATTTCAGTAATTTGGAAAAAGGGGCTTTATTTTGCAGGATAAACATATAATAACCTTTTTTTGTCAAGTTAGGGCCCTTTTTAAGTTTTTTATAGCATGGTTTAGCTTAAAAGGTTTATAGTCTGCTCAGGAATGAAGAGATAAAGCTTCTTTTGATTTCTTAAAGAAGCTTTGAGCAGGCAACATCTTTTTTTTCGAACAATATGAATCTTGAAAAAAAAGAAGAGGCTTGGGATTTTCTATAGAAAGCTATTTTTGAGTTCCAGCGCTTCACAGGCTTAGTAATCTTCATGATAGCTTTATAAAATTTCCTTAAATTTTTCGGTGAGCTTCTTCGACGATATAACAATGGCCAGCTTCTTCAGAATTCCCAGACCTCTTTAGAAGTTTTGGGGCTCCATAAAACTTTCAGGAGCTGCTCCTCCTTTTTTTCCTACCTTGTTGAGAAGCTCTACCTTTTTGGAAGCATTTTTGAACCGTTTTATTGAATTTGCAATGCTTCAGAACTGTTAGGAGAAACCTTGAATATTTTAAAATCATTTTTTGAGCGACGAAGGCTTCTTAAGGTTAGTTTGAAGGCTTCTGAACTGCTAGGAGAAGTGTCTACACCTTTTAAGGAATCCTTAGATCTCTTGAGAAGTTTCAAGACTTCTTAAAGGAATTTTAGACATTCTGAGAAGTTTTAAAAAAAGAAAGAGCTTTCAAAGTTTACTAGGAGCTTTTTTTGCATGCCGAGCGATTGGTAGAAGCTCAAATTTACGATTTTTCAAACTAAGGGCCTTTTTTTGAGAAGTTCCAAGAAGTCTCCAAGCTTCCTCCCGATGATTCATCCCTCTAATCCGCATTACATTCTCTCAAAGCTTACAACATCTCTCACGTCATTACCGCGGAACCGTTTTACAGGTTCGGCGACGAGAAAAATGGCGCCGACGCAGCCGACGACGGCACCGCCGTCTTCATCGACGTCGACGGCCAGCGATAAGCATCTGACGCCGCGCGACGAGTGCAACAATAGGTGCGCCGTGTTCTCGATCCGAGATTTTTAGTTGGAGGGGGACAACAGGAAGTGGTGGGGGGGACGGTTTGGGGATACCCTTCCGAATGGTTCAACTCTGAAGATTCTATGGGAAGGTCAAGGAAATGGGAATCACTCAAGTGGTCACTTAAGTGGACTCTCAAGGGCTCCAAGGAGGGAGCACTAAAACCACTATTTTGCCTTTAAGTGGCCACTAAAGTGATTGTTTGAGGTCTAGAAGTACCACGTAAACTCCTAAAGGGGCCACTAAATTTTAGTCCCTAAAGTGGCCACTAATTCGGTTTCTATAAAAGGCACTAAAATTGAAGAGGAGAGGACACTAAAGTGGCCATTGACACCATTATTTTGCCTCTAAGTGGCCACTTGAGCAGTTTCTGTGATCTAGAAGTACCACTTAGACTTCTAAAGGGGCCACTAAATTTTAGCCACTAAAGTGGCCACTAGAAGATTGGTCTCTGATGGGACTTTTAAATGAGACAGTAATTAATAGATGCAGTTTTTTACGCTGATTCCAAAACTGGTCTTGAAAATTGCCTAGGAAGTCGTTGAAAAAAGTTATGGATCCTTAAAGTTTGAAATTTCAACGATTTTGATAGAGATTTTCGGGAAAAAACTGTTTCCAATATGAAGATTTGTATGAAATTATCAGAGAATGGTCTTTTTTTCAAATTTTTCGTAAATCTGAAAAGCGATCCTGTAGCCTGAATGAAGCTCTAGAAGTGCCTTTTTCCTCTAATTTTTTTATCAAAAAAATTCGGAAAAATTAGACAAAAAGCCATTCCCAGTACTTGAGAAGTTTAATAAATCTGGCACCTCAATAAAAGAATTTTTAAGTACCCAGAAGCTTGAAAATCACTTCATACAGCTCGTCTCGAGGCACATTACATCTTCCTTTTTTTTTTTCAGCCCCGCCCAAAAAATGGCTAAATTTTATAACCCTTTCCGAAATGATCTGGAACACATGTTGAAGAGTTAGCGGCTCATTTTTCCGTCCTCTCAAGATTTTTTTTTCGGCCCTTGTTTTTGGCTTTCAACCCAAAAGAAGACAATCAAAAATGCATACGTTTCAGGACAATTTTTCCCTCGTTTTGGCCGCATTTCGGGCCAGTTATTTTGCCTAAATTCTTGATTTGACAGAGTTGGCGTTCCGTTGCGATATCTGCCTTTTTTGATTCTTTTTTATTAGTTTGAAATTTTTTAACAATTTTTTTAGTTTTTTCCGTTCCTTTACTCGAACTTTCTTTAGCTTTCATAGTTCTGACTTTTAGGAGCATAGGCAAAGTCGGGAGGACCCTTTGCAGGCCCTTTGAGGGTCCGTTACGGGTTCAAAAAGGTTCCATTAATTGTTCCTAAACGGGTGGCAATGGTTTCCTTTTTACTGCCTTTTTCCGTCCTTTTATCGGCCTTTTTTTCCACCCTTTTTGGACCCTTTAAAAATCCTTTAAAATTGAAAATATTCTTTACCAGTGTCTGTGTATGAACCAAAATGTGCTACAATGATAAAATCGGGAATCCGAGACTTTCAGCAGCCTTTTTGCACCCTTTTTGCACCCTCTTTTGAGCCTTCTCAGCCTTGCAAAAAAAGGCTCAATAAAGGCCGCAAAATGGAACCCTTTTAGCGGCTTTTTTGCACCCTTTTTGCACCCTTTTTTCACCCTTTTTTGAGCCTTTTTAGCCCACCAAGGAAAAAAGGCTCAATAAAGGCCGCAAAACGGAACCCTTTTAGCGGCCATTTCGCACCCTTTTTGCACCTTTTTGAGGCTTTTCACCAAGAAAGCAAGGTTCAATAAAGACCGCAAAAAAGAACCCCTTTAACTGCCTTTTTGCACCCATTTTCCGCTCTGCCGACTTTGGCAGTGGAAGCTAGAAAACTGGCTGATTATTCTTGATCTTTTTGTCGGTTTTTGAAAATTTTTAACTTCTCAAGGATTTTCCTGGATATTTTCAGTACTTTCAAAGCTATGTGGTTCAGAGATTTCATTATAAAAGACCCATAAAATCGTAAACTGAAAATAGCTCTGAACTTTTGAGGAAATTGAGCTTTATTTCGGATTTTCGAAGCTCAGAGCTCAAAATTCTTAATTAATTTTTTTGCAATTTTTTTCAAGTTGATTATTTAAAAAAATTCTCTTTTTTTCTTCTTGATATATTTTCATTATTATCTTATTTCTACGTTCCAAGTGGTCGGTCTTCATTTCCGCTCTCTTCTGGGATTCCCCTGGACAAGCTGGACAAGCCGTACTGCTTCTTCATGGAGAAGAAGCTGATCATCCAAATGCTCAAAAAACTACTAACAAAAAAAAAGAACTTGATTATCTCCGCGTCGTCCTTGATCAACGACAGTTTCGTGAACCGAAAAAATACTCTTCAATTATTCCACAAGCGGAGAATCTTTCTGAAACTCAGCTTCAAATTCTCGCCTCGGTGATTTTCAACAACTCAGCCCCACCCTCGTCACCCTGATTTCCGGCGTCCACTCCTAATGAGGTGGTCAAGAGGACACGAAGAAGCAAAGCAAGGTGCCGGAATGGCCGAGACGGGGGACACAAAAGCCTGAAAATTGGAAGGATCGACTCGTGGTAATTGCCTTCTTCCTGTCCCTGTCCGTCGACGACGCCCTCCCCTACTCTCTTCTTAAGCTTCCTAAGTTGCTTTTAGTTATTTGTATGGTTTTGGCGCGCCCACCCCGTCACGTCTTCTTTTTGTTCGGGTCCGACGGAGCGGAACGTCTTCTCATGGAGCCCTTGGAGACGGAATCTTTCTTTTTCTTGATTTCTTTAAAGCTTCGTCTTGAACCTTGATCTTCCTAAAGGGCCCTGAAACTTATTTTAAAAAAAAAGAAGAGATTTTTCTGGAGGAACTACCGATTCTTGAACAGGACTTTAATGAAGATTCTAGTAAGGTATTTTAAGAATCTCCCCCTTTTTTGTAATTATTTCCCTAGTCCAACTCCAGAACCTCCTGGAAGTCCGCCAAATTATCTTCAAGAACTTCCATTTTCCCCCCTGGTCTTTGAAAGGTTGCCTTGAAATTGGTTGGACTTTGAGGTGTTCGCCCACGAATTTTTGGCAAGTTTTTAAGTGAAAGTATCTTTTTTTATAAAAATAGGAGCATATAGCTCTGAATTTTTTCGATATCTTCAAAAACTTTAATCCCACTGTATTCCCACAATGACGTCATTATCATTGCTTAATGACGTCATTGTCACTGCTTCATGACGTCATAACCTTTTTCCCACGATGTTACCACGATGTTACCACGATGACGTCATTATCACGGCTTCATGAAGTCATAACCTTTTCCAGCGAATTTTTTTATTTCAGTTTTGATCTGATAGTTTTCGAAATTGTGACGTCATAATTTTGTCCCAGAGTGACGTCATGCTGAATGACGTCATTAAACAAGCGGAATGTTGTAATTAATAAATTGATAGTTTTATGGAAAAAAAAACTTTTTTGAATCCTGAAATAATTGAATGACGTCATCGAGCTCTAGAAATTTCAGAGAATCTCTGAGTATTGCTCATGTTAGAGCTAGAAACACCCGTATTGCTCATATTAGAAGCCTTTTAATGCTTCTTTTCTTCTTTTTTAATTCAATCTTTTTCCTCAGCTTCAAGGAAAAGCCTCAGAATAGACTATAACTTTTTTTCTCTCGCATACCGATTTGGCTACATTCGACCGAATAATTTTTCCTGCTTTACATATTTTCCCCCTCATTTTTGTCGTCTCCTACAATCGACTTCTCACCTCCTTTTCGGTTGCCGGGTTGCCTTTCTTTCGTGCTAATCACTCTATTTTTTTTCTCACTTTTTTCTTTTTTCCAGTGAAAAAGTGCCGCTGCGTGGAGTTTTCAGCTCGAAAAGTCGGGTTTTCGCGAGGTTTGTCGGGGGTTTTAAGGGTTTTCTGGTCTTTTTTGGGTAGAGGCATGTTATTTGGATAGAAGAGGAGTCAAATAAAAACTGAAAAAAAAACGGAGTTTTCAGCTCAAAAAGTTGGGTTTTTGCGACGTTTTTTGGGTGTTTCCAGTGGAATTGTGAAGATTTTCCGGTCTTTTTTTTTGGGTAGAGGAATGTTATTTGAAGGAAAAAAGATTCAACCCAAAAATCGGCTTACAGAGTTTTATTCGGCTTCAAAAAAAATTCGAAAATTCGATTTTCCCAGTACGACACTCCGTTGGAACGCTGTGCAGCATATATTGATTTGAACATTTCTGTTCAAATTTAAATCTAGAATTCATGATTTTCCGTTCATGTTTATATAGGAAACTGTGCTGGTACGTGTTGAATTTTTAAAAAAACACCCTCAAAAAATTTTTTCCAACAGGAAGTGAAATTTTTTTCAAGATTTTTCAAGTACGACAATCCGCCGGTACGCATTCCATTTTAATTAAAGCTTATTTATTACTCTTTTCCAAAAAAAAAAATTCAGAAAAAGGTCCATGTTCATTAATATTCAAACCCATTCAGGCTTCTACAAAGAAAATTTTTTTTTGTATTTTTCTTAAAAACAACCAAAAATGGTTGCTTATTGTTCTTATTATGCCTTGTTAAAAAGGATTTTTTGTTTTTTGAGAAAAAAAAAGCTGGGTATTGTCTCGAAAATGAGCAGGAAACAAAATTTTAAAGGGGGGCTGTTTTTCGAGTACGACACTCCGCGATGACGCTATGAAGGGAAAAACTGTAGTGGTCGCTTAAGAGGTCCCTCAAGGGCTACTTAAAGAGGACCCTAAAGTGGCCACTGAAAGCCCCTATTTTGAAGAGACTTCTTTGCGGCTTAGTGGTCTAGTAGTGCTACTACATTTTATTCACTTAAGTGACAACTAATTTGACAACTAAAGTGGCCACTAAAACGTCAAAACCCTAGAGCGGCCACTAAATTTTTTTACAACAGAGAATCATCTACATGAAAAATTGTATATTCAGTGCAGTTTTCAAAACATTTTTCAAAAAGGTTTTTTTCCACCGGTCAAAGTTGCTCCATTGCGAATTAACAGACTCCCGGAAGAACGCCTTGCCCTTTTAATGGTGTCGAAGGGAAAAACGGCAAAGAACAAAGCAATTAGCATTGGCGCAACAAAAGGCGACGAAAAAACGGCCCCCACACCCGCCTGAATATTTTATACTTTCTTCGACGGATTTTCAAGCGTTTGGCGAAGATTTTCAAGCCTTTTCCCAGCGACTCTTCCCCGCCGACGTTTCACTTTCCAAAACTAGAAAATCACAAGTTTTATTATTTTACTTGTTATTTGCGCAGTTGCTTCTCCCCCCTCATCTCGTAGATTCATTTGCCTAGAGGCGGCAAATATTTTTTCCCCCCAGGTACATTTTTTTTCTTGTCGGTGTCTTATCACTTTTTTTAGTATTGTTCTTCTTCAGTTTTTTTTTCAGACTAGGTTTTTCTCAAAAAATCGAAATTTCCCGATTTTTTTTAGGATTTTTAAAAATTTCAGTAGCACACTCCTAATGAGAATTCAATCAATATTTCAATCGATATGGTTCAAAAAAATTAATTTTTAATCGAGGGGGAGGAGGAGGAGGCAAAATTGGGCTTTTTCTGTTCATCAAAGTTAGGGTATCTTTTTGATAAATTCCTTAAGAAGCCCCTTAGAGCGTTCCTTTTTTTTCAGTAACCTACTCTTAATGAGAGTTATTCAAGAAATTAGTTTTTTGGGATTCAAGGGGTCACTTAAGGCATTTTAAAATTGTCTTTTAGCGGTCACTTTAAGGAGGAAAACGGGTGGCTTTTCGTTCATCAAAGTTAGGGCTATCTTTTGAAAGATCCCTTAAGTAGCCACTTAGAGCGCTCCTTGGCATTCTAGTGTTTTATGCGATACTGTGGAATGCTCTAGGGACCACTTAAGAGGTTCCCGAAGAGAAGACGCTAAAGTGGCCACTACACCTCTATAGAAGCCACCACTTTGCGCCTTAGTGACCACTATAGTAGTTTTCAGGGGGTCTAGTAGTTCCAGTCATTTTTTCTAAAGAGACCATTAAGTTTTAGCCACTCAAGTGGTCACTCATCCGACTACTATAGGGGCCACTTGAAACTTCAGAACCCTAAAGGGGCCACTAAAACTTTCCCAGTGCATTTTTCCTTCTAGAAGTCTTGCGATTAGTTTTTTGAAGTTGAAAAATTAGATCTTAGGTCTCGAACAGAAGAATTTCTGGCGAAAAAATTGATGAATAACCCAAAAAAAAAAGAATTTATCGATTAAAAACTGATAAAAGATATGACCAAGGTAACAAATTAGCAGCCTTCCCCCACCAAGCAATTATCCAATTTATAACGAGCCCGATACAATTTCAAAATGAATCCATTCCTCGAGGCTTAACAACGTCTCACCATTTGAAACGACGACAAAAAAACAATCGGTTTCCCTTTTCAGTTTCATTTTTTCACTCGTTTTTTGTCGTCTTTTTCAAAATGATTCATACAAGTTTTTACTTTTTTTTCCAATTACAAGTTAACATCATAAATCGCGTGATAATGCGTGTGTTGGGTTTATGGGAAAGGTTCCTTTTTTTTCAAGTTTATGGGAAATGCTCTTGCTGCACAATTCCTGGAATGAGTTATACTTTTTGGGCTTTCGAAATGCTGTCATTTCTCCATTTATGCCATAACTTTATGAAAGTTCCCAAGCTCTACGGTCCCTTAAGTATCCACTTCATAGTTTCAGTGCTCTTAAATTTTGTCGATGTAAGCTCCAAGAGACTACTTAAGGGATGAACCAGTAATCGCCTCATTATAGTCTCGTAGAAGCCACCCACTTTCCTTAGGAATTGATCGATATTATAAAAACCCTTAAGTGACCTCTCGACATTTTTAGACCAAAAAGGTTTCTTATAAAGCCGTAAGTGATCGCTTCAGGGAAAACGCAAAGATGAACGGAAGTGACTGCTTTAGGGAAAATGGAAAAATGCTTCAATTTTCCCATTTTACTCTACTCAGGCTCTAGCTTCCCTTAAGTACCCACTTCACACTTTTACGACTTCATAATTTTGTCGAAGGGAAGCTCAAAAGAACACTTAAGGGATGAACTAATAGTCGCCTCAATATGGCCTTATGAAAGCCACCCGTTATAGATTAGTCGATATGATAAAAACCCTTAAGTGACCACTTGTCATTTTTCAATCCAATAAGGTTTTGGATGAACTAGGAAGTGGCTACTTTAGGGAAAGCGCGAAGATTTAAGAAAGTGACTGCTTTAGGGAAAATGCAAAGATTCTTTAATTTTTCCATTTCTACCTTCCCTTAAGTACCCACTTCACACTTTTACGGCTCCTAACTGCTTCAAATTTTTTCAAGAGACCCCTGAGAGACCACTTAAGGGATGACTCATTATGGCCTCATAAAAGTCATCCAGTTCCCTAGATTGATCGATGAAAAACCCTTAAGTGACCTCTTGTCAATTTTCAGTTCAAAAAGGGACCTTATGAACTCGTAAGTGACTGCTTTAGGGAAAATGCGCAGGTCAGTCTTTGGCGATTTAGAGTAGTTCGTTGACTTCTAAAGTAACCAGTTAAAAAAAATAATTACCTGACGAGGTATATCGATTTCCCTAAAACTTCCTTCTGACTTCAGTCTTTGGAAAAATTCATTTTTTGAAAACACAAAAGTCCCTTTTTTTCCAGCGTCCCTTTACATATCCACCTGTCGGCGCCGCCGTGTGAAACGTTGCCCCAAACGACAGCCATTTTCTTCCTCATTTTAATTCTTCCTTCTCTTTATTATATGCCTTTTATGATATTTACAAAAAAGTTTCTCATTATAGGGAATTTTTTAAATTGTCTTCTTCTCTTTGGAGATGTCGATACGTCGACGTACCGGGTTCGGGTGAGATTTTTGAATCTTAAAAAAATTTTTCTGATTTTTCAAAGAAAAACGAGACTGTACTAGCGGAGTTTCGTACGAAAAAAGCGTACTAGTGGAGTTTCGTACGAATAAAAACGCGTACTAGCGGACTTTTGTACAAAAATAGCGTACTGGCGGAGTGTC